CCGCGCTACTCGAAGCTCCACCCGGTCTTCCCCGTCGTCAAGCTCGAGCTCGCTCAGGACGACCCCTCGACGGACGCCCCGGCTACGACCAGCCTCCTCCGGACCTCGAGGACGGAGTCCCGGAGTGGGAAGTAGAGGAAATCCTGGACGCAAGGGTGAGGTACAAACGGCTGAACTACTTCGTCAGATGGAAAGGCTACGACGCATCGCACGACCAATGGGTCCGCTTCGACCGCGTCTTCGCCCGGAGAAAATTGCGGAGTTCTATCGTAAGTACCCTGGCAAGCCACGACACATCGCCTCCGCGACCTTCGACTTAATTCCGTTCCGGTCTATGCGTCGGGACGCCGCATTCAAAGGGGGGGGTGATGTCAGGGGAACCTCCCTTTCGGCCCCTCGGAGACGCCTCCGATTCCGGTCCGACTCCGGTTCCGTCTCCGGTCCGGCCCTCCATCTCGCCCGCACAATCACCGATCCGTCAACGCCCTCCCGACGGTCGCCCTGGGACCTCGCCTGCGACGCCGCCCAAGCCTTCTGTGCCCGACAGCGGCAGCTACAGACAAGCAGTATATAGTCAGCTACCTAGCAGGCGGACCCTTAGAGTTTCTTCTCTTTGGATCCTCCCCTGCTAGGTCAGCTTCGTTTGTATTCGCTTACCAATGTTCACGCCTTTGGATCCTCCCCTGCTAGGACCTTGATCTCAGGCCTCCGGGGTTGCCCTTACAGTGGGAATAAGATAAGGAAATCAGGCCGAAATCTTGCTAGTCATCACGAGTTGCGAGGTCGTCATCGGAATTCGAGTCATCATCGTCATCGGAGTCGAAAACATTGTCGATAGGGAAACGAGGCCTGATACCAGCCACACGACGAGATGCTCCCGGATAGATGCCCGGTGTTACCAAACAGCGCTCCCATTCACTATCAGAGTCCACATCCGAACCACTTCGTATCACAGCGGCCGCAACGGGGACACGGGCAATATAAGCAGGAATACCAAGTGCCGAGTTCCCCTTGCATTCACGTTTGCGATGCGGAACCCAATCCTTGTCGGTAGGCGTCAAGCGGCAGTTGAAGCACCCGCCCGCAGCGCTGATACGATCACGGTCGGCTTGGGTGAGCGGTGGGACGGATGACGAGAGAGCAGCAGGAGCAGGAGCAGAGAGAGCAGCGGAACGGGAAGGAACAGAAAAGGAAGGAGCTGCACGGAGTCGAATTGAGCCATTGAGGATGGCCGCGTCCCAGAGACCAGTCATGAGGCTGACGAGTGCGTTGTAGCGAATGGAATGGAGGTTGAAGCCAGGCGAAATCTTGGTATTCGTGCAAAGGACGGGGTGCGAGAAGGCGAGGACATGATATTTAATAACGGTATCGGAAAGCTTCCACTCGGGGCCAGCCGCATTCAGAACTCGGTTGGCACGCTCGAAACGTTCGATGAAGCCCTTGAACGTGTCATCACCCTGCTTGACATTATACACCTCGAGCATTGCATCCATGCGCCAAGTCGGTGCCACAAACTTGTCGCGGAGTGCATTGGTGAAGTCATCCCAGGACTTGAGACGCTGAAGCTCCTCACGGTTGGTGTCCCACCATTCCGCGAGCGATTCCTCCTCCAGCTGCTTGCCAGCCAGGGTGATGAGCGTGGCGGCTGTGAGCTTAAGGTCCGGATTCCATACAGTCCACGTCGCGTATTCGTCTTGGCAACGGCCAACCCAGCTGCGGACGGAGAGCGGCGTTGGTTTCTCGGTGAACGCAGGGAATGCGAAGTTTTGTCATCCGAGGCGCGCGTGTGGGTGGTTTAGACGGAGTGGGAACTGCAGGGACAGTGGGAGGGAAGAGATGGGGAGGGGGCTGGCGGCGGGAAACAGGTTCGGCAAGCGGCGAGTGCAAGGGAGACACGGTTGGCGAGCAAGAGCGTGCGCGAGACAGCGAGCGAGACGGCGACGGTGAGCGAGATAGCCTGGGCGAGCGAGGAGAGCGGGACGCGTCGGGCGGAGCGAGAACGGGCCGGAGATGGCGACCGAAAAGCGGCAAGCTCGTCAGGTGGCGAGATATCGGCTGCTGGCACTTCAGCCACGTCACTAAGTGGGCCGGAGCGGTGACGCTGTCGTTGTCCAGTGGGACGCGACGACGAGGCAGATGTTGACCCAGCGGTCGATCTTCGCGGGTTGGGCGCCAGTGAGGGCAAGCGGGGCGCGAACGGGGCTCGACGAGGCCGACGGTGAGGCGAGGGAGGCGAGAGCAAAGGCGGGAAGGCCGCTACGTGGCAAGAGGGAGGTGGGAACGTGTGTGACAGGACGTGGGAATCCGCCGCGAGCCTTCGCGCGCAATCGCCGCGACGACGACGTCGCTTAACTCGCCAAGCCCAGGATCGGCCGAAGAAGCTCGGCGAGGCCGTCGGGAGACCGGGAAAGCCGCCGGGTGCGTCAGGGGAGGTGCGGGAGGGCCGGAGAGGCGCCCGAATGGACCAAGGAAGCTCGTAAGGACGTAGTTTTTCGATTTAAAGCCAGGTAAACAGGTAGTGGGTTGTGAAAAAAGTGGAAACTGGGTGGTCTAGCCCAGAAACACTGAGGAACACACAGAAACACAACAGAATCCTGCTATATTCTGGAACAACAATGGAGGACAGAGGTGAGTGACTAAAGAGGCAGTGCTAATGTGACGGAGGAATGTAGGTAAGGCTCCCAGGCTTACACGATGTCAACAACCCATCGCATCCCCACCTCTGGCATCAACGGCCCTGGTACGTGCGTCTAGCGACGTGCACGTCCCGTGCGACAATAGAACACTTTGCGGCAGCTCTGGGGCTTCTTTGGGTGTAAATATCTGATTACGTAAGCAATTCTGGTCCTGTTTTTCGGAGTGCAAACAACTCACTTTTTTTCCCAGATTTTTGGCCGCCGGAGGCTCGTTTGCCGCCTGGACTCGACCACTCGGCTGCTGCTCATTGTGTGGCTGTAAGCATCTTGAACTTCAGTTTGATCTATGGCTGACTCTTCTTTGTAGATGCTCGTGCGACTGTCAAGGCCATCGATGACTAGGAATCAGCGGTAAGTCTATTGCTTCCTGTAGTAACTATGAAATCTGACACTTTCCTGCAGATTGATCTCTGCCGCGTTGCGGAACCGACTCGGGTCGCGCGGAGGGTCCTGGCCCGCCATGCCGGTGCTGCCGGCCGAGATCCGATCAATGATCCGGATTATCCGATATTTTCTGGGTCCACTTTTGCTGTCAAAAAACGAGTTAAATCGCCTCAAAATTCACGGGGGTTTGCCGCCGGAGGCGAAAACAACGCCTGGACTTCAAAGTTAGCAGAGGCAGCTGGTTGCTGCCCGTCCCCCATTTGGTTTGTATTTCCATCTCTCTCTCTGTGATGAGTTGACTGATATTCCGCTAGCGTTGCGGATCATGTGTTCCTATCTGTCTTCTCCGACTCCTCCTCAACGCTGCCGCAGGCAGCTGAGGTCCCCGGGCTAACTGCTCGCCTAACCGTGTCACTCATACTGGCTGCGTTCCCCCCGACATCTTTGAACTCACCATCGAAAGTCCCGTTATACGGCAGGACTTCAAAGTTAGCGGAGGCAGCTAGTTGCTGCCCGCCCAAGCCTCTTTGTTGAGGTCACTCAACATCCGGTGTGTATTTCCATCTCCCTCTGTGATGTGCTGACTGATATTCTACTAGCGCGGAATCGTTATTGGCCATGGGTTGTCCCTACCCACCTTCTCCGCTTCCTCCTCACACAGCTGCCGCTGGCAGCTGAGGTCCCCCGGGCCAGCGTGCTCGCCTTCTATCAATAGCAACGGTGTCATTTGTACTGGCCGCGCTCTCCATCATCAGCGCCGTCATCAGCGACACTGCCTCTGCTCTCAACCCATGTCCCCGACTGCCTTCCTTGCTGATGCGAACTTCCGTGCCTGCCTTCACGCCAGCGACAAGACAACGCGCTTAACTTGTCATCGAACCAACAACAGGCTGGGCTGCCGAAGCTGATAGAGTTGCGAGCAACAATGTGTTGGCCCTCAACTCTGCCAGTAGCGACTCGTCACCAACGACAGCATATTTGGCTCCTGATTTCCGCAACGGAACGAGCTGGCCTGCGACGTTGCTGGTGGCGGGTTAACTCGACCACTCACCACTGTGTTAAGCGCCAAGCGTAAACTTGGGACCAACAACGCGCAAGCAATCTAACCCCGAGTTTCGCGGGACCAACACACAAGCTATGGCTGTTTTTTTCTCAGTCTTGCTATATCGCGATCTGAGACTGAAGCGCCCGTTCAAAGTCGAGCTCATCGTGTCTCCTTAGGTGTGTCTTTTGTTAAATTGCATTTGTTCAATTTGCTTATTCTTTGCAGAGTTCTGTTGTCCGCTTCCTCTCTTCTCCGCCAACTCAACCCACTTGCTTTTCACTCCGACCTAACCCATCTCCCCAACAACTTGCAACAACCGGTTGTTTCTCTCAGTCTTGGGCCCATGCAATCTGAGACTTTGACTCGCTGCCGTCTTGTGGTATTGCGATTCGAGACTGAGGACGGTGCTCCACCTCCCATCAAAAGGCGTTCTCAGTCAATTCTCCACGGATTTTCTCCATTTTTGTTGGAGGTGGGAGGGACGGAGTAGTGGTATGCGGGGATGCCGAGCCGATGAGAAGCCGGTGGAAGCGGGAGGGGGACGCGCGGGAAGGAGGAGATGATCGGGGAGGTGGAGGCGACGCGTACTAGAATCATGTATGTAAATAGCGTCACCCTGCAAAAAAAGTATATAACTACGAGCCCTCGCGCGAGCCTTAGCGAGCTGCGAGCCTTTGCGATGGGTGAGTTGAGGGATGGGTTGGGGTTAGGCTCGCCTTTGCGATGGGTGAGCAAGCAGCGTTGAGGTGGACAGCGGAGGGTAAGGGCGATGGGAGCAACGGGGGAAGGACTATAGGTGAGTAAGATCCACGCTCTGTCTCATCATCGGAGTCTCAGAAATTTTGTGAAGACGCAAATGGGTAACGGGGCACAGGCTATAAACACGGTCTTATCGCATACAACCAGCTCCAAGGAAGGGAATCCGAGAAAGGGAAATTCGAACTCGGAAGACGCTCCCATAGCTGGCGAGCCACCACCACCACACCCTCCGTAATGTCAAGCTTGAGGTCGCGCAATTTGTTGTAGGTCCTGAATTCGTCGATCTTGGTTTTCATCCCTCCAAACACGGTGTAGTTTATGTGTCTGAGCTCCAACGAGGAAAGCGATGGACCGACGCCTGTCGTGAATGCGTCAATGCTGGACACTTCAAATGAGATACAACCCGGAATAGAAGATGGGCACGCACTCCCAAATATCAGCGTCAAATGTCGCACTCAACTCCCCAGGCGCCGCGTAGTCCGCGCCGCTGGCCGGAACCCCTTGCGCGCTGCTGCATCGTGAACAGTCAACAGCCAATCGCTCCAGTCGATTCAGCTTTGCTAATGGCTCCAAAATGGTTGAATCCAACCGTAAGCCGGGATAGCCATGGTAGTCGAATGTGCGCAGGTTTGTAGACGACCCGAGGAGATCCACAATTCTACTCCGAAGGGCGAGAACACTGGCAGGCGCCGGTTGTGGCTGATCACGGCTCGCCAACGATTCATCTTCGAGACGAACAACAAGCTGGCGGAGGCGGTGGGCGAGCGGCTCCGTTTCCCCAGCGGGGATAGTGAGCAGGTAGTCGAGGACATCATTTGACGCTGTTGTGGCCCTTGGGCTGAAAGAGTCGAGGTTGATGGGCAGCTGCCACAACCGGTCAAAGACTACCAAAACAAGTGGGTGCGAATGTGGGAACGCGAGGAGGAGGGTGTGGAGGGTTGGCGGGTGCTGGATATATGCTAGGATAGTCGCAAAGACGTCCTTGTCGAGCTCGACCATCTCGGGGACGAAAATGGGTGTTTTTGAGGTGGTAGTGCGTTTACATAGTTCAAAAAAAGGAGACCGAGAAGTTTTGACTTGGCGGGCTGCTCTTGGCAAGTTGCACCCAAGTGATCCGGCGGGTTACTGCACTCACAACGAGAGGAACCACATAGTTTTATATTTTGTGCTGCTCGCCAGAACAATGGATGTGTTCTCGCGTTATAGGGCGTGTGGGTGAGGGACTGCCATATTTGTTCCAGTGCAACAGCTACTTTCAAGTTTGTGGACGACGATTCGAAGGGCAACGACTGGTCACACAGTCACGTTCAGATGACGTTTCTTTTTTTTTTTTTTGTGGCACGTTAGGTAGTAGCAGATACAGTAATATACTTAATCACTTTCGTTCCCCAGTAAGTAGCTTGCCGTAGTTCTCTCGCGAGATTCCGTCAAGCATCCCGGGCCGACATCTGTCGGTCATCCACCACCCGTGAGTTGTGAGGCGGGGACTTGAAACCCCGACAGCCGGATCAAACCACTCGAGGAAATGCGCTCTCGCACTGGGCCCTTGGGCATCTGGTGTGGGGCTGCAGTTTCAATAGACTCAAGGCGTGCAGAAGGGGATTGGCCCTTCCGATCACCACCCATCCTCGCCTATCTCAACCGACACCCACTAAAACCCCGACCTCCCTTGACGTTGGCCAGTCATTCGGGAGTGATTTTTTGTCTTTCAAAGTCTTACTCCAAGTTTTGCGGACTAATGCCTTGGGGATGGCCTTTTTCTACAGATGACGGATACTCGACGACCTAAATCTCTACATAATTTTACCTGCTCTACCTACTGTGCGGCGTTTATTCCGCACTACTACAGAGCTACCGTTCGTATTAGCCTTGTTTGACCTTCCGCTCTTTCCCTTGGTGGCTTTGGCGTTCGAAGATTCAAGTTGCGATTTTCGTCTTCGAGGCTTTCTGCGAGTTGTTGGAGCAATAGGAATCTCAGGAGCCGAATCAAGTCCAGTGCCGTACATTTCTTGATATGGGATGTCGTAGGAATAGTGGGGGGTAGCAATATGAGCTGAGTAGTCCGAATATTCGTCCCATTGATCTCGCTGTAGAGATTCCAGTTCGTGCCTCAGTATCCTTGCTCGCTTGCGCTCCATATGCAGTGGCGCGTCATCCCATCTCGATTTGCGCTTCGTTCCAGCGATCAAGCCGCTGACGATAGCTGCAAAAAACACTTCTTGCATGACCTGGTCTTCCTTCCGTCTAAGCTTGATGAGACTGAGCTGCACGAGATCCCGAGAGCGTTTATCGATGCTTGTTCGAAGGTCTACCTCAACCGGGAAACTAGAGACAGCGCGCAAAACGCAAGGACGCTGTCGGACGCCAGGTAACGATCGTAACCCGTTTGTAGCACGCTTTGACAGGGTCGAGTCGACTTCTTCCTGGAAAAATTCAAATGGACACAAGACTTCAGTTTCGGAAGATAATCTACCTCGAGGAAAAGACTATCAATGTCCAGAAGCGAGATCGCAGGACGAAGGCGGTCATCCATTACTGGTTCATCTGTTGGGAAAAGACGAACAGCGACCCAGATGAATGATTTGTCGGCAAGTTGAAGGGCATACAACAAGTCCACATTCGGGGAAGAAGGTATGCAGAAAGCAGTGCCATATTTGTGGGCAATCCAGCGAGTGGTTTCTTCTAGTGTGTCTGTTGCTGTTGCGAGGGGTCTCGAAGACTCAAAAAAGTCGAGCAGCACTGCTTCATGCTGAATGTCACCCTTCTCATCTATGAATAATCGGACAAGCTGAGCTGTTTGACGAGCCCATCCAGGGACAGCATGAGGAAAGCTCATAATATCAGGCAATAGCCGAGGCTTGCCTAAGACCTGAGCGACATAAAAAGCAAGACAATGGGCCAAGCTCTGTCTCGTGCGAGGAGGGTTGATACGGAGACTACCGATGAAGGTCGAAGGGTGATGATGAGGACGGCCACGTTCTGGCGGCAATGGAAAAGGAAAAAGCTGGCGAGCGGCGCGGACTAGGACAAACGGTTCATCGAAGATGATTTGCGACAACTTAGCATCTGCGAAACGAGCATAGCTGTGATTGACTAGGTCAAGGTGTTCACCGGCGTCAAAATGACGTCCTTGATGGGTTGACATATAGCGGTAAAGGATTTCGACAACTAGGTCTTTGTGGTCTAATAATGTTCGAGTTCCCTACGACATACGTGAAGATGACACGAACCTGGAGAGAGTTCGGAAAAATCAAATTGCCTGATATTGAAGAATCCCCAAGCGAGATCAGATGGACATGCTTCTTCCACGCTCATTTCCACTGCGTCCAGCGGTTTCAGACCAGTACTGCTCCTAATAAGCTCGGAAAGACATGAATGGGGGTAGTCCAAGCCCTCTTCTAAGAGAATCGACAGAAACTTGTCGGTCAATCGATATCTGAAAATGATTCAGCAGTGCGATGAGAAACGAGCAACAACAAACCGTCCTCGACACCATCGCCAGAGCCGGGCAACGAGAAAGCGACCAGAAGGGGAATCCCGAAGGTTGGGAGGGAGAAACTGTTGCACGTACGTCTCATGAACGTCCGGATCGTCGAAAGAGCCCGTTTCGGAGATCGAATGGAACCCCAGATCCTCCCCGAGCGTGAATTCTGAAAGCGGGCTGCTCGGACAAACAAATGTACAACCTCCTCCTGTCAACGCTTTCCACGACCGGATAATTCGCTCAAGCAGTGAACTATCTTCGTCTTCGAACGTTAAGTAGGCCAGTTGTGCTTCATCCAAAACAATGAAAAGTGGAGCGTCGTGACCGATGACAGCTCGTATTTTTCGAAGGGCATCAGTAATATGATCCGCCAGATGGGACGCGTCGTTTTCGAGTAGAGCGGTGGCAATGGTAGAGTATAGGTCTTCTCCAGAGCCCGAGGCAAGTTGATTTTCAAGCCAGCGAACCTTGTGTTGGTCGGTAAGAGTATCGGATACTGAAGGTGTAACTATTCCAAGAAACTCTTGAAAGACCAGCAACCGGGCAAGCAACACAGCATCGAAATGGCGAAATCCAAGGTCTCTGTCACGTCCTTCCTGGATAATGCGGCAATAATCCCGGAACACGCGTGGTAGGTCATAGCTTCCCAGCAGATTCTCGCCGACGTCAAATGTGAAATAAAAGCCCCAGTTTGAACAAAGACCTTCGTAACACAACCGGGTTTTTCCCGTTCCTGCAGCGTTGACGAAAAGTCTGTCCGTCGAATTCTCATAAGTACAGGCGCTTAACGAACAAATGACTTTACTTGTCGTGTGGAGAAAAGAGACGCTCGACCCTTGCACTGAGGATGACATCTTGCTTGAACCTTCCTAGGTCGTGAAGGATTATGCGGAGAAATGTGTTATAAGTCCAAGTCTTGCGAAGATGAAGCGACGCTAGATGACGTTGGACATCAACATCACGATAAGCAGGATGAGCAAGGATGTTCGGTTTAGGCATCCATTGGGGAAGTACGTTAGCATTTTGGGCCCTGCTTTTGATGGCAGGTCGCCACTCTCTCAGAGTTTCCCTTGCTACCACGGATACCAGCGACGGGAACAGTGCTAAATAACGTCGCAAACGTAAGTGCCATTCAAGTGAGAGAGCAGTTAGACGCACGGGAGTTCAGGACTCGAGAAAAATCACCAGCCTCAGCATGCGCTGTTCGGAGTAGCGCGAGAAGAGGTGGTCTATCCATGAGCTCGTTCCTACAGACAGCTTCTGCCACCGTATCGTCATCCACAGGAAGGCCGTTGTTCTGAAATGCAAGAGCGAGGAATTTTGATAACACTGGGACCGCGTCTTCAATGGACTCAATTGGAGACCGCTTGAGGGCAGCGATAGTAGCTTCCCCACGGGAGACGGCGCTGGGCGAAGGCTGCATTGTGGGCGATTCGTGACGCATGGCGCGTTATTTTACAGCAGATTATGACAGGCATGTGGGTCCCGCCAAAAAGAACAAGAATATGTGTATGGGAAGGACCATAATGTGTGCTCCCGCCCTTGGGCGACGTTGAAATGGGTTTATGGGAGACATGGAGGTCATGGAGGTGTGAAACAACGAATGTTTGAGTTGTTGACAGCTGACTAACTCAAGTTAGATTTCTTGTCTCTCTCAAAAAATCGTCGTTCAAGGCACAATTAGTTGTGTGTGTAACAATCCATAATTCATGCAGGCATGTGGAGATGATCATCCCGTGTTCAAGTTCAAGTCAAGTAGGAGAAGAAGAGAGCAACCAACCAAATAACTTTAGCTAAAAACACACAAAACAACAACAACCAACGCGGTAAACGTGCACTATGCTGCCACCCAACCAGCTGAGCCAGCCAGCCCTGTCACAGACGGTGAAACAACACAAGACCAGGGCTAATAGGCAGAGGTGGGCGTTCTTGATGCCAGCAACGTTGTAACGCTCGCCGCGCCCACCCATATGTACTGTTATGCAGGAGGAGAGACCGCGAGGGAGGAAGAAAGTGGAGAAAACGTCTAAAGTAAGGACGCCAATGTAGGTAGTATAAAATAGGGTTCAAAAACAGACAACAGACAGACAGCACAGCAAGCGAGAGCACGGCTAGTAGTTTGTCGGATGTATGTGGTATATTTTGACGAGAATCGGCGTGAGTGGGAGATAGTTAAGATGTTTGTTGGGAGGGGGTTTAGAGATTTCACCAGTTCATGCTGCTTTGTTGCAGTATCGGTGCCGAAATCGCTGCAGGCATAACATTCCTCCGTTGCGTCATTCCAGCGCCACGACTGTCGTAAGCCATATCATCTTGACGATCACCTCCAAAGCCGCGCAAGGAATCTTCCGCGAAGTAGAAGCTGCGTCTCCGTTGACCACCAACGCTGTCTTGGTCGAAATCACGACCTGTAGGAGGAATTCCTGCGACATCTGGTGGGTCTGACAGTCGATGATGAGCAAGCTCCGCACGCCGTTTGAAGGCGCGGTAGGCGAGGAAGACGAGTACTAGTACTGCAATGGCACCCAAAGTCGAAACAACACCAATAATCGCATCTTGTCGTGTTTTGCTCTGAGACACCGCGCCATTTAGGTGATTAGCACTGGCTCCATTCTTCTTGGTAGTTGTATCAGGATCGGCCACGGAGTTGAGAGCAAAGGCAGAAACGATATGCTGAGCCAGTTGAGTGGCGACAGCATTTCCAGGAAGACCGGTGTAGAACAACGAGTTGCGCGACTTCAGCTGAAGAGCAAGATTGTCGAGGGAATCTGTCGGGATATATGCAAGGAAGATGGTTTGCAATTGGTCTGCATCCGCCGAGCCTTGGTACGATTCTGGAACCCGGACTTGCAACGCAAATGTGTGAACATCGGTAGCTGGAAAGAAAAAAAGTCAATAAAGACTCAACGAATCGGTGGCATGACCACGTACTAGGAATCCCAAGAGAGGTGGCCAAAATGACAGGCATCATTGCGAAAATTTGTGTGCTGGAGATGCTGTTGGTGCAAACAAACTCCCAACCCAAGAAGTTGTCGAAAAGCAAGCTGATGAACGAGTAGTTACCGACTCCTGGGTTCTGGGGCGGCCCATTTGGAGGGTAAATACGCGATGGGAGACCACTGGGAAGCGGGGCAGTTGTCAAGGCTGTCTGAGCCGATGCCGTAAAGGAGATTGTCGTGGTAGGAGCATCAGGGTTAGACAGCGAAAGACTCGTTGTAGTAGCCACAGACGCAAGCGCCAGCGAAGACTCGGTGAGGATGAAGGTCAGGTCAGACTGAACCGACACAGTGGTGGTGGTCGACACTGAGACACTGACGGTAGTACTCGTCGAGACGGATACAGAAACAGAGCTGCTTGGTCCGTTGGGGAATTCAACTGCGCTGGAGCTGCTTATAACAACACTCGAGCTAGGACCGCCGTTGTCAGGAATGGAGCTACTTGGTCCACCATTGTCGGGTACTGAACTGCTCGGTCCTCCAGGGATAGAGGAGCTGGGAGGGAAGTTGTCCGACTGGGAGACAGAGACGGGAGTAGAACTGACGCTGACGGGAGCAGAACTGACATCCGTGGTCGAAATGGAAAGAGGTATACTGCTTGGGATCGAAAGCGGTATACTCAGTCCAGGGTCCGACGCTGAAGCAGACCCTGAGGCACTTGGCGGAGGGTCTGTAATAGTCTGGCTGGCGCTAAAGATGGCCGTTGAGCTGAAGATGGCGCTCTCGGAGGGAGGAGGCGACAAGACACTCGACAAAAGACTAGACAGGGCGCTGAAGATGTCCGTGTTAGAGGCAGCGGGTTGACTGGATACCGGTTCGCTGGACACTGGCTCGCTGGATTGTTGTGGTGGCTGCGTGATTGAAGCAGACGCAGAATCGCTGACGGGTGTCGAGGAGACTGAGGCAGGCTCAGAAGCACTGCCGCTGGGTTCCAACTTGGTTGACGTTGCGCCCGGCAAGCTTATCGACACCGACGAGCCAGCGTCACTACCCGAAGGGCCCGCAGATTCAGAGGGCGTTGCGAACGGGTTGCCTGGGAGTGACGGCAGACTAAAACCCTCATCTCTGGCATGTGCATCTATAGTCGTCAACAAGGACGGCAATGACGACGGGAAAGCCACACACCAGCTCGTTGGCGGAACCTTGCTGCTTGAGCTTGACGGGAACGGCGGGCATGAGAGTCGTGAGCGGTGTGGGCTGAAGCAACGGCAACAAAAGTGACGGATAAGAGGGGGAGAACGAGCATTGGTGATTATTTGGGTTTTTAGCGGAAGGGGGAAGAGGCAACGAGCGTGATGGCTACTGCAACGCAGCAGGCGGGTGAGGTCCGATGGCCAGGGAAGAAGGCCGCAGTGAAGGGGAACAGAAGGGCGAGGGAAGTCGGTCACGGCCGTGACTCCCGACCCTCCCAACCAAAAAACTGTTTTACTTTTGTTTTACTTCCATATTTGCGACAAATCCGGTCTCCTCCGCCCGCAAACGGAGTCAACTATACCCAATTCCATCTGCATCAAGGCGTTGATGAACGCAGTGCGATGGCCACACGAAACTCAAGTCAAGATCAGCCACCAATGTGATTCTTGCCGTCAATTTCACACCTTCCCAAAAAAAATCTTACTAGTACTGTAACTGTACAAGTAACTGCTCGTGTTCAATGGACCCCGTTAGTTGTGCAACACTAGAGGGAACCTAGAACATTGTAAATCATAAAAAGTAAGTACCATCCTATCCACACTTCAGAGAAGCCTGATCAGGCAGCTGTCTACCAACGATTGGCTGTTATTCGTGTGTCGAGCAAGACAACTCACAAGCTACATGCAAGCTTCACGATCCAGGCACCTATCGGCGCTCAGACTAGCGTCAACCTACCGACGCTCGGAACCTCTACAGTAAGCAAGCGCGCTTCTCGACGTCAAAGTGAAGAGTGGACGGAGGCTTCGTGACTCGAGCGGTATTTTCTAATATGGAAAGTAAGTGACCCGCTTCTTTGCGATCTGTCCGTGTCATTTCAATACTGCTGCTACAACTTGGCAAGTAGATGGAGTAAGACACAGGTTTCATATGATCAAGGAACCAACGCTGGAAAAATTAGAGCGCCGAGTGCTACCGACATATTTTATATATGAATCGTGTCGTGGGTCCACGGAACGCCGCAACGAGGTATAGTGTACAACTCAACTAACCGCAAGTTCAGGATTTCATGCCAGAATCAATAGACACGCCCCGTTTGTGACAAGCTCTTGAGCAGAAAGTCATCCAAGTACTACGTAGCTTAGCGACAGACGATGAACAGAAGCATATTGCACACCTTGTCAGTCTCATCCCATGTCCTGAAGGTCTCCGCATACACAGCTCGAATCTTTGGGTGCAGGGTATCAAGATCGAGTCTTCGCCCAAAAAGCATGTCGTCGACAGGGTCTTCTTGCACTGGTGGTTGACGAGGAACGTTCTGGGATGCACGGAGTTGAATGACCGTGATCATATTCGCGACACCGAAGTCGTCAGAAGGAAGGAAAACCCGCTTCGGCGCCGTTGTTGTTGTTGTTGTTGCTGTTGGCAATCGTGCTGAATTTGGTGTGACAGAACGCGGACTGTCTTCTCCCGCTCGTTCATCGGACTGGACAACTTCAGCCATTGAGCCAACAGATCCAGAAATCAATGCTCTCTGGTTTTCGCGTGTGGCTTTACGCTGAGCAGCAATGATTTCCTGACGCGCGGCATCCATATCGACTTTGCCGTTAGCACTCATGTCGACAGAAGTCCTCCGTAATTTCGCGAGCGCAATCTCGTCTAATGCAGTGGAGATACTGTGACGAACGTTGGTCGGAGTTGGTGGTGCATTGTCTTCAACTGGAGCGTCAACTTTCCTGCTCAGATAGAATCTGACTGCCGAATCATCGGTAAAGTCGTTGGAGAGGACACTAGCCATGGAGCCCATACTGGCGATGCTCGCTCTCTGGGTCACACGATGGACTTTTTCCACCAGACCTTCAAAGATGACGAGCGGCGTCTCGTCAGGACGGAGCATCATATCAGCGCTTTCCACTGCACGCTTGATGGATAAGTTGTATGCGTCTGGGTCCAGGTCGTCCAAGCGGAAGCGTTGAGCAGCTTGCTTGATCAATTCTGATGATGTTGTCGACGAGTTTAACAACACGGTCTTGAACGTTGCTTCGGTAGGAAGATTTTGTCCAGCGAAGATACGAACAACGCTCAAACCTGGGACACCATCCCCAACAGAAGGTATGAGTGAGCCCGGTCGAGAACGTGTCGCAGGAGGACTGAGGGTTGCATTGTCCAAACCAGGAGATAATTCCGGTTTCGAAGTCTGGCTTGCAGAGCGGGCAAGATATTGTTGAGTGTACAAAGCATGTTGTTGTTGTTCTCGTTGACGCAACTGAGATGTCGCAGCCTGTAGTGCGGCTGCATCGTTGTTACGTGGCTCAGAAGTCTGTTGCTGTTGCTGCTGCTGATTTTGCGATGACATTCCGCCCTTGAGGGGAGGACTATTATTGCTCTTCTCTTTGGTATTCCTTCCCGAGAAAATGCTGAAAACCCCACGACTCTTCTTCTTTCCTTCATCGTTGTTGGATGGCTGCTCTTTTCGGAGCTTTCCTGAGGCGGCTGACGAAGACTTTTCACCTCGGACAGGAGCAGCAGCCGTCGATGCCAACGGTGTATGTGACTGGGGTTCAGAGTCTTGAGATTGTCTCGGGATTAGATCGCTATCTGAACTTTCGCGGGGCCGCCTCCGGTCACCGTCTGTGTCTATCGATTGACGCTCTGCGTTGAGGGAAGACGGCTGCGCCTGGGCTTCAATTGGCGATACAGTTCCCGTCACTTGAGGTGGTGAAGCAGGAGCATCATCCAATGGAATTTCCGTCTCCGTCTCCGGCTCAGCCTCTGCTGCTGGTTTCTCCGTAGTTGCGCCTTCCATGATAGACATAGTCTCTATGGCAAGTTCGCGGTCCTCTGCCTCGAAACTTCCGACTTCCCACTCGCCTTCCTCATGATCTTCATCTTCGAGATCCATGGGATCATACTCGTCATCGCTCTCAGTCATGTTGGCCATTCGGTGCGCCTCTCGTTCGGCGAACCACCGTTCTTCATCCCACACAGCTGGCGGATAGCGGTGAACATGGAGGGAGGCTGAGAATGCAAGTGATTGTCGCTGGTTCAATGGGTCACGGACAGTATTTCCAACCCGGGGCGCGTTGGACTGGGTATTGGCAGGACGGGATGAAGCGAGATCGGACTGAAGTTCAGCTTGTGTTGCGGATGCTAACTAGCGAATGCAACAAATATGAAAGCGCTCCAGTGGAAGAAAGGGAGCACGCACATCGACATTTTTGTGTTTGTTGAGCCGGGCGAGACGCTCTACTGGCGTTTCGATGTTCTCAGCAGGTATGTATCCAACTTCTTGCGTTTTGAGCACACGTATCAACCACCAATATGAGTTGGAGTCGTCTAACTTTGAAAAGAGTGAGAATTGAGGGCTTCCGGACAAAACAGAAGCAGTCATACTAGGAACAGGCTATCTCCCTTGACCACATTCGCCTGGCCTTCCACTGTTGCCGAAAAACTGTCGATTCAGCCAATGTGAACAGTTTATTGTGGAACAGCATCACCTGTGTAAGCTGTAGACAAGACTGAAGTCTATGCTTTCGTCCGGCACGGAAAGAATAGATGTATCATCTTCGTCGTCCATGAACTCGTCTTCATCCTCATCTTCAAGCATGGAGTGCTCCCCCTCATCACTGTAGCTCGCTTCCTCGTCGTAACCGTGGTGCATTGGGCGCGTATGCCGTCAAAGGCGAATAAAATAAAACAAAAGCGAATGAGTAACGAGCGACGTCGACCAGAGTGGGGAGGAGACCAGTGACGGATTACGCGATCAATTTTTGATCTGTTGCTTTCCTCCAACAATATACTCGTCCTTCACAAAACCACCAGCGGCAAACTAGTCTCGAAATGGATCTCGTTCAAACTTCAACCATGGAAACCAATGCTTTATTGTCTTCTTATGGCTGCCCTTATAGTATTAATAACAGAAATCATGGCCAAAAAGGTTTTATTGTAATCCCTGTGGACCCACACCAACGCTGTGGCCACATATATACCGTGACTCCGTCATTCTTGTTCTCATTGCTACATTCCCTTCTCCCATGGCCGAACCCGAAGCATTAGCCACCTCTCCTTGCGCTCCCCCAGTGCTCTCACTAGAAACAGCTAAATATTTGGATGATATTCGCCCTAGCATCCAAGCTGCCCTCGAGAAAGGTCCCGGCAATCTGTTAAAGAAATGGGCACCAGCTGCAGAAGTCTACTCCGACCCCGACATCATCGCTCACCTAACTAGTCTAAACCTCTGGGAAGTTTCTGAAAGCCTCTGCATTGGTATTCATGAACTGGGCTGTTTTCAACAAGACCCGATCAATCGCGACCGCGTTGCGAGCCTGTACACCAAAACCGATAAGTAAAAGCGTCAGTCTCCCCGAGAGAAGTTTTTGTTCACTGAGAGCTTAGATTTCTCGTTAATGGGTCTGCCGCTGGCAAAACTCGCCTATCCTATGAGGGACTCTGCGTGAACTGGGGCTTCTTGTTCACGCTGGTGAGAGATCCACCTCTCGGCGCGCAAGACATTTCGCCCCACTTCATCTTCGGAGAATTCTCCACACTTTGGGGAGTGTCTGAAACACTCTCTGCACCACTTGTCGCCCGCCTACTGGTCTTCAAGGTCTTCCTGCAGGTTGCCTGTGCTATTTCGAACGCCACCCTAACCAACGATCATAAACGGTCTTGGCTGCTGATCCAACTAGTTCCAGAATTGATTCGGATGAATTGGGACGATGACGTTTTCCGCACACTGCGTCGTTTGATTGCGCAGCATGATCAAACCAATCTTCGCCATCTCGCGGCGGACGCTATGGCAGACATTTACAACTTGTTGCCCAGCGAAGACCGCCATCTCTTCATTGTTATGGACCAAGCTCAAGTAGCGGCTCGTCGTCGACAGCTTTTCGGGCCAGAACACTTCATCGAAGAAATTCTCAAAGCATGGATTCCGCTGATGAGACCACCCTCGTCTCCATTAGAATCAAACTTTATCTTCGTTGGAACGGAGATGCCCAAGGATATCGGCCCTTTTGGGACTGGATTTACCTGGGTCTCAGGTACTGGTGCTTTCGACGATCCTGTGCGTCAAGAAGTCTATGTCCGGAAATTCCTACCCCCAAAGATTTGCGACTCCAATTCCGGCCGGCATCTTCTCACCAGAATATGGCGTTGGCTACGGGGAAGGTCAGCTTAGTACCCACCAGTGCAGTCGACGTCAACGCTGATTCATGAAATACAGGCACCGTCTCACTGCGAGCTTTGTTCAAGCCCTAATCTCGGAAGGACTTGAATACCCTCACACGTACTTGAACGTTTTCTTCCAGCATAGCTCTGGTCTAGAACTACAAGACGCTAAAGACTTTATTGCAAAGGAAAAATGCTCCCAGGAAATACGATCTGGATGGAAACACTACCAGTTGAATTCTCCCATGCGTTTCCAAAAGCTGAAGCCTGGTGAGTCCTTACAAGTGATCGTCAACTGGAAAGGGGATCGTGATCATGTTGGCAGAGGCGCAGGAACTGTTTCAAACAATTTTGTATCGGATGATGACAACACAAACACCATCACTACAGCTGAGTGAGGCGTACACCTACCTCGTCAACAATGCTGTAGCCCACTTTGTGGACGCCAACCAATCAATAGTTAGCGTTGACGAGCCTATCGTTCTTGCGGCAGCAGCTTCACAGTCGCTAGAAAGTGGATGGTATCAGCGGCCCGTCAGCCTCGAGCAACATATCAATCTGGCACAGTTGCCTGCGACTGCAGCATTGCATTGTCTCCTATTCTACCTCGCCCGCACAACTCATCTTGCCGCCCACAACTTCTTTAAATTTGTACCTTCTAGTCGCTACCCAAGATGGGCGTTTCGCGATTGTCAACTGGTTTATCTCTTCAGAGGCCCGGGCACAGAGGACAAACTCGGATATCGCTCCATCATGATCACTGGGGATCCAATTCTGGACACAACATGGCCCCTGGCTACGCAAACCGACTCTTTTGAAGAACTGATTCGGTGGCTCGAAGGTCGATATGCGACCCCGTTCTGCGTATACTCGAGATCTATCGGAGACGTGGTGTTTTTCTCACTTCGAACGTCAACGGGCACTTTCGTCCGCGTTGCACTAAAGGTCGTGTTCTCTGCTGAAGAAGTCACGCTTGATGTCTGGGACGAGGCTTACAAGAGCCTCCAGGTAGAGAATATCATCCCCGACCCTGAACAGGTACTTAATTCCGTCCTCTTGTGCTTGCGCCTATTGAGTTCCACTAGCATCTTGCCCGCTTCAATGATGCTTTGAAATGTGTGCCTCACGGGAAACTCGCGCAGCACAAGGTGCAGCGTGTTGTGTCTTTCCTCCGCGGCAACGATCCGGGACCCGATCCGCGACCCACAATATTCCAGTCCAGCGAGAGTGATAGCGGTGACTCTGCAGTTCTTAATGCGCTGTATTTCAGGGAGCCCTTGAAGACTCCGTTACTCGATAGCATGCTGGCTGGAATAGGGGGAAGTTGCAGCCCCAAGTCAAGGCGGGATGTGGGTCAACCGTTGCGCAAGCAGTTGAAGCGGAAAAGATCTCGGTCAGATCTAAAGTATTAACTGGCCTTTATCTACTTCGCGATATCTTTTCAATTGGCACATGTACCAGGTAGTTAGCAGGATTCTACTTTATCAACGCTGCAAGTTAAGTATTAACTTTGGACACCAAGCCTTCAATCTCCTTCTGGGTTAAACCCCATCGCTCCAAAGTGCCGCTCGGATCTTTTGCATGCTCAAATGCTATCCATGGCTTCAACGCGACCTTCTGCGCCGCAGAAAATGTGCCATCGTGTGTTAACGCAAACGTTCGCAGTAAACTGGAATAAATCTGTTTCAGCGATGCACCGAAAACTACGAACCAAAAATACTGACCCGATACCCTTCTCCTCAAAGTCAGCATCTAGTCCGAGAACATCTCCATCTGGACCAGACGGTACTGGCTTTGTGAGTCCATGGACAACGGCATCGAGGATTCCATGGGTGTGTAATGCATCGAGAGTGGGCACAGCGGTGTCTACACGCGATGGGGTGCGCAGAGCGGCGGCATGCGAGTTTGGGTGGACAGGGTCGGCATCGCGGGGTCTGACACCCGACGATGTTCCGGAGGAATTTACGAGTGAATTTGGAATGAGGAGGGTGCTGATCAGGAAGAGAGCCTTGCGACGGACGCCAAGATCGGGGTCTGGAGGATGTTTTAGTCGGACATTAGTGGGGGGGAAGCGATAACCAACCTTGGAGTGCCTCTCGCAGCCTTTCCCAGCCCTGAACGTCGTTTCGCGAGAGCCCAACAACGGCAGGGGCATTATGCTTCAGGAGGCCAGACAGCGTGTATACTGCTTTGCTCCGTGTTTGCGCTGTCGACGCGGAAGAAGGGAGGAGAAACTGGGTGAGCGAGGGTAAGGGATCGAGCTCAAGATACTACTCAGTTTCAGCCACCACAAACACAGAAAGCAGAAACAAGACGCACAGCATCCTGAGCAGCAGGGTTGTTTTGTAAAGCAGTCCCAGCAACCCACAGAGCTTGCATTCTGAGCGCATTACTCGGCGCGGAGGTAATCAGCTGCTGTAGCGGTGTCCATAACTTGAGTTTCTCGAGATCTGTACAGGAAATTGGGTTTGAATGTGAAGAAGAATCACAGGACTCACTGTTAGCGTTGTCAATCTGCTCGATGAGCTACCTGTCGCGTAAAATGCGTCAGGAAAGAAACAGGCCAACACACCATTTCGAGATGATCTAAGGCCGCAATCCTCTCCTCCTCGTCTTTGGTCTCATCGACAGCAGCCGCCATGTCCTCCTTCATCAACACCGCATCCGATTTCCCGAGAATGTGGTCGATAATCCCCGGGTCGAGCGCTTGTGGCGGTTGTCGTGGAGGTTCAAGCGGGACATTGGGATCGCGCGGGGTAGAGTTTTCAATACTCCATCGTAGTAGAGATTCCATTTGAGTAGAGTCGTGCAGTGCGCGATCCCTTTCGAAGTTTTGAAGGTGGGTGAAATAGCGTGAAGGTGCGAGAACCTTCCATTGATTGACATTTCACAGCCACATGTCATTCTCAGTCGTTACGTCATCACTAGTGAATTGAAGTCTCACAAGATACTTCCTTGAAAACTGACTTGCGTGCTCGTCCTCATTGAAAGTATGATAACAGCTCACTACAAAGTACAAAATCCATGCTAGAACCTGAACAACCCCTTCTTTTTCTTCTTTTCCTCTGTCGACCCATATGATTCCGTCGCCGCCATTGGAGGTGGCTTTGCAAAAGACTGCGCTGGTGGAGTAGCCCCAGCGGGCCTCACATTCCTCCCGGGGGGCGCGATATTTCTCCCACCAGCACTCGCAGCCGTTGGTCTGGCAGGCGGCGGCGCATCCCTGGTGTAATACCTCTCATCGTAATACTCCTGGAACGCCTGTCCTGGCCGACCCTCCTTGACACCATTCGGCAGCGCTTTCGATCCTTGACCCCCAAACTCGAGCACTTGCAGGTCGCTAATGAAATCGCGCGGAGTCAGAGTGTGCGTCGAGCCGATGAAAACATCGCGGTTTAGTGTTGCCGATAATTGATAGGCTTCTCGAATTTCTGAGTACGTCATACCACCAGTCACAAACACAAGTAGTCGCCCGCGATTGGTTTCTCGCTCCGGTCCGGCACCACTGGCGCCAGGTCGAGGAGCTTTGTGCCATGAAGGTTTCTGGCTACGTAAAGAAGTTGTCTGCACGGGTGTTGCGCTTCGTAGGCTTGTTGACGCCGCGCTTAAGGAGCTTGAACCAGATGAAGGTTCCTCCTTCACGTAGGGGAACAAGGTTTTGTCCAATTTATCGACCACGTGTTCCTGAATATTATGGTCAACGTCAGTGCTGACAGCCCAAAGAGCCAACCTCTAGAACAGTTCTCAAGACCGGTTTGAACCGCGATAACTCGTACTCTTCCTCTTTGGATTTCTTGGGGACCAGCTTCTTCTTCAAATCGCGATCGCCTGGCCCTCGGCTGATCCGGACACCAAGATGCACTAATGCATTCACCGCTTCCTGCTCCGCAACACTCAATCGGGCGTGTTGGTAGAGTCGGCGGCGGTCCTCGTCTGGGACACCGTCCCGGAATTGTATATAAAGTGCGACAATGCGAACTTTATTGAGGTTGCTAGGTTGATCTGCATTGAGCGACGTGCTCTAGACCAGTTAAAAGGTTACGCACATCACTTCCCGACTATCCAGCAATGGCACCATATCTTGAACCAGGTTCTTTGGGGTTTTCCCCTCGATGGTTGCTCCCGTTGCGCAGTCTTGCTCAATGGAAGCGACGAGTGGCAACTTATCTTTTTCGAACAGACCCATGCATTCTTGCGCCATGCTCAAATGCAGTGAAAACTGTTTTGTGTCAATATTCGCACAACTAGAGAGGAACAAGGATACCTTTTCGCGTTGCTCTTGGTATTGAGGTAGGCTCGCCAACATGTCCTTCATATCATTTAAACTCGCGGCACCCTCGCTGAGCAATTTAGATGACCAGATATTTGCCTAAGTATTGAAGAACACACCCATTGAAAACTGCATTCTCCTCCAAGAATCGGTTGAAGTCCGCCATAAGCTTGTCGATTGCTTCTCGCATATGCATATGTCGAACTTCCGTCCATACAGTGTCGGAATCAGACAAAGTGGCGGTTTTGTCCTCGAATGCACCAACAGAAGACTGGAACTTATATCTGCAAGATCAGGTCAAAGAAGGCTAGAGTAGTCCAGGAAATACGCACGTATATTTCGTTCCACCCTCTATGGGTAATAGGTCGTTCGCCATGGCCTGATATGTAAATTCGTGAAGAAATGGTGCAATCATATCCATGGTCCGGTCTGTTATGAATAGTGTACCCCTCGGCCGACCAGTCGTATCTTTCGCAAAGTCTGGGTTGGCTTTCTTATATTCTTCCAACGCTCCCTGGACGAAAAATGCGAGTATTTTCGTGCCATGGTCACCCTCAGCCGCTTCAAACGCTCTTGCCTCGGCACCTCGAGCAAGATTGGTTCGCCATCGTGAGCTACCTTCGGGTGGTGGTGGGGCTCGAGTAGATGCGTTGGGCTTCAAAGCTCCTAACGGTTGGTGGTATGGTGGGACATAGTATCGGATGTAGGGAAATTCGTTGAGTGTAATGCAAACGTTGGCGATCTAAGACATGAGAGGACTAATGGAGAGGACCAGCAAGCTCACGCACGATTTTACTGGCAAAACGAATATCGTCTTCAACGCGCGCTCTTGCGGCTTTGAATTGGCTGTCGTTCCGAGGCGGACTGTACAAGCTGAAGAAGAGGTCAGGGGCCTGAAGTGAAAAGGTTTGGGCTTCAGCGGCTGTCAAAATGAATTCAGCTTTGCTCGAAAGATTATACGCGTTGACGCACGCCAGAAGTTAATGAACAATTCTCTGACACCACGTAGGTAGGGTTCAACGCTCGACACAAGTCGCTCGAACAATCGTTCCTCCAGGCCTGATTCTACGTGAGTCTAGGTTTGGAACACAGGGGAAGAGCCGACCATCGATGAAGAAGAGGTGGCCACCAGCATACTGGCGGTTTGACGAGTCTTTGATTATACGTTCGATATTCTGGCTCGTGGGCATGAGCAGATAGAGCGCCTCAAATTCGGGCTGTGGGTCGCGGTTGCTGGTGATTGATTCGATGACTTCGGTCGCCGTAAGTCGCGCAGATCTAGTTACCGACGGAAGACTCACGAGTAACATTCTCTTCGAGGATGTCGAACTGCTTGAGCACTGATCCGAGAAGTTTTTGTGAATGCTCGTCAACGACAAGGATTTTCCATTTCCCTGGCGGGTTGACTGAGCGGATAGCCTCGAGGAATTCTACAAGTTCCAATGAGCATTTGGTATATGAAGCTGGTTGTGGGGTGTGTTGGCATACTGGAGCGGACGGTGCTGATTAGAGAGGGCATTCACTGCGCTTCTCGTACGACGTCCGTATAGCAGTGGCCCAATGGGGAGCTAGAGCAAGCAGGATGAGGTTTCGGAGAGAAGGAGTTAAGTGATGTCACGCTCTTAACATCACTGGATTCACGGTTCAGATGGTCTGTAAGGATAACACGATATGTATAGTGAGACGCGCCAATTGTAGCGATGTACCATAAAGTAATAAGCTAGAAGATTCAAGACAGATACAAGCACCTTCAATTTTAACGATCCAATCAAAACGAGGCTGTTTGAGAGAGATTAGAAAGTAAGGTAAAACTGCAGAATCAACTGCAATACTTGTGCTCCGACAAAATGCAATGAGGTACTCGACCATGAAGAAGGCAGAAATGGCCAATTGAAAAAATAGAGTTGGAGGTTACTCGTCGCGTTCCGAAGTTCAGAGGGGTTGACACTGATGTCAAGTAAAGCCCGGAAATGTCATTGAAAAGACATTTGTTGTGAGTTTGTGATGAAAAGCTCGATCTATCTTTTCTTCGTGTTTCTCGATTCGAGCACGAAAATTTTGGCATCCACGCCTCCGCTTTGCCAATGTGAGGTGGGGTTTGACGGAGTAAGTACAACCGTGAAACGCCAGGGCTCGGCAAGCGCGGAACTAGATATACCGAGAGTGCTCAGGTCAAAATAACGCGCAACCTATGCTGTTATGTATTTTGTGAGAAGTTTAATTACTTGAAGGCGCGATGACGAGCACGGACCGTAAGACCAAAGGCAGGTTCAGATGGTGGTAGCAGATCGTAAGCGAACTTGGACTGAACGGGGCAGCGAGTATGATTTAGATGAGCAGTGGAAGAAAGAAACATCGGCTGATTGAAATATTAATCATTAGGGTCGCCACAACAATTGACACAAACATACCGAGCGTGAAGGTGGAGGGGCTACCTGGCAATTGCGCAAAGGGGATGGACCAGGCGGCTTTCGTCCTACTATCGAGCCGAATCGAGGAAATATATGTGTGTTCGTACCCGGCTTGACGTTGAGGCGGACTCGGACGGTATTGACGTCGAGGTCGCAGTTTCTAGCAGAATTCTCAGGAAATCTGGATTCTTGAATGACCTCGACAACTTTGCCGGTTTGGAAAGCGAGTCGGGCTCTCGCTTTGTACAGGACTTTGGTAGGAGATGGGATGGTCGTCGCTGGTTCACGGGTCTAAGTAATAATCAGAGGAACACATACGAAGTCGGGTAAAACCTACAGACGCGTCGCTCTCCTCTGGCCAACCCTTGAACTGAGCGGTAGCAAAGATATGAATCCTTTGATGAAGAGTCAAGCTTGAATCACTGTGTAGAGGCTTCCGTGGTTGAAAGCACTCACTTCGTTAGATAAAACATGGCACAGTTGTCGGATGGGAAGTATATAGCAGGTAGTACTTGCGGGCATCGTTATCGCTTATATTCTTATGGGGACATTTAGCCAAGCTCCAACTTGAATTAGTCGAGACAGTCTTAGTTTTAATTGGGGCCGGAACCTGACGGAAAAGTTTGAGCTCCACAGGCGGGACGGAAGCTAAAATGCACAAGCCAGCAGCTAACATTTAAGGACTTGAGAAGTCTAAGGAGAAGCAACGACAGAGAACTTACAAGTCAGAAAGATGCGGGTGAGTACTGAGATGGGTTGGTAATCTTGCGCAATTGCCAATGAAATCGAGTAATGATCTTCTAGCCTGGCTAATGGCGAACTCTTTCAATTTGGTAGTTGAGGAAGGTTGCATGAGGTTCATAACGGAAAGTCGTCGTTCGAGTTTGGAACGTAGCCCAAACGCAGTGTTGTAGTCGATGAGACTTTATGATGATCATGTTGGTCTACCTGTGATTACAGCGATTCCTTGGATTTCGAACGAAGTGCTTTATGCAATGAAGAAAAGCCGCAGCTTCATTACAGCCTGGGGTCGAAGGCAAAAAATTGATGCGCCATCAGGTGACTTGATCGGGGTCATCCACTTCCAAGTTCCCACAAACTATCGCCTGAACCAGATTCACAATGTGCTTGCAGGACTCTGTCACTAAATCTTATGGCGCAACGTCCCACACAACTCATGGAATTCATTCCTTTCTCCCACCCGAGCATCCACGGCGGCTTCCAGATTATCCAGGATGTCAAAACTTGGTCTGCAACAACCACGGTGGTTTCGGGAGCCAGGCTCTGAAAAGAGGGCGTGAAAACTAAGACAGCAATAAGCAACATTATTCCAAGCCGAGAACAAATGCGACCACACCCACAGGCCATATCACATCATAGTTCCTTGTTCGTTTTTGTGCTCACTCTTCTCTTTCTCCTCTCAACATTTCCAGGCTGACCGCACAGCTGCCCACGGTCCAAAACTGATGTTTCCTGCAAAGCACTCCGCAGAGATTTCGACTTCTGGAACATTTCCCTTCCTATCACTCCCGACCTGCGAAATTCTTCGAGATATACATGAACTACTCGACGCTGTCGACTGGCAGGCCTCGTTCCTACCCTACTGGGATCACGATGAGCCACATTTTGGTGCTGTTTACGACAGTCCAGAGATACGACACCATCTTAAAACTCTTCAACTCCGAAAGCCAGACGAGGATTTTGATGAATTCGAGATTATTCTCCATGATCTTGGGGGGTTTTCTCAACATCCCCTGCTTCGCGATCGTGTCGCGCGACTATTCAGTCCCACAAACAAGTAAAACACGGGTTCAAAAGCCGAGAAACAGCTCTGTGCTGACCAAATTAATAGGTTCCTTGTCAATGCTTCTGGTACTGGGAAGACTAGATTGTGTTACGAGGGCCTTTGCGTTAATTGGGGCCTCTATTTTACCATCGAAGTCGACACGGGATACCTTGGAAGCAACGACTTGGAGCGGAAACTCTCGCAGCTTATCGACGAAACAGAACTCGCTTCGGTGGACCATAGCGCCGCCGATGGACCAGAACGTGTTCAGCGCAACTCAGATGTCGCAAATCGATGGTTTGGAGCGATACTCCTGGCCCGACTTCTTCTTTTTCAGCAATTCCTCGAGATATCCTCAAGAGGTTCATTGTCTATCCCAAATCGTCAAATGCGCTGGCTTGAATTCCAGCTTTCACCCAGAGTCTTAGGTGATCGACTAGATTATCTTGGGGAGGATGTGTTTGTCACGCTAGCCAACACGCTCGCCACGAATGACTCGCCAAATTTGGCAGAAAACATTGATGATGTGATCCGCAAGCTCCAAACGAGTATCGGTACCGAACGCCCTATCTTCATTATCATTGATGAAGCCCAAGTTGCTGTCGACCACCTTCCTTCCGCATTCGGGGACGGGAAGCCATTCCTGTGGGAGCTCCTTCGCAGTTGGTCCGCTTTAACCAAAGGCGCATGCACCTTTATTTGTGCTGGTGTCCGAATACCTGCATCTCTGTTCACCGGAGAGGTTGGCAGAGACTTTGAGTGGACATCGGACACCGGCGCATTTGACGACCCAGATGAACATGAAAAGTATATTGCCAAGTTTCTCCCTCCTACATTCCGGGATTCACCTCCCGGTCGCTTTTTGATATCCCGTCTTTGGCGTTGGTGCCGTGGAAGGTTGTCTTCTTCAAGATATATCAACCTTGCTAACAAGTTATTAGACACCGTTTGACGGACAGGTTTTTGTCCTTCCTTCTGACTGAAGGGCTTGAGTACCCACACACATGCTTGACCAGATTCGTCAAAGATGGCACAGAGCTCAAAGCTCTTGACGCAGTGAGGGCCTGTCACGATGAGGCTGCTCCGCGAGACCTGGGCTGGGCTTTTAGATTTGGAACCCCTAATTTCACCGAGCTCGACCCAGGTACCAATATATCCACTCAGTCACATATAGTCCTGACATTCTGCAGACACCAAAAACATAGTCTTGGACATTCTTTATCAGTCCATGGCCGAACGCAAAACGAACACATTCGGCGCAGACCAAATATCTTTGGTTCAACGAGCATATGCTCGGTTCATTGATGTCAACCTATCTCAAGTCCGATTTGATGAACCATTCATTCTCGTCATTGCTGCTCGCCAGCTATTCCCAATACCGGTCGAGCCGCTTGGAGGTCGTCCTAACGATCGACCATCTACATTCATAACAAGTTTACAACTCAATCCCCCACCAACCCGGCAGGGCGTTGCCCATTGTCTCGCTTTCTATCTCTCGCAAGTGTTCGGACGCACGAGGATGTTGACGGACATTTTCAAATTCCCACATGCTGCTCCTGGGCTCGTCAAACGGCTCAACTCGTCCGTTTCCATTTGGGTGGTGATGGGGAACTTGAGAGCACGATAGTTGGTTTGGATGTATTCAGGTCTCTGGCTCCGTTAGTAACAGCGACCAGAACTCTGGAGGAGACTATCGAATGGATTGAACACGCTCATGGCACCGCATTTTGCATGCCTTCTTCACCCAACATAGACTTGCTGTGTGCGGTCCGGCTGGCGGAAGGCTCATTTATCTGGCTCGCTATCCGTACGATTGCAGCCAATGAACCTGTCAATGACGAAACTTTGCAACCCCTTGTGTCACTTCTGGATATCGACCATGCATTTTCCGAGGTATAGAACATGTTTGATTTTTGACCTCATGGAACTGAATTTATCTCAGACCGGCGCCGACTCTGCTTCCATTAAAAGGGCCACCGATGCTCTCCGCTCTTTGCCTGGAGTCAAACAGCGCCCTTGCTTCCTCCGCGCTGTCACTTCGTTTCCTGTTGAAGCCGACATCCGTCAGTGTGTGGATAAACGCTGTCGCGATGTCGCCAACCTTAGCTTCCGGGCCCTCCGGCGCAACGAAGACCAAGTCATGCAGGAGGACTTTTTCGAGGCCATGGTGAATGGAGCTATCGCTGGCACCAAAAGGAAGTCGCGTTGGGACGATGGGGCGCTGCAAGAGAACCGCAAACGCGCTAAAGAACTGCAGGAGGAGCTGAGGATTGAGTCTAACAGGGAATTCATCAGAACCATGAATGACGTGGACCCGCATTACTCATGGGACATGAAAGGGTTTGACTTTACCGCGGATTACGATCCGTTGGATGCTGTGCCCGCCGCTAGGCAGCCTCCCCCCCTGCTCGTAAAGAACGAAAACAGCCAAGGACACGCCGAACACCGAAGAGCCCGAGAGCACGTCAGAAGAACTTGAAGTAAGGCTTAGACTCAGTACGTTCATAGTCCATCTGTGAAAGCCTTGGAACCTTACTGAAGAAAAATGAAAGCAGATTTGTTGTAGTAATATATATGACATTCTATACCAGCGTAGCAGTGTATGCGATGCGAGGAAAGTGGCATCGGAATGTAGCTAGAGCACTCTGAGTCTCGAGGACAATTTCCTCACGGTTGAGAGCAACGAGCACTCCGATGGTGGGGATATTGCCCGGGCCATCATCACAAACAACAGAGATTGTGTCCCGCAGTTTGAAACCAAGACGGCCTGCCTCGACCTTGTTAAATCCAACCACAGTTTCAGGCTCGCGAGGTGCCGAAGCTATTTGGGCGGCAGCCTCTTCACCGCTTGTGTATGTTACCGGTTGAGCTTTCTCGAGAATGGCCAAGTGGTCCGACAGGCGAGCGAGCCAGGCTGTGGTTTGGGGAAATGTCTCCGCAGTGAATATAGACTCAGATTCAAGAAGTGTCCGGGCGAAGAGACAAGAAGCATGCGCTGCTGAGTCGGCGAATGAAGGACTTTCCGTGTCAAACAGCCATTCACGGCCGTCGGCAAGCTGTTCTTCGAGGAAGGTGATGTGTGAGGAAAGAACGGAGAGGTTGGCTGGTCGAGCAGCGCGCTGTTTCTCGATGTCAATTGGGCGACCGAAAAGAGACTCTCGGTCATGCACAAGCTGACTGGGGAGTAGATGCCAGCGCAACAAAGAGACGATGGAGGGGGAAAGGGTATCGTCTACCCAGCTCTTGGCGAAGAGCTTGATCAGAGCAGCATCCGAGCCTCCGTTATGTTTTCTTGGGGGGAAGATCGACCCGTATTGGCCAGGAGGGAACCGTCTTTCCAACGCGCTGGCCGCTAGACTGGTGTCGAAGTATAGATCACCACCTATGGCGAGAATCGGGATGCGTCTGTGACCCACTCCAAGCAGTTCAACATCTGGACGAGGAGGTATCATAGGAACGTTGACCCATGTTTGAGGAATGTTTTTCAGCAAGATTGTATGGTGCAGTTTCCTATGATTAGATCTGAATCAGCAAGTGGACAGCACATGGTCAGATTACCTCGAGTAGGGAGAAAGATCGTAACGGTAGACAATGACAGACATGAAAAACAGTGCTGGAGGGGCTTACAAGTAAACTGGCGCTTTTATATAAGAAAGGTAGTAGGCGCCTTTATGTGCCGCCACCAACTTGAACTATAACAAGAGCAATACAATACTATCTGGCATGGATAACGACTGTAGACGGCACAGATGGTTGACTAACTCAGATAAGTCGCAACTGATTCACATCCCGTCTTACAGCTGGTCAGAATGGGGAAACACCTCGGGAAACCCGAGACCACTCATATACGCATCTCTCACCCTGTTCGACATCGGGTCCACCAGACTCCTCAGAGTCGCTAACATCGCACTCGCCGTCATCTGCAGACTCCACAGACTGACAGTCTTGATGCGCCGATTCAGATTGGCCTGCATGACATGGAATGCCATAGCGTCGTAAACTTGCAGGGAGATTTCGTCCATCAGGCCGGCTGTAGTAGCTATGAGCGGTGGAGAAGCAGTAAGAAACACACTAACATTCCCACATCTGCGAGGCGTTTGTCAGTTCAAGAAAAGCTTAATGCTATTCACATACAGTCCAGGAACCGTCGAACTCGCTCAATTCCTTGACGACCCGACACCGAATCGGGATTAACGTCCGGTTGGCGCTGAAAAAAGGATGAGTGAGAGAGCGGAGATTGAGACCAAACCACATACTGCATGAAGCCGACGATAGGCCGTATCAGCGCATTATTCACGTACGATAAATCATTCGTGAACAGAGGCACAGCAGCCTTAAGGTCGCGAAACCGTAACTCGATGTCGATAACCACTCTAGGTCCTGATGACGGTGCTGTACTATCTTCGGTCCCAGTATCCTCCTTAGGAGCTTGTAATGGAGGCTTAGCGAGTCCTCGTTGAGCAGGAATGCGCTCGAGCGTGGTAGTGATGGCATCAGCGATCTCACCCAAAATTGCATTCAAGTCTGAGTCATCGTCCGGGTTTCGAGGAAACTTTATATCGAACACGGCGTCAACCTTGCCCGAGGTTATCCATGAGATGGGTCCCTCCGGCGTCGTGGTGGCGCGCTGTATGTGGTCTATCGGGACGCCATCAATCCGAACTCGGGACTAAACGACATGATTAACTCCTTAAGTAAGCACGAAATGGACACACCATTCGACCCCAATCACCTTCGCCCAGTTCCTTCTCCGTCGTCCGGCCAATACTCTGCGGTTTGTGTAGACTGAATAAGCAGTTATCAAACTGTCCCACAATGTTCTCTGCACAGAGCCAGTCGTAAAACATCCATTGCTTCCGGAAACATTTGATATCAGCTTGGAATATGGAAAAAGTGTGCGGGCGGAAGCCATCCGGTTGGTAGACCGTCACGAGAAGGTCTTCAACCTGTAATGACTCGAGCTCAAAGTCGCCTGGATAAGCAGGATGGCGGAAAGATGCCGGGTCGAGTGGATTGTCAGGGTCCCAATACACGGATCTGCGGTCTGATGTAGGTTAGCGCTAGGATATACTGTAAGAAAAAGATGACCGACCGAATACGCCTCTGACACCCTTGATGACCGCGTTCTGAACCAAGCCCTTGCCATCAAGCCATCTCCAGAGCGATAACGTGACATCAACCGAGTCGATATTGAGGTCGAACATGGAGTAATTTGTGTCCTCCTCTTCTTCAGGCATTCGAACATCTTCGTCTTCCGCTCCATGATAAGCAGGGTGTCCTGTAATATCATATCCACCCGCCGCGAAGCCTTCAATTTGTTGCCGGGAGTTGCTAACCGTTGTGCCACGGGGACGGCGGGAGATGAAAACATTTTTAAACGATATTCGCGAATCTTTCCACTTTGGGACGATGGCGGACTCAAATATTATGGTTACGCCCGTTTCAGAGGTGAGATAGTCACTGATTGCACGGGCGACGTAGTCTGCGAGCAGTGAATAGATAGCAGCTGGGTGTAAGTTGGCTTACGTTGCAACTGGAGACTATTTGCGGTCGCAAAGATGACCGAAAAAAAATGTCGTACTGGAAGGTAAAATTTAGCTGCGGCCAGACTGTCAATGACGACGCACGTTCCAACGAAGATCCATAATGTCTGGCTCATTAGGAACCAGGTGATAAACGCCGAAACATCATCTGCATTGAACCTTCGAAACGACTTGATTGCAAACCACTTGAATCGGATACGCGCGCGTGCCCAGAATCCAGTCGCGAGGCCAAGAAAGTCGTCGCGACTGGGAGGGCGTGGGAGGTGAGGCATTGACAGCGCTAGTCTCCGAAAAAATGGGGGGTAGTTGTCGAAATTCGGTGGTGGTGGTGGTGGTGGTGGTGGAGGGGGTAGGATTGGTGAAGATTTGACGTCGCTGGCCTTTACTTGTGGGGGGAGGAGGCCCGGGTTTCGACGTATGGGCCAGTTGTGTGAGTGGAGAGTCATGAAAAAGTCGTATCTGGGAGCAGGTGGAGTGATAAATGCGCGGTCGACAGGGTGGTACGCCGGTTCTGCGAGATTGGGAGTTGAAGAAGCTTCGGATAGTATCATAGCGGTCGAGTGCGGAACGTGAAAGAGTGTGAGGGTTCCGACCAACGAAATTGAGAGTAGATTGTGTTGTGGACTTGCTTCTGGTAGCTTTTGCGATGACAGAACGAAGGGGTAGAGCCATGGCAAGCCAGGTATAGCGTGCCCGCCGCTGAGGGGCAACGGTCGCGAACACAACTCAAGTCAAGCTCCAAAACTTGAAAGTGACGCGAGAGTGTCAGTAAGCAGTAATGTAATTTGTCAGCAAACCTCTCTTGGCAGGTCCTCTTCTCCTAGGCTCTTGTTCCCTTTTAATGTCTTGCAGAGAAACTTTCTGTGGCAAACATTTAACTGATGCCACCAGGTAGAATTGCCAGGCCATTGACAGATAAAGGCAAATATTACAAGATTATGGCCACACACGCAAGTGACGCAAGCCACACTTACACGCCCTCTTGTTTGTTTGCTGTACTTTTCTTTCTCTCTGCACTCATCGCCTACAGCACCAGTACATGGCTTGCGCATTTACCAGCGACTACAACGCTCAGATCTCAGACGCTAAACTTCGTTTGAAGGAGCTCTCTGGAACCACTGTCGAAGAGAGGGCTTCTGCTCTGTCCCTTTTGCTCTGTGTACAGTTTTGGAGGGCCAATAGGCAACCGGACAGTGATATGGTCGCGACTGCATCGTGCAAACGGCTATTGGAGAGCAAGCCCACATTAGATTCGTTGCTCGTTCTCGCTCAATATCAAGATGAGTCTGACTATAGCTCTCTGATAACCGACTCGCGTTTGTTGCTTCTATAAGGCTACTGCATCCATTAACTAGTCTCCAGCTTCATTCCCACCCTTCGTGTCCTCCGAGTCTCGACGGATATTGGAAGAGCTTGGTGAGAGGATAGAAGAAGCGGCCAACGACGAATATTTGTTTCCGTGGGTGCCATCGGCACCGTCAGACGGTCCAATATACGAAGACCAGGATGTCCTCGCTCACCTTAAATCCCTCAGGCTCCGGACACGTGCGGAACTCATCCCAGAGCCCAGCTTTATTCTGCACGATCTAGGCGGGTTTGGTCGCGACCAAATTCTTGCTGCTCGTGTAGCGCGACTGTTTACGCCGAAAAACAAGTGAAAAAGCTGTTCAATGAGGTCTATGATGACCTGATTTGTTATTAGATTCCTTGTGAATGCTTCAGGTACCGGCAAGACGAGACTGTGCTACGAAGGGCTCTGCACCAACTGGGGCCTTTACTTCACCCTCGAAGTCGATTCGGGCCGACTTGGGAGCACCGATGTGCAGTACACACTTGAGAAGCTGTTAAATATCCCTGAATTTAGGGAGGACATCGACTACAGTGACTCGGATGCACCACGCCTTGTCGAAACAAACACGGTTTTGGCCGCTCGCTGGCTTGGAACCATTCTTCTCTCTCGGCTTCTCGTCTTCCAACTCTTCTTGGAGACTCTTTCCCGCGACGATCTCGGCGACAGAGCGAAAAGGCGATGGCTGGAGCTGCAACTCACCCCATTGAACTTTGGCTTCGCAGGCGACGAGCCATTGGCCACGTTGGCGGAAACACTAGGGGGAAATGATACCGATGTCACCTATTTACAAGCCAACATCGACGATGCCTTGCGAAAAATCCGACATGTTCTTGGCAACGACTCGTCCATTTTCATTGTCATTGATGAGGCTCAAGTTGGTATCGATCCAGAACTTGGATGCCCCTTTGGTGAAGGGCAGCCTTTCCTCTGGGAGATTCTCCGGGAGTGGCAAACACTGACGAAAAGTGCTTGCACTTACATCTGTGCTGGTGTTGAGATCCCTTTTTCCATGTTCAGCGGTCAGGTTGGTGGCGAGTTCGAATGGACCTCGGATACCGGCGCTTTCGACGATCCAGAAGCTCATGAACAATACATCACAAAATTCCTACCTCCCACCCTTCGCGACTCTCCTTCTGGTCAATTACTTGTCGCCCGCCTCTGGCGGTGGTGTCGTGGAAGGTGCGTGAATATACGTAAAATTTACTAGAGCTCAAGTATAGAGTAGGCATCGAATCACAGACCACTTTATATTTCTTCTCCTTACGTCTGGCCTTCAATTTCCGCATACGACTTTGTCGCAGTATATTTCCGAAGCATCCGGTGTTGAAGCCTTCGATGCGATACATGCCTGCCACGATGAAGCACACCCAAGACCACGGTCTTGGTATTTCCGTTTTGGAAAGCCCACCTTCGAATGGCTTGCGCCTGGTATGTGTGCTTTATCTGCTAGCATTTTGCTAACATTATCCCAGACGACAAGGACTTGGTTATTGCTCTGCTTTACCGTACTGTGGCTACACACCATATGCACAATTTCGGACCTGAACACATACAGCTAGTATCAAGAGCACACGCTCGCTTTATTGATGCTAACTTGTCGCAAATCGTGTTCGATGAGCCGATGGTCCTGGCCCGCGCCGCTCGTCAGCTATTTCCTACTCCCATTCGAGCACATGAGGGAGAACCTCACGATCAGCCGGCTACCTTCATATCAACCTTACAAATCAATCCTCCCAGAACCCGGCAAGGTGTTGCCCATTGTCTCGCTTTCTACCTCTCTCAAGTACTTGGCCGCCCACGAACATTGACCGACATTTTCAAATTTCCACACACAGCTCCCGCTTGGGCTCTCCGAACAGCGCAACTCGTGCGTTTTCGTCTGGACAAGTCTGGAGCGCCTGAGCACGTGATGCTAGACTCAGATGCAGACAAATCATCGCTACCACTTGCCACAGTAACTGATACACTGCCGGAGACTATCAAATGGATTGAACATGCACACGGAACTACATTTTGCATACCATCTTCGCTCAACTTAGACTTGCTGTGCGCTGTCCGGTTGGAAGATGGTTCGTTTATTTGGCTCGCTGTCCGTGCGCTCGCAACGGACGCGCCTATGAATGGCGAAACTCTACAACCACTGGTCTCCCATATGGATATCGACGATGTTTTCCGTGAGGTATGTCTCGTCTTATTTGCTCCATTTGGGGCTTATTGCGTGCTAGGAAGGTGCCGATACTGTTTCCATTAAATCGGCTGTTGATGCTCTTCGTTCCTTACCTGGAGTAAAACAGCGACCTTGTCTCCTTCGCGCAGTCACAGGATTCCCCGTCGAGGTCGATGTCCGTCCCTGTGTGGATAAGCGTTGCCGCGATGTCGCCAACCTTAGTTTTAGAGCTCTTCGACGCAAGGAGGACCAAGTCATGCAGGACGACTTTTTCACTGCCATGGTCAACGGGGCCATCGCTGGCACTAAACGAAAGTCGCGTTGGGACGACGGGTCAATACAAGAAAATTATAAACGTGGCAAGATGCTGCAGGAGCTATTGATGAAGCAGTCTGATCCGAACTACGAAAGAGGCATGACAGAGGTAGAGCCGCATTATTCGTGGGACTTGCGAAGGGACTTGAGCGAGTGGTACGAAGAATACAATCCGCTGGATGCTGTTTATGGGACTAAACGACCTCGGCTTTCGCTATTTGATGATAAACCAAGAAAGCGACCGCGACAGCCCCGGCAATCGGTCAAACGCAGAAAAGATCACGGCGCGAGGAAGAAATTGGGTATATAGGATGCGAGTCGTAGCTTTGCTCTATATATTGTGTTGCGGGTAGCTGAAAATTCAAACCTCTTGCTTCAACCGTGACGTGCTGACAAATTCCGAGTCCGAGTCTGAACCATCATTTACTGACAAGTTTTTTCTCTTTCCTTCCAACTTCGAGCAACTCGGGCTTATTTGCGCACCGAGAATCTTGGAACTCACTCCTCTTCCACACATTCCAAAAGACCATCTGCGCGTGCCAAACAATCCATCGCGTCTGCGTAATTGCAGTTACAATGCGGTAACTAAGTGCGGACCCACATACCCGCCACAGCCCTTGTGCAATTAGATTGTAAGCTGCCTTGTCTTCATACCATGCAGACTCTCTCAACTATCTCCATGCCAGAACACACGATTGCAACCTCAAAGCCATCTCCTGTCGAGTCCATTGACGATGCGGCACCAATCCTATCCACCCTACTTTCTATGGCTTTCTCCAACGCCACGCGTCCCATAAACGAACAATTGGTGTCAGAATCTGCCTGCAAACAAATCCTTTCCACCCAAAGTCGCCTGTACCAACTGCTCAGAGCAAACAAGGTCACCTTTCCTCAAGTTTTTGACTCTCGTGCGTCGTAGTATGATTCGTCTCCTTCCAAATTTGAACTGCATTTCAGCTTTATTCCCCCCGCTCGTATCTACTGCAATTTTGGAATACCTAGACACATTACGTCCTCATCTTGAGCAGACTTCCGCTAGCGACGAGATTTTCGAGCGGTGGATGCCTCGAGCCAGGAGTTCTAGCCCGATATATAGTGACGCCGATGTCATTAGTCATTTCGAGGCTCTCAATCTCCAACGAGTATCCCGGACGGGTGGTTTGCGAATCATACTATACAATCTCGGAAGATTCAAGCAAAACCCTGCCTTGTGCCAGCGCCTCGAGCGTTTATTCTCTCCCACGGACAAGTAATTTACCTTCATTACGGCCGAACATCAAGTGACCCTGCTCACAGATTTTTCGTCAACTCAACCGGCACCGGAAAAACCCGCTTATGCTTCGAGGGATTATGTTCCAACTGGGGACTCTACTTCACATTTGCTGTCGGTCATCGTAACCTTGGTAGTCATGATCTTCAGCTGGCTATCAGGAAGCGGTGTGGCTGGGGCGAAGGCTTTAACGACGAAGAACTGGACCACGACCAGATGCGTGAACAGAACACCGCGTGCGCATTACGCTATTTTGGCGCTATTCTACTAGCAAGGCTCCTCGTTTTCCAGATGTTTTTGGAGATAGTCGTGTCTAGAGGGGGGCTGAAGGAGGAACACAAAGCTCGCTGGCTCCAAACTCAGCTTACCTCTCACCGATTCACGATGATGGCAAATGACGCCTTTGGGTCGCTTGCGGACCTGCTGGTCACTCACGAGACGCCCTTCCTCCAGTCCAATATCGATGATGTTCTACGGAAAATACACACAGTAATTGGCCGTGACGAACCTCTACTTATTGTTTTGGACGAGGCTCAGTTGGCTTGCGATATACTCCCAAACTCGTTTGGAGACGGGCAGCCCCTTCTGTGGGAGATAATTCGGGGATGGAAAGCTCTGACGCGAGGGACCTGCAAAATTATATGCGTTGGCAATCATATCACGCCGCCAATGTTCACCGACAGCTTTGAACAGATTTCAGAAACAAGCTGTTTTGATGATCCAGATACACATGAAACATATATCAACCAGTTTCTGCCTCCCAAGCTTCGTGATTCGCCCTCAGGCCGATTTCTAGTTGCCCGACTATGGCGCTGGTGTCGAGGAAGGTTTGTGTAGCCTGCTAATGCCGCATGTTACTAAGCGTTCATAAGATATTGGCTTACCGATGAATTCCTTGAAATGCTTCTTGCAGAAGGACTTCAGTTTCCGCACAATTGCCTCAGTGTGTTCATCGAGAGGACCACCGAGGCAAAGCCATTTGATGCTGTCAAGACGCAATTCGAGGAAGGCTTACCGAGAGGTTATTCCTGGGCGTCCAGGGTTTCCAAGGCTTCGGACTTCTCAAACCTCTTTCCAGGTTTGGTCTCATATTTTTTTTCTTGCAACACTTGGCCAATTCATTCACGACAGACCAGGAAGACCTCATACTAGATCTTCTCTACTGCTACATGACAACACACAACGGCCGCTCCTTTGGGCCTGGTGAAAACCTTGACCTCCTTAGGAAAGACTATGTCCTTTTTGCCAAGGCAGATATGTCGCGGGTCAGTTTCGATGAACCGCTGTTCCTCATTCGAGCAGCTCGTCGGCTGTTTCCCTTTCCTGTTAAGTGGATCTTACGTGACCGGCCACATCGTCATCCTGCGACCTTTATAAGCAGTCTCCGTCTCAACCCTCCCCGCACGAGAGAGAGTTTGGCGCATTGTTACGCTTTCTATGTTACCCAAGTCCTCGGCGAGCCCCGGTTGTTGCTCGACATCGTCAACTTCCCCCATGTCGTTCCTGCATGGGCCCATCAAACAGCGCAGCTCGTTCGATTTTTTGTGGACGAGCAAGGAGACTTCCAGCGGGAGTTGGGACTGATTGATGCCTACCAGTCGCTCAGACCACTTGCTACAACGACAGCTACATTGGAAGAGACCACACGATGGATCAACCACGAATATGGCACTATTTTCTGCATTCCATCTTCACCCAATGTAGACCTTCTCTACGCTCTTCAACTAGCCGATAAATCACGCATCTGGGTCGCTGTTCGTTTGTTTGCGACGGATGAACCTGTAATGCCTGATGAGCTCAGTCCTGCGATATCGCTCTTGGACATCGACAGTCTTTTTGTCGAGGTAAAGTAGAATGTTCTCTTTCTGATTCTATTTTTCTCATTGCACTCAGACACCCGCCGACTTCGTTGCATCAAGGCGTGCTGCAGACGGCTTGCGATCGTTGCCTAACGTTCGCCAAAGGCCCTGTGTCTTGCGGACTATCTCCAGCTTTCCCGTCGAAGTCGACCTTTGCTCAAGTGTATATCAACGCTCTCGAGATGTTGCACATCTCAGTTTTACTAAACTCCGATTCAAAGAAAGCCAGGTTATGCAAGAAGACTTTTTTGCTGCCATAGTCAACGGTGTCATCGCTGGAACTAAACGCAAGTCGAGATGGGATGATGGGTCGATGCATATGGAGCGTAAGAAGGCCAGAGTGCTCCTCCGTGAAATGGAATTCAAGCCCCCGACTATCTGGGGTGACGACGCTTCTGAGTATTCGGACCCGGAGGATATGCACGAGGAACCCGACTTCACATGGGATGTTCGATCAGATGACCTTTGGAGAGAGAGCTGGAAAGAGCCAGCCACCAAAGCTCCGCCGCCACCTCGAAAACCTCGAAAACGCAAGACAGGGCTTTCGAAGCCAAAGCCGGAGCCAGTGGCGAAGGCAAAGGGGAAAGCTGACAGACCACCTAAGAAACGATACTAACAAGATGAGCGAGTTTGGAGCCACCATGTCGCTGTACATATCAGCATGGTTACAAAGTCGAGAAATTCTAAATCTTGCGTCAGCGGAATTTGCTCTCTTAGATCTCGTTTTTCGTCGTGTCAAAATTACAAGAGTTGGTCCTTCTTGTGTCCGAATTTTGTCAAGAACTCAGAACTCAAATCGGCAAGCATCGCATAGCATTCCGCCAACTCGTCGTTGTTTTGCGATGCAAGAAGACACAAAAAGTCGAGAGCAATCTGGTTTCGACCATTCACTATTGCGGTGTAATGTGATTCAGCGTATATTGAGTTCTCAGATAACTAGGCCGCTGCTTTGGCTCCAGCACATTTTATTATCATCGAGAGAGAGAGAGAGAGAGAGAACGACGTTTCAGACTCCAGAGTGACGTTTGATGGACGACACAACTTCCAAGAAACCATGTCGGCGTCGATTATTCCGTCGCCCACAAAGACAACCCTGTGGTCTCCGTTCTGGAACTTGAGTCCAAATCGTCAACCAGCACTTCTGATTCAAGCCACGTCGTTATCGACTGTCGAGCCCGAAACTTTTTCGTGAGGGAATGAAGTAAACGCCCACTCAGCAGGTAGTGCAGTGACCGCGAGAACGGGACAATTCACTTAGGAGGAAGCGTCAAGGTAAGTAGCGCTCTGTACATACGACTCATGTTTTTTTTGAACCTTTTTTTGCAGTCCCATCTTGGTCCCATCTTTTCCTTTTCTCCGCGACTACTCCGATGCCACAGGGAGGCGAAGACGATTTTTTTGCTCAAGGCTTGCGAGATAGGCAACTATGTAAATGTTTTCACTTGTATTGCCAGAGGCACCAACCCAAACTTGACAGACGCTCTCACCGATAATGAACATCTTCCAAGTCCTCCCCAGGAAATACGCCACAAATTTCATCTCCGTCGCCTTCCGACGACTCTCTCCTGCATGTGCCGAGGAAGAAAAACCCAGTCGGAAGATAGTTTTTGCTCGCTCACGACATCGCTGATGAAGATGCCCCAACGGTCGCAGCATTTGAAACGATTTCAGATTGTGCTATGACCTGCGCGACGTCGTCTAACTCGAACTGGACCAGAATTCTTGAGTGGACCCACAAGCAACACAGCCATTGTGATCTTTCGCTCCCACACCAATGTCACTTACAACGCACAACGACTATAGCGCTCGAATCTCCGATGCTGAGCTCTCCCTAAAAGGGATACCTGTAATTACGGTCGACGGGGCGGCCGAGATTCTCTCACTTCTGCTCCGTATCCGGTTTTGGAAGGCGAATAGGCTACCGAACGATGACATCACAGCGGTTGCCTGTTGCAGAGAGCTGCTGCAGAGAAGACCCACCCTCCACTTGCTGCTAAGGACCGCTCACATGCAAGAGGCGCCAGATTACTCCCCAATATTAGATTCGCGTAACGTTTCTTCGCCAGAGCGCAACTTGCTTACTGACTAGCCTTCAGCTGCTTTTCCGGCATTAGTGTCCACAAAATCTCGAGAGATACTGCAACCTATTGGCGAAAAGATGGAAAAACATGCCGCGAACGAATCATTTCTGCCACTTTGGGCGCCAGAAAAGCAACTCGGTCCAACATACGAAGATACTGATACTCTCGCTCATCTAGCATCTCTTGGACTGCGAAAATCCGGCGTACTCTCCTTAGATCTCCAGATTATACTGCATGACCTGGGTGGTTTCGAGCGACATCCAGTGCTCGCTAACCGTGTCTCGAGACTGTTCACCCCAAAAAACAAGTGAAAACATTCCTTTTCGGACAATCCACTGTATCTAACTGTTTTCAGGTTCTTGGTGAATGCATCGGGTACGGGCAAGACGAGACTCTGCTACGAAGGTCTCTGCACTAACTGGGGTCTATACTTTACCTTCTATGTTGATTCAAGTCGACTTGGGAGCTTCGACATGGAATTCATCCTTGACAGTGTCAAGGCTGATGGTGACTTTGCCAGAGTTCTCGGCCTAAAGGACCCTGATCAAGCGCAACTCATCGCGAAAAACCGGAATCTAGTTTTTCGCTGGTTTGGCGCTGTTCTCCTCTCTCGACTTCTTGCCTTCCAGCTCTTTCTTGATGCTCGTACCCACCGCGATGACAGTACCTTGAACACGATTTACAAGATGCGCTGGCTCGAAATGCAGCTTGCACCGCGCACTTTCAGTCGGGGTGGATCGGACGACCGGTTTATGAAGTTGGCGATGACGCTTGGAGAGGAACAGAATGATGTTCTTAACCTGCAAGCCAATATCGACGACGCTCTTCGCAAGATTCGAAACGCTATTGGCCGTGATAGTCCTCTTTTCATCGTCATAGATGAGGCACAAGTTGGTGTCGAGCTGAAACGCACATCCTTTGGCGATGGAAATTCTCTTCTCCGAGAGATTATCGGAGCGTGGCAGACTTTGACGAGAGGCAGTTGCACATTTATTTGTGCTGGTATCAGGATCCCTTCTTCCATGTTTAGCGACAAACCTGGCGGAGATTTCGAGTGGACATCAGACACTGGAGAGTTTGATGATCCTGACGCTCACGAGCGATATGTCACAAAATTTCTGCCTCCCAAATTTCGTGACACTCCTTCGGGTCGATTCCTTCTTGCGCGTTTCTGGCGCTGGTGTCGTGGACGGTGCGTTGTGATCCGATACTGGTTCCCCTGCTGAGCTGCTGAACAGGCATCGATTCACCGACCAATTTATATCTATTCTGCTCACGTCAGGTCTTCTATTTCCGCATACGAGTTTGTCACAGTATATCCGTGAAGGAACCGGTGTCGAAGCCTTTGACGCGGTGCGCATCTGCTACGAGGAAGTCTACCCAACACCAGATTCGGTCTTTGGCTTTGGGAAGCCCAGCTTTGAAGAGCTTTCTCCACGTATGTACTTCCCCCATTTCTCCCCGGATGATACCAATATCACCTAGATGACCAGGACTTGGTCCTTAATGCATAATGTCCTATACAGTATGATGGCCACACATCAAGTAGACGATTTCGGACCTGAAGACATCCAGCTAGTATCGAGGGGCTACTCTCGCTTTGTTGATGCCGACCTATCGAAAATTGTGTTCAATGAACCGTTGGTCGTGTGCCGCGCTGTTCGTCAGCTATTTCCCGCGCCGAGCCGACCTCATGAAGGATACCCCAATGATCGACCATCGACTTTCATAACGACCTTGCAACTCAATCCTCCCAGAAGTCGGCAAGGTGTTGCCCATTGTCTCGCCTTCTATCTTTCCCAAGTGCTCGGACGCTCCAGGATGTTGACAGACATCTTCAAGTTTCCGCACGCGGCGCCCGGTTGGGCTTGCCAAACGGCCCAACTAGTTCGTTTCCATTTAGACGACGACAGCAAGCTTCAAAGCACGATGGTCGACGACTCGAATGTGTTCAGGTCCGTGGTTCCGTTGGCTACAGCGAGCCAGTCGCTGGAAGAGACTATCGAATGGATCGAACACGCCCATGGCACTACATTTTGCATACCTTCTTCCCCTAATGTGGATTTGCTAGGTGCAATCCAGTTGGCAGATGGTTCATTTATCTGGCTTGCTGTTCGTGCACTTGCAACTGACGAGCCCGTGAATGACGAAGCGCTGCGGCCACTTGTGTCGCTTCTGGATATTGATGATCTATTCCAAGAGGTATGAACTGTTCTCCTCTTCCTTTCGGAACTTATTGCGGACCAGGAAGGGGCTGATACCGTCTCCATTCAACGAGCTATCAATTCTCTTCATACTTTACCTGGGGTCAAACAGCGTCCATGTCTTCTTCGTGCGGTCACTGCGTTCCCCGTTGAGGTTGACGTCCGCCCTTGTGTAGACAAGCGTTGTCGCGATGTTGCCAACCTTAGCTTTCGAGCTCTTCGACGCAAGGAAGACCAAGTGATGCAGGTGGATTTCTATGATGCTATGGTCAACGGGGCCATCGGTGGCACCAAACGAAAGTCGCGGTGGGATGATGGAGCGATGCAAGGAAGTCGCAAACGGGCAAAAGAACTGCAGAGCAGGTTGTTGTTCGAGTTCAAGGGGAAGCATATGGGAAGCTCGCACGAGGTAATGCCACATTATACATGGGACCTACAAGACGAGGATTTATATGAGGAATACGACCCGGTGGATGCTGTTGGTGTGACTGAGCAACACCGTCCGTCTCCTGCACCAAGAAAACGAGCGCCAAAGCCACGGCAGTTGCGTCAGAATCAGAAAGGGACACAACAAGGGAAGAAGTCAGTCTCCAAATATGTGTAGTCGCTGCAGTCAGGCTGGTGTTGTACAAATTCATAGTCGTATGTGCACTGTGATTCCGTGTCTTACGTCAGCCAATCTTTCTTCTTTTCTCTGTTTCCAACCCCAAAGTTCAGGAAAGAAGGTTTCCCTTTCAGTTGCCGCTCAACAATTATTGGACCCTTTCGATAAGATTCCATGATGGAAAGAGAACAAGAGCGAAGTACGCCCACATATACATTAATCAACCACCCCCACAAGACAACCTTTTACGTGCACCGTCCTTGGATTTGAACCAATGGAGCTCGACGCCGACATAGCCGCTCTCAACAAGCGCATACGTACCCTGCCCCCAGCTCAAGACGCAACAACCGCTATCCCTCTACTTTCTGCAGTCATTTCACTTGCATTCTTGAAAGCGGGGCGTCCCGTGAACGAGGAGATCACCTCGAAGGAGGCTTGCGAGCAACTTATTTTGCAAAAACCCGTTGTCCTCCACATACTAAAGGCCGTTCAACTCGAGAAAGACCCCCACTACCAAGCCGTTATTGATTCTTGTTGGTCCCCTCACCCAATTCGTTCACGGTCAAGACGCTCATACCGTCTTAACAGTTCCACTTTCTTCATTCATATCGTCACCAGCCCGTGCCTATATGGAGGAAGTTCGGGATGAATTCATCGCCTGTATCCAAACTGACCGCCTTTTTATTCCCTGGACAGCGACATCTCCACCTCCAAGCGCTATCTATATGAAGCCGGAGACATTAGACCACTTCAAGTCGCTTGGGCTTCGAACTATGCATGTTTCAAAGGACTTCAACCTCTTGATGTATGACTTGGGCGGATTTAGCAGAGATTCCGTTCTGAGGGAGCGCGTTGCACGGATTTTTTCGCCGACCAACAACAAGTTGAGTGATCATTCTGTGCCATTAGTTGTCTCACCGAATTCAACTCTTAGATTTCTTGTGAACGCTTCTGCATCCGGAAAAACTCGTCTGTGTTACGAGGGACTGTACAGCAATTGGGGTCTTTACTTCACGGTCACGGTTGATGGAGGGCTGTTAGGCAGTCTAGACCTGCAAGTCGCAATGGACCAGTGCTCTGCCATCCGTCACCGGGGTACCCCGGCCTACGAACTCATTTCCCAGCGATTCGGCGCAGTCTTGTTGGCACGTTTACTGTTCCTCAGTTTTTATTTCGATGTAGTATCCTTGGACGACGCCGCCTTGGATGACCAACATAAGCTGCGTTGGCTGGAGCTTCAACTCAATCCTCGGCCTGTCGACGTTTGTAGTGCCCATGGATATTTCATGGCTCTGGCTGAACTACTCATTGAGCATGACTCAGCATATCTGGCGCAAAATATTACCGATGCACTGCGAAAGATCAAACGGGTCATAGGCATGGAGAAGAGTCTATTCATTGCCATTGATGAAGCTCAAGAAGCACTTTACAATACTTCACATGGTCGACCATGCGACAAACACGACCAGTCTCTTTTGGTAGATCTCCTCCGTGTTTGGTCCGACTTGACGAAGGGAGAGTGTACTTTCATTTGTGCTGGAATCGGCATACCACAAACGATTATGGTGCCAAACGACTCTTCCTGGCAGTGGACTTCGGACACGGGAGCTTTCGATGATCCCGACACATATGAGGCCTATGTCTCGAAATTACTTCCTCCTGTTCTTCGGGAAAGCCCTGCTGGGCGTCTACTAGTGGCACGGATGTGGCGTTGGCTAAGGGGAAGGTATGTTATCCTTTCACTTCAACCTCTATTTGTCCCAATTCCTGCCAGATACCGCTTGACGGATGGTTTCCTTACGATTCTTCTGTGCAGCGGTCTCGACTATCCGCATTGCTGCCTATCCGACTATATTCAAAGGCTATCAGGGTTCCGGCCCTTCGACGCTGTTGAAATCGAAAAGTCGGAGAATATTCCCGAAAGGTGGTACTGGAGCAATTTACTGGGAAAACTTCATACAAGCGGGGCCCCAGCAAGTATGTTTTGACACTTATCATCAGAACGTGGACTCAATTGCAGTCTAGACATCAAAGATTTCGTCACTAATGCATTATACCGATCCATGGCCACCCAGGAATCGACTTCATTCGGCCCCGAGCACTCAGAACTCGTCGACAAGGGGTACGGACATTGGACGGATCGTACTTTGAACGTCGGAGCCCTAGACGAGCCATTTTTCCTTGCTGGAGCTGCTCGCACCTGGTTCCCACGCCCACTCCCTGCGCTGATGGGAGAACCAAATCGTTGTCCTGCTACGTTCATCGGCGCACTGGGTCTCAATCCTCCGCAAACATCAAATGAACTGGCGCATTATCTTGTCTTTTACCTATCGCGAGTATTTACGGCCTCGAAGCAATTAAAGGATATCTTCAAATTTCCTCACCAAACACCGGCGTGGGCTCGTCAGACTGCCCAGCTCGTGCGCTGGTATCGCAACGAAGAGGGACTGCTTGTCAACTCCGTTGTTCTACCTGATTCCGCTCTTCCTTTGGCAACGAGATGCTCGGATCTAGCCGACACCATAAAGTGGGTAGAGCATGAATATGGGACGGCATTTTGCCTTTCATCGCTTCCCAACTTCGACATTCTCTTTTCACTGCAACTGGCCGATGAGTCGTTTGTTTGGGTCAGCGTTTATGTCCGCGTTGCAGACGAGTCAATGTCTGATGCGGACTTGAGTTCAATTGTTTCCAAGCTCGATAGCGGTGCACTTCTTTCCCAGGTGAGCTTATGTTGCGGCAATCTTTGTTCGTTCTCAATGCATCTCAGGAGTCGTCGGACGTGGAGCTGGCCACACAACTAGAAACCCAACTGCAATCGCTTCCTGGCTTAAGAGCTCGGCCTTCGCTGTTACGAGTGGTTTCAACTTATCCTGTCATGATGTCAGTCGGCCGGGTAGTTGATGAGCGCACCCGGGATGTTGCCAACCTTGACCTGAAGGCTCTTCGCGGGAAAGAAGACCAAGTGATGCAAGACGAGTTGTTCTGTGCAATCATCAATGGGATTGCCGCTAGCTCGAAACGCAAATCGAGATGGGACGATGGTGCGGTGCATTTGAGTCGTAAGAAGGCGAGGACGCTCGTACCAAGTGACAGTCTGAAACGGGATGAGGAGTTTGACCTTCCAGAGCCACATTATACCTGGGATGAACGGACACCTTTTGATGAATCGGACACTGATGACGATCGCGCTCAACCACTTCCTCCTACATCGAAAAGGCGCAAGCGCAAGCAATCGAAAAGGAAAATTCCCGCCACACGGTCGACTGAGCTGTCCAAACAGACCAACAAAAAGGCAGAGCGAGGACCCGGCCGGTTAAGATTACCGTAGAGGGTATTGTAGTACGAGTCCCGTTGTAATTGCAATGTAACAAGCACATGTAGTCGTCCGACAACAGAGGCAGTATTACCGTATTACAAACAAACAAACAAACAGGATATGAAAAGAGAGTGCACGGCTGCACGGTCGTAACAGTTTTGATGCCGACGCGTCTTCCAAAAAACAATGACGTCGATGTTTCGTCGATCGTGGGCTTATATGGGACGGCCTCGTTCGCTAGTCACAGCTTCCAAACTTGCTCGTACCCACCATCATGCCCAAAGGAAAGAAAGGCGCGTCGTCGGCGAAGAACAAGCCCGCTGTCTCCATTCCCAAGCGTGGCGAGTCCAAATCGTCTGCCAGTTCTTCTCAATCAAGTCCCGTCGAGCCCAAGACTCCTGCCGATGAGGGAATCGAATTTTTTCAGTCGAGCGTGGTTGGCGAGAAGCCCATCCAAGTTTACGAGCTTGTCCTCGACCCCGATGGTGGACCTGCCAAGGACCGCTCAGTTCGTATCACTTCCTTTGCCTCTCACTCACTGATTTTTTTCCAGTACATTCGACTCCCACCTGCCTACAATCCTTACATTCTGCGCGTTTCGATTGACGCTGGCACGCCTGCTTCTAGAAATGGTGTTTTCAAGACCAACTTCCCCCTCGATGGTGGCAAGTTTGGTCGAGACAAATTCACGGAGCGCAAGTATGTTGCGTTGTGTCGTGTTGTCGTGTATATGCCTCAACTTCCATTTCTTTCAGGCTCCCCACCGACTTTTCCAAACCGATTCAGGTCGATCTGCCCATTTCTCATGCTGGAGCATTCGTTTTCTGGGTCGAGCATGATGGCAATACTCCTGGGGAGCGCGTGAAAGGCCGTGAGGGCTACTTCAATATTGACCCCATCCTGCGAGTAAAGTCGCGCAGCCCTGTTCTTCCCGATGGCAAACCAACATCCAAACCGTTCGTTGTTGACAAGTCCGACGTAGATCTTGCTATGGACGGCCTTTCTATCCTCACTGTCGTGTCGAAATGGATGGGTCCTATTTCCGAATGGTCCCAGTTCTTTGACGAGGCCAAGGACCGAGGCTACACTATGCTCCATTACCCGCCCCTTCAAGAACGCGGACACAGCGACAGCCCTTATTCTATCCGCAATCAGCTCAAATACGAGCCATCGATGTTTGGAGATGGCCGTAAAGAAGATGGTGGAAAGGCTCAAATAGAAGCGATCTTAAAGGTCGCTAAAGAACAATATGGCTTGCTCAGCTTGACCGACGTCGTTCTGAACCATACTGCTGACGACAGCGCCTGGTTGGTAGACCATCCCGAGGCTGGTCCGTTATTCACCTCGCTTTGGGACCCATTTACATCTTGGTTTAGGTTTCAGTCCCGCAAACTCGCCTCATTTGACGCCTGCGCATGAACTCGATTCGGCGATCATCCAGCTATCTAGCGAGCTTGCGTCAAAAAATCTTCCTACCACAATCAGTTCAGCCAATGATTTGGATGCCCTCACGAATGCGATTCAAAGCGTCGTCAACGATCTCAATCTCTGGCAGTACTACGTTTTAGACGTTGCCCGCGAGAAAGACTCCATCAAGGCAGCATTGACGTCAAAGAAGATTACTCAATGGGATGGACCCTCCGTTGCTGGTCGCACTGTTGTCGAAATTGCAGAGATTTTGCGTGCCTCCGGAAAGATCCAAGGGCTTGGAAAGTACGCCTCCCGCTTCAGTGTCAATGTGGACCCAGGAGTATCCGCTGGCATAGTACAGGCGGCCTTTGTCGAGCTCTCGGAGACTCCGGCGCTGGTTGACGCATGGGCAAGGATCGTCGATGTAATCAACGTTCCCCTCTATCAGGAATTCGACGACGACAAGAAAGCAGCAGTCGAAAACATCAAGAATCGTTTGAAGTATACGCGTCTTGACGAGCATGGTCCCAAACTTGGCGTCATTTCCAAGTCGTAAGTTGTCTGATGCCATCATTGATGATCACTGACTAGATTTCGAGCTCTCCCCTTGTCGAGCCTTATTTCACGCGCCTTACGCCATCCAAATCCAACTCAGACCCGCTTGTATACTCCCTCGCAAATAATGGCTGGATATGGAATGCGGATCCTCTCCAGAACTTCGCGGAGCTTCCTTCCAAGTCTTATCTTCGTCGAGAAGTAATCGTTTGGGGAGACTGCGTCAAATTGCGTTATGGTTCAGGACCCAAGGACAACCCATGGCTCTGGTCTCACATGTCAACTTACGTGGAGTCTCTTGCTGCAACTTTCGATGGGTTCCGCATTGATAACTGTCACTCAACTCCGCTTCATGTTGGTGTTGCGATGCTCGACGCGGCTCGGGTTGTCAACCCAAACCTATATGTTTGCGCTGAACTGTTCACCGGTAATGAGGAGATGGATCTGGTCTTTGTCAAGAAATTGGGAATCAATAGCTTGATTCGAGAGAGCGGGAATGGTTGGGACCCCAAAGAGTTATCGCGCCTTATCTATCGCCATGGTGTTGGCAAACCCATTGGTTCTATGGATGCCGCGACATTGACTCGGACGGAAGAAATACCCTCCCCGACAGGGAAGGGACCAGTCCGTCCCTGTGTGGTCATTCCTCTCAACGGCTCAGCTCCTCATGCACTCCTATACGACTTGACTCACGATAACGAAACATATCTTGACAAAAGGTTCAATATTCATCTTGACTTGGCGCAACGAGACTGACTTTCTTCTAGATCTGCAGAAGATGCACTTTCGACTGGTGCCCTGGTCACGTTCAGTTACTCCGCCGTCGGTTCTGTCAAGGGTTTCGACGACCTCTATCCCAAACTTCTCGATCTCGTCGGTGAAAAGCGACGATACGAGTTGACTGGTCTCGGGGACAATAGCGGCATTGCCCGGATGAAGCATACTTTGAACGGACTGCATATGGAGATGGTTCGCGAGGGTTACACCGAGGGACATGTTCATCAAGAAAACGACTACATAGTCGTCCACCGCGTTCAGCCCGAAACACAGAAGGGATACCTTCTCGTGGCTCATACGGCATTCAGCAAGGGTTCCAAAGACCGTGGTTACAGTGCGCTGTCTTCCTGTCTGTTTTCCTCAGTCTGATATACTCCAATAGTTAACCCCATGAAACTGCGGGGGACAACTGCCAAGTTCGTTCTCGGATATACGATCGATTTCTCGTCATACGAAGTGCCAAAGGACTCACCTACTCTTTGTGGAATGAAGGCTACCCTGGTGGATATGCCCTCAGTCATCGTTCCCCAGGGACTTGATAGCGAGGGTCCATATACGGAAGTCACGGTCCCCGAGTACTTCCCCCCTGGTTCTATCATGCTTTTTGCAACCAAAATGCATGACTACGACGCGTCTCTCGATAGCTTCTGCACTTCTGGTGCTATGGAGGCGTTTTCGAACTTGGATCTCATTGACCTGAACGTGACACTCTATCGGGCCGACTCGGAAGAGCGCGACGCCACTAGTGGCGAATTTGGAGTGTATGACGTGCCCGGACTGGGTAAAAACGTTTATGCTGGTCTTGAGGGGTGGATGCATCCGCTGCGACATATCATGCGTTACAATGACCTTGGACATCCCCTTTGTGCACATCTACGTGAAGGAGCGTGGGCATTTGACTACGTCAATCAACGCCTCCTCAAGCAGTCTGCAACCCTTCCACGACTCGTCAAGCCTGCAGAGTGGCTGAAAGAACGCTCTGATCGCATCAAGGATCACGTGCCTCCTCATCTTCGGCCGAAATATTTCGCACTCATCATCTCAGAGGCTTACAAGGCTGCACGAACTGCTGTAATTGAGCAGTCTTCTCAATTTGTTTCGAGCGGGCATGCGTTTACCCAAGACCTGGCTATGTGTGCGGTCCAAATGCATGGTCTTGTCCAATCAGCGTCGCTTGATCCTGGCAATCCAACGCCATCTCTCGCGGCTGGACTTCCTCATTTTGCTACAAACTGGGCTCGTTGCTGGGGCAGAGACGTATTCATTTCGTTGCGCGGGCTTCTGTTGGTTACTGGGAACTTCGAGGGTGCCAAGAAGCACATTTTGGCATTTGCGAGCACACTGAAGCACGGTTTGATTCCGAACCTGCTCGATTCTGTTCGCAATCCAAGGTTGGTCTCAACTCATTGACATTATCCCTATTTCTAACTGTTTGCAGATATAATTCTCGTGACTCGCCTTGGTGGATGCTGCAAAATGTTCAGGATTACGTCAACTCGGCTCCAGACGGCCTCGCAATTCTCTCTGAACTTGTAAAGCGGCGTTTCCCGCAAGACGACACCTGGGTTGCGTGGAACGATCCTCAGGCTTACGCGTATTCAAGTACCATCGCTGAGATAATCCAAGAAATTCTGCAGCGCCATGCTCAGGGAATTCACTTCCGTGAATACAACGCCGGTTCCAACCTCGATATGCAGATGAACCCTGAAGGCTTCAACATCGACATTGATGTGGATTGGAAGACGGGCTTGATTTCTGGCGGCAATGCTCATAACTGCGGCACTTGGATGGGTATGAATTGTGTCTTGCTTTCCTTCAAAGCAAAGCTTACCTTTCGCAGACAAGATGGGTGAATCCGTTAAGGCTGGCACCAAGGGCGTTCCAGGAACTCCGCGAGATGGCGCGCCAGTCGAAATCACCGGTCTTCTGAAGAGTACCCTTCGTTGGCTCGATGGCTTGTCGTCCTCTGGCAAGTTCCCCTTCAAAGGTGTTAAAGCGATAATCGACGGGAAGGAGCGCATGGTCTCGTACAAGGAATGGTCGGATTTGATTCAAGCCTCGTTCGAAAAATGCTACTACATTCCAACCGATGCATCCAAAGACTCCAATTACAATCTCGACCCGAAGCTGGTCAACCGTCGTGGTATCTATAAGGACGTTTATGGGTCGGGTGCTGGGCGGGAATGGTCGGATTACCAACTTCGACCCAACTTCCCGATTGCGATGACTGTTGCTCCCGAGCTCTTTGATGTTGAGCACGCTGTTGGTGCACTCGATATTGCGGACAAGCTGCTTCGTGACCCGCTTGGAATGAAAACTTTGGATTCATCCGACCATCAATACCGGCCCAACTACGACAATTCGAACGACTCCAATGACGCGTCTATCGCCAAAGGCTTCAATTATCACCGTGGACCTCCGTGGATGTGGCCTATGGGTTACTTCTTGCGCGCGTCGCTTCATTTCGACCAAAAGGCTGGACGGAACCTGCAAGAGACGCTTCACCGTCTGCACGAAAAACTGTTGCCTGCCCGTAAACAGATCCGCGACTCGCCGTGGGCCGGATTGCCCGAACTTACGAACGAGAATGGTGCTTATTGTGGTGATGCTTGTCCCACGCAGGCTTGGAGCGCGAGTACGATGTTGGACTTTTTGGAGGAGGTGCATAAAGTTTGTAATTAAATACCACGGACTAGAATACCAGCAAGCATAGATAAAATAGACAGCAAATTGTAACTGTAGAATACTTGTCGAATCCTGTCGAATCCAAAAACTGTGACCTTTCGTGACTTTGTGACCCTTCGTGTTTTTCATGGGCAGCGATCTTGACGAGTACTATGACTGACTCCTTGCCACTGGTCGAGCTTCTGACACGCTCAGACAGATCGGAAAGCTCAAGGACTGCCAACTCATTTCTGAAGAACAAGTAAAGCGGCTGTGTTTCAAGGCGCGGGAGATTTTGCTGGAGGAAGGCAATGTGCAGCACATCGACTCGCCAGTGACCATCTGTGGGGACATCCATGGCCAGTTTTATGACCTGATGGAGCTGTTCACGGTTGGCGGGTTCTGCCCGGATACCAACTACCTCTTCATGGGTGCGTGTGAATGGATATGTCTCTTATCTACTCTGATTTGCCCTCCAGGGGACTTTGTCGACCGCGGCTTCTTCAGCGTGGAGACATTTCTGCTGTTGCTGGCCCTCAAGGTGCGGTATCCAGAGCGCATAACGCTAATCCGCGGGAACCACGAGTCGCGACAAATAACGCAAGTGTATGGCTTCTACGACGAGTGTCAGCGGAAGTACGGGGGGAGCAATGTGTGGCGGTGGTGCTGCGAGGTGTTTGACTACCTTGCGCTGGGTGCGATTGTCGACGGGCGGGTGTTTGGGGTGCATGGCGGGCTGAGCCCGAATCTGCACAGTATCGACCAAGTGCGTTTTCTTTTCGTTCCCTTTTTTTCTTTACTAACTCGTGAAGATTCGGGCTATTGACAGGAAACAAGAAGTCCCACACGACGGGCCGATGTGTGACCTGCTCTGGTCAGACCCGGACGACATCCAAGGCTGGGGCCTCTCTCCGCGGGGCGCGGGCTACCTCTTTGGCGCAGACATCACGAAACAGTTCGCCCACAACAACGCGCTGGACCTGATTGCCCGCGCCCACCAGCTCGCGATGGAGGGCTACAAGCTCATGTTCGACAAGACAATCGTCACTGTGTGGAGTGCGCCGAATTACTGCTACCGCTGCGGCAATGTCGCGTCGATATTAGAGCTGGACGAGTATTTGGGGCAGGAATATAAGGTGTTTTCGGCGGCACCAATTGGACCCAGCAGTACCCCAGCAAAGAGGCCGCCAGCAGATTACTTCTTGTAGAATCTAGTGTTACCTCCAAGGCTTGTTGAATAATTGGCAAGACAAAACTAAGTAACGACTACTGAAAAGCGTAGGGAAATATCATAGCTTGCGATGAGTTCTCCGAGTAGGGTGACGAGGTGGTTCGGTCGCTCTGCCTTTTGCCTTTTTGTTGGTCTGTTTGGACAGCTCAGTAGCGGGAATTTTCCTTTTCGATTGCTTGGGCTTGCGCTTTTTTAACGCAGGAGGAAGTAGTTGAGCGTGATCATCATCACTGTCCGATTCGTCAAAAGGTGTCCGTTCATCCCAGGTATAATGTGGCTCTGGAAGGCCAAACTCTTCATCGCGTCTAGAGTTGTCACTTGGAACGAGCGTCCTCGCCTTCTTACGACTCAGATGTACCGCGCCATCGTCCCATCTCGATTTGCGTTTCTGACTAGCGGCAATGCCATTGATGATTGCACAGAACAACTCGTCTTGCATCACTTGATCTTCTTTCCCGCGAAGAGCCTTCAGGTCAAGGTTGGCAACATCCCGGGTGCGCTCATCAACTACCCGGCCGACTGATGTCATGACAGGATAAGTTGAAACCACTCGTAACAGCGAAGGCCGAGCTCTTAAGCCAGGAAGCGATTGCAGTTGGGTTTCTAGTTGTGCGGCGAGCTCCACGTCCGACGACTCCTGAGATGCATTGAGAACAAGCGGACATTCCACAAAACAAGCTCACCTGATGAAAGAGCTCTCCACTGTTGAGCTTGGAAACAATCGAACTCAAGTCCGCATCAGACATTGACTCGTCTGCAACGCGGACATAAACGCTGACCCAAACAAACGACTCATCAGCCAGTTGGAGTGAAAAGAGAATGTCGAAGTTAGGAAGTGATGAAAGACAGAACGCTGTCCCATATTGATGCTCCATCCATCTTCTAGTTTCGTCTAAACCTGAGCACCTTGTTGCCAAAGGCAAACCCGAGTCAGGTAAAACAGCCGAGTTCACGAGCAGGCCCTCCTCGTTGCGGTACCAGCGAACGAGCTGCGCGGTCTGACGAGCCCATGCTGGGACTTGATGAGGGAATTTGAAGACATCCTTGAGTTCTCGCGGGGTCGCCAACACCCGCGACAGATAGAACACAAGACACTGTGCTAGTCCATTTGATGTTTGCGGAGGATTGAGACCCAGTGCGCCGATAAATGTAGCAGGACAACGATTTGGCTCTCCCATCGGCGCAGGGAGTGGGCGCGGGAACCAGGTGCGAGCAGCTCCAGCAAGGAAAAATGGCTCGTCCAGGGCCCCGACCGTTAAATTACGATCTATCCAGTGTCCGTACCCTTTTGCGACGAGTTCTAAGTTTTCGGGGCCAAATGAAGTTGATTCGTGAGTGGTCATGGATCGATACAACGCATCAGTGACGAATTCCTTGATGTCTGAACGGATTTCAACTTGAAAGCATTGGGATCGTCGACAAACATACTCGCCGGGGCTTTATCTGTGAGAAGTCTTCCCAAAAGGATGCTCCAACGCCATGATTCAGGTATATTCTCCGATTTTTCAATTTCAACAGCATCGAAGGGCCGAAACTTCGACAGTCTTTGAATATAATCAGAGAGGCAGCAATGCGGGTAGTCCAGACCGTGGCACAGAAGGATTGTGAGGAATCCATCCGTTACTCGGTGTCTAGTACGAATCAAGTCAGTTCAGGGTTGAGCTCAGTGGGTTGAGCTGAATACCTGCCCCTTAACCAGCGCCACATCCGTGCCACCAGTAGACGACCAGAAGAGCTTTCGCGAAGAACAGGAGGAAGTAATTTCGACACATAGGCTTCATAAATGTCAGGATTATCAAATGCTCCCGTGTCCGAAGTCCACTGCCAGGAAGAGTCGCTTGGCACCATAATCGTTTGTGGTATGCCAATTCCAGCACAAATGAAAGTACATTCCCCCTTCGTCAAGTCGGACCAGACACGGAGGAGGCCTACCAAGAGAGGCTGTCGGTGTTCGTTGGGCGGTAGACCGATCAGAGTCCGATGAAGCGCGTCTTGAGCTTCATCAATAACAATGAATAGGCTATGTTCGATCCCTATGACACGTTTAATCTTTCGTAGTGTATCGGTAATGTTCTGCGCCAGATATGCTGAGTCATGCTCAATGAGCAGTTCGGCCAGAGTCATGAAATACCCATAGACACTAGCCCGGTCGACAGGTCGAGGATTAAGCTGAAAATCAAGCCAGCGCATTTTGTGTTGGTCGTTCAGAGCGACGTCGTTCAAAGATACCATGTCTAAGTAGAAATCGAGGAATAGCAAACGCGCCAACAAGACCGCGCCGAGTCGCTGGGAAATGAGTTCGTAGGCGGAGACCGCACTGTATTGATAGCTGGAGCAATGTTGAATTGCGGCTTCCATATCACGACTCCCCAGTAGCCCACCATCGACCGTGGCCGTGAAATAGAGACCCCAATTGCTGCATAGTCCCTCATAACATAGACGAGTTTTGCCGGATGCGGACGCGTTAACAAGGAATCTAGGAGTCGAATCTGGTAAGTGAGAGAAATTAACACAAGGACCACTCAACTTGTTCTTGGTCGGCGTAAAAATTCGAGAAACACGCTCCTTGAGAACGGGATCTCTACTGAACCGGCCCAAGTCATACATCAACAGGTTGAAGTCACTTGTTTTATCCACCGAGCGCAACCCAAGAGACTCGAAGTGATCCAATGTACTTTGTTCCGCATAGATTGGGCTTGGAGGTGGAGATATGCCTTTCCAGTGAATAAAAAGGCGGTCGGTTTGGATGCAGGCGAGGAATTCATTCCGAACTTCTTCCATATAGGCTCGGGCTGGAGACGATATAAAAGGAGAGACTGGAACTGTTGAGACAGTATAAGTAGTTTAACCAGGGAAGGACTGGATGACGAACGAGAATCAATGACGGCTTCATAGTATGGGTCTTCCTCGGCTTGAACGGCCTTTAATACGCCCAAGAGAGCGGGTTTTTGCAACAGAAGTCGCTCGCAAGCCTCCTTCGAGGTGCTCTCCTCGTTCACGGGACGCCCCACTTTCAAGAATGCGAGTGAAATGACCGCAGAAAGTAGGGGGATGGCAGTCGTTGCATCTTGAGCTGGTGGCAGGGCACGTATGCGCTTGTTGAGAGTGGCTATGTCGCCGTTGAGCTCCATTGGTTCAAATCCAAGGAGGTTGCTCGTAAAAAGCCGTCTTGTGGGCAAGGCTGATGGATGTATATGTGGGCGTACTCTGCCCTTGTTCTCCTTCCATCATGACTTGTCGAAAGGGTTCGATGGTTGCTAAAAATGTTGAGCGGCAACTGAAAGCCTTTCTCCCGCACTCTGGAGTTGGAAAAGAAGATTGGCTGACATAAGACAGGGACGACTATGGACATGTACTGTACAAGCTTGACCACAACGACTACGCATATTTGGAGACTGATTTCTTCCTGTTCTGTCGTGTTCCTTTCTGATTTCGACGCAATTGCCGTGGCTTTGGTGCTCGTTTTCTTGGTGCATAAGAGAGACGGCGTTGCTGAGTCACAGCAACAGCATCCACCGGGTCGTATTCTTCATATAAATCCTCGTCTTGCAGGTCCCATGTATAATGTGGCATTACCTCGTGCGAGCTTCCCATATGCTTCCCCTTGAACTCGAACAACAACCTGCTCTGCAGTTCTTTTGCCCGTTTGCGACTTCCTTGCATCGCTCCATCATCCCACCGCGACTTTCGTTTAGTGCCACCGATGGCCCCGTTGACCATAGCATCATAGAAATCCACCTGCATCACTTGGTCTTCCTTGCGTCGAAGAGCTCGAAAGCTAAGGTTGGCAACATCGCGACAACGCTTGTCTACACAAGGGCGGACGTCAACCTCAACGGGGAACGCAGTGACCGCACGAAGAAGACATGGACGCTGTTTGACCCCAGGTAAAGTACGAAGAGAATTGATAGCTCGTTGAATGGAGACGGTATCAGCCCCTTCCTGGTCCGCAATAAGTTCCGAAAGGAAGAGGAGAACAGTTCATACCTCTTGGAATAGATCATCAATATCCAGAAGCGACACAAGTGGCCGCAGCGCTTCGTCGTTCACGGGCTCGTCAGTTGCAAGTGCACGAACAGCAAGCCAGATAAATGAACCATCTGCTAATTGGATTGCACCCAGCAAGTCCAAATTAGGGGAAGAAGGTATGCAAAATGTGGTGCCATGGGCGTGTTCGATCCATTCGATAGTCTCTTCCAGCGACTGGGTCGCTGTAGCCAATGGAACCAGGGATCTGAACACATTCAAGTCGTCGACCATCGTGCTTTGAAGCTTGCTGTCGTCGTCTAAATGGAAACGAACTAGTTGGGCCGTTTGGCAAGCCCAACCGGGCGCCGCGTGCGGAAACTTGAAGATGTCTGTTAACATCCTCGAGCGTCCGAGCACTTGGGAAAGATAGAAGGCGAGACAGTGGGCAACACCTCGCCGAGTTCTGGGAGGATTGAGTTGCAAGGTCGTTATGAAAGTCGATGGTCGATCATTGGGGTATCCTTCATGAGGTCGGCTCGGCGCGGGAAATAGCTGACGAACAGCGCGGCACACGACCAACGGTTCATTGAACACAATTTTCGATAGGTCGGCATCAACAAAGCGAGAGTAGCCCCTCGATACTAGCTGGATGTCTTCAGGTCCGAAATCGTCTACTTGATGTGTGGCCATCATACTGTATAGGACATTAAGGACCAAGTCCTGGTCATCTAAGTGATGTTCGTAACATCCAGGGAGAAATGGGGGAAGTACATACGTGGAGAAAGCTCTTCAAAGCTGGGTTTCCCAAAGCCAAAGACCGAACCTGGTGTTGGGTAGACTTCCTCGTAGCAGATGCGCACCGCGTCAAAAGCTTCGACACCGGTTCCTTCGCGGATATACTGTGACAAAGTCGTATGCGGAAATAGAAGACCCGACGTGAGCAGAATGGATATAAATTTGTCGGTGAATTGATACCTGTTCAGCAGCTCAGGATGGGAACTAGCATCAGATCACAACGCACCGTCCACGACACCAGCGCCAGAGACGCGCAAGAAGGAATCGGCCAGAAGGGGTGTCACGAAATTTGGGAGGCAGGAATTTTGTGACATATCGCTCGTGAGCGTCAGGATCATCAAACTCTCCAGTGTCTGATGTCCACTCGAAATCTCCGCCAGGTTTGTCGCTAAACATGGAAGAAGGGACCCTGATACCAGCACAAATAAATGTGCAACTGCCTCTCGTCAAAGTCTGCCACGCTCCGATAATCTCTCGGAGAAGAGAATTTCCATCATCAAAGGATGTGTCTTCCAGACGGACACCAGCTTGTGCCCCATCTATGACAATGAAAAGAGGACTATCATGGCCAATAGCGTTTCGAATCTTGCGAAGAGCGTCGTCGATATTGGCTTGTAGGTTAAGAACATCATTCTTATCCCCTCCAAGCGCCTTTGATAACTTGCTAAACCGGTCGTCTGTTCCACCCCGACTGAAGGTGCACGGTGTAAGCTGCATTTCGAGCCAGCGCATCTTGTGCATCGTGTTCAGGGTATTGTCGTCGCAGTGGGTACGGGTTTCAAGAAAGAGCTGGAAGGCAAGAAGTCGAGAGAGGAGAACAACGCCAAACCAGCGAAAAACTAGATTCCTGTTTTTTGCGATGACTTGTGCTTTATCAGGAGCCCTAAGGCCGCGAACCCAGCGAAAGCCACCGTCAGCCTTGACACTGTCAAGGATGAATTCCATGTCGAAGCTCCCAAGTCGACTTGAATCAACATAGAAGGTAAAGTAAAGACCCCAATTAGCGCAGAGACCTTCGTAACAGAGTCTCGTCTTGCCCGTACCCGATGCATTCACCAAAAATCTGGAAATATTTAGATATAGGCAAAGTCAGAAAGAAACATTTTCACTTGTTTTTCGGGGTGAACAGTCTCGAGACACGGTTAGCAAGCACTGGATGTCGTTGGAAACCGCCCAAGTCATGCAGTATGATCTGGAGATTATAGGAGAGTTCGGCGGATTTTCGCAGTCCGAGAGACGCTATATGAGCGAGAAGATCATTATCTTCGTATCTTGGCATCTCAGTATGCTGATTTTTTGGCACCCAAAGAGGCAGAAATGATTCGGTCGCGGCGTGTTTTTCCATCCTTTCGCCAATGGATTGCAGTATCTCTCGAGATTTTGTGGACACCAATGCCGGAAAAGCAACTAAAGGCTAGTTAGTCAGCAAGCTGCGTGGTGGTAAAGAAACGTTACGCGAATCGAATATTGAGGAGTAATTTGGTACCTCTTGCATGTGAACAGTCTTCAGCAGCAAGTGGAGTGTGGGTTTTCTCTGCAACAGCTCTCTGCAAGAGGCAACCGCTGTGATGACATCGTCCGGCACCCGATTCGCCTTCCAAAACCGGATACGGAGCAGAAGTGAGAGAATCTCGGCCGCACCGTCGACCGTGGTTACAGGTATCCCTTTCAGGGAGACCTCAGCATCGGAAATTTGAGCGTTATAGTCGTTGTGTGTTGTAAGTGACATTGGTGTGGGGGCGAATGATCACAACGGCTGTGTTACTTGTGGGTCCACTAAAGAAGTCCGGTCCAGTTCGAGGTAGATGACGTCGCACAGGTCATAACACAATCCGAAATCGTTTCAAATGCTGCGACCGTTGGGGCATCTCCATCAGCGATGTCGTGGGCGATGAAGCGAAGAGGTACATTATCGGTGAGACCATCTGTCAAGTTGGGGTTGGTGCCTCTGGCAATCCAAGTGAAAATATTTACATGGGAGTCTAGTTGCCTATCTTGCAAGCCTCGAGCAAAAAAATCGTCTTCGCCTGCGTGTGGCATCGGAGTAGTCGCAGAGAAAAGATGGGACTGCGAGAAACAGGTTCACAAAACATGCATCGAGTCGTATGTACAGAGCGCTACTTACCTTGATGCTTCCTCCTGAGTGAGCTGTCCCGTTCTCGCGGTCACTGCACTACCTACTGAGTGGGCGTTTCCTTCATTTCCTCGAAAAAGTTTTGGGCTCGACCGTCGACAACGACATGGCTTGGATCAGAAGAGCTGGTTGACGATTTGGACCCGCCAAGTTCCAGAACGGAGACCACAGGGTTGTCTTTGTGGGCGACGGGAAAATCGACGCCGACATGGTTTTTTGGAAGTTGTGTCGTCCATCAAATGTCACTCTGAAAGGTCGTTCTCTCTCGATGATAATAAAATGTGCTGGAGCCAAAGCATGAAGCAGTGGCCCAGTCATCTGAGAAATCAATATACACTGAATAGTATTACACCGTAGTAATGGCCAAGATTAAATTGCTCTCGAAGACGACTATTGGCGCGGCTTCTTCCGGGTTCCCGGCGGTTTACCCCAGCGGTTTCCCTTCTTCACCTCAGGTTTGGGCTTGAAAGGCTGCGGCTTTTGTTTTCGAGTTTTCCGAGGAGACGGCGGAGCTTCCACAGCTCCGATAGCAGACTCTAGTCGAACCTCCTCCTCCCAAAACTCCTCTGGTCGCACATCCCAACCATAACCAGGGTCAGAAACCATCGTCTCTGAATGGTCCGAAATGCCGTCGTCATCCTGCCTTGGAGGTTTTGTTTCTCGAATCAGCTTCTTCGCCCGCTTGCGCTCTACGTGCATCGAGCCGTCGTCCCATCTAGATTTCCGTTTAGTCCCAGCGATGACGCCATTGACCATAGCGGCAAAGAAGTCTTCCTGCATAACCTGAGTTTCTCGAAGGCGCAGTTTCGTCAGACTGAGGGCTACAGCATCTCGAGAGCGTTTATCAACGCTTGCTTGAAGGTCAACTTCGATGGGAAAACCAGAAATGGTGCGTAAAACGCAAGGTCTTTGTCGAACGCCAGGCAGCGATCCTAACCCATCTGAAGCACGCCTTGATGTAACCATATCCGCAGGGGTCTAAGTCGAATGAGAAAAAAGAATTGTGATGAAATACATGCAAATACCTCGGCGAAAATACTGTCGATGTCTAAGAGCGAAATGGCATGACGGAGAGTGTCAGGCATTACAGGTTCATCCGTTGCAAACAGACGAACAGCGATCCAGATGAATGATTTATCGGAAAGTTGAAGGGCGTAGAGTAGGTCGATATTCGGAGAAGATGGGATGCAGAAAGTAGTCCCGTATTCATGGTTGATCCATTTGGTCGTTTCATTCAACGTTGCTGTGGCCGTTGCAAGGGGCGTTAAGGATTCATAGGCGTCAGGGAGAACCAGTTGGTGCTGAAGTTCACCCTGCTCGTCCAAGTATAACCGAACAAGTCGGGCTGTTTGCCGAGCCCATGGCGGAACAACATGTGGAAAGTCGACGATATCGAGCAGCGGGCGTGCTTCGCCGAATACTTGCGTTATATAGAACGCAAGGCAGTAAGCTAGACTTTGTCTTGTTGGAGGAAGGTTGAGACGAAGACTGGTGATGAAAGTCGAGGGAAAGTGATGTGGACGATCACGTGAGTATGCCTTGATTGGGAATGGAAAGAGCTGACGCGCAGCTCGAACCAAGAACAGCGGTTCATCCAAGGCAACTTGGAGACACTCATTGTCCGTGAAACGGGCATGACGTTCTTTGGTTACCAGCTCGGTATATTCACCAGTATTCAAACGGAGGCCCTCGTGCGTTGACATATAGCGATAGAGGATATTCAGCAAGAGGTCTTTGTGGTCTGGCGTCGACGATCAATTTCAAAGGTCTGAGCAGCTTAGTTCAAACAAACCTGGGGAGAGCTTAGAAAAGTCGGTTACTTTGATGATGCTCGATACCCAAACGAAGTTTCTTGGCAAATCTTCCTCAAAATGTCTTTTGAGGGCATCAAGCGGTGCTAACCGAGTACTGTTGTGAATGAAATGTGAGAGACAGCTATGCGGATATTGAAGTCCTTCTGATAGGAGCATCGAAAGAAATTCATCCGTCAACCGGTACCTACAGCGGCTGAGTGACGAAGAAACGAATACGTGTCCACGAACCTTCCTCGGCACCACCGCCAAAGACGAGCAACGAGGAATCGACCCGAGGCCGAATCACGAAACTTTGGGGGTAAGAACTGGGTAATGTACGTCTCGTGTGTGTCTGGATCATCAAAGCAGCCGGTTTCGGAGGTCAGTTCGAAGCTTTCGAGCAGAATTGGGGGTGGGAAATCAGTGCCCACGCAGATGAATTTACAGGTATCTCGTGTCAAGACTTTCCATCCTCGAATGATCTCCCAGAGAAGCGGCTTCCCATCCCCAAAAGAGTCCCGCAAGGTCGAAGAAGCAATTTGGGCTTCATCTAAGACGATAAAAAGAGGTTCATCGGGTCCGATTACTTTCCGTATTTTGCGCAATGCATCGTCGATGTTTGATTGGAGGTATGGTGCATCATTAGTGACAAGCAGGTCAGAAAGTGACCCAAAAGTATCCATTCCCCCATACGTAAATGCGTGAGGGGCAAGTTGGATTTGAAGCCAACGAGCCTTGTGTTCTTCCGTCAAAGTACCAGCGGAAGCCATTTCCAGAAAAATCTGGAATACAAGTAGCCTTGCGAGTAAAATTGGGCCGAAACATCGTAATGCCAAAGTCGAATTTTGCTCTTGCCTCTGGCGATCGTCAAGTTGGGTGTTGTTAAAGCCTTTGCCAAATGCGCAATGCTTTTGGATCGCTAACTGCCAGTCATGGCTACCGAGTCTGGTACGGCCGACCGCGAATGTGAAGTAGAAGCCCCAGTTTGAGCACAGCCCTTCGAAGCATAAACGGGTTTTCCCAGTGCCAGAGGAGTTGACGAAAAATCTGTAGGCACAAGTCAGCTAAAATTCGGTAGCAACGAAGCTCATGATCTAACTTGTCGCAAGGAGAGAACAAACGCCCCAGTCGCTCGTGGAGAGCGGTATGTTGCTTGAATTTTCCAAGGTTGTACAGAATAATGCACAAGTTGTCTGTGTTGGGCGTTTTTCGAAGATCGAGAGATTCAAAATGGCGTGTTACATCAGCGTCGCTGTATGTTGGACTGAAATCCCAAGACTTGGGCATCCAGGGCTTGAAGATTTCATCACTGGACGAAGCCCACTCTATGTAGTCGCGCAGTTCATGAAGGTCCTCCAAAACGGGCACAGACACGAGCGGAGGGAACGAAACTGGAGTCTGTGAATGGTCGGTTTGAAGATGAATCGTTTGACGCACCAGAATCCATGACTTGCGAGTATATGCAAGAATCCGCCTTCAGAAGTTGGTAGAGTTGAGTATGAGTGACCAAAACCCGTTCGCAGACAGAATCCGACAACAACTCCTCGTTCACATGCCGTCCGGCTTTGACGCAGGCCATCGAGAGTAGAGTCGAGAGGACGGGCACCGCGTCCTTCATAGAAGTGATGGGATATGACTTCAGGGTTGCCATTGCGTCTTCCTTTCTGGCAATTGGTAGTCTCAGTCAGTAGCAGCCTGCTTGGACCTGTTTTGTGACCGTTATGTGGGTTCACTCAGTCGCGTCAAGTACTTACGGAGCGGGGAATCAACTATGAGGAGGATCTTCCCGTGTCAGGCGGTACAGCAGAAAGTTGCGACATTGGCGTTGGGCAAGGATGGTAAGCTGCATGTAACGAGGTGAAAGGAAGAAGAAACAGGTAGATGATGGCGCATCAGATGCGTGAATTTCTCAGACCTGAATTCCTACTTAAGAAAAAAAATACACTCCAGATATCGAGGTGCAATGAAGTCAAAGACATATATTATTCCTACAAGTTCACCGTTTTCGACGCGACCCTTTCTGGGTTTGACGCGACTTCGACTGTGGTGGTTGTTTTCGTGGTTTACGGGAAGGCGGTGCCTGACGCTGGCGAGGAGCGGGGACAGCATTCAGTGGATCGTATTCTCCATAAAAGTCCTCCGAGCGCAGATCCCAGATGTATTCTGGTTCGGCCACTCTCGTCCAGATATAATCTCCACCAAACTTCTGGTTCAACCTCATTCTATGCTCCTTGGCTCGTTGGCGATTGTCGTGCATCGCCCCCTCATCCCAACGCGACTTCCTCTTGGTGCCAGCAATCGCTCCGTTGACCATTGCTTCGAAAAAGTCTTCCTGCATGACTTGATTTTTCTTGCGACGAAGAGCGCGAAAACTGAGGTTGGCAGCGTCCCGACAGCGCTTATCGATGCAGTTGCGCAGATCAACCTCAACGGGGAATGCTGTCACCGCGCGAAGGAGACACGGTCGTTGTTTGAGTCCGGGCAAAGAATGAAGAGAATCGATAGCCCGTGTAACAGAAGCAGTGTCAACACCTTCCTAAAGCAACATGAGCTGGGGAATGAAGCTGATGGAATAACACTTGCCTCACGAAACATACTGTCAATATCTAGGTCCGAAACCATTGGTCTCAGACTGTCGTCACTCATGGGCTCGTCCGTCGCTAGCGCACGAACAGCGAGCCAGATAAACGAGCCATCCGCTAACCGGATTGCACACAGCAAGTCCAAGTTTGGCGACGAGGGTATACAAAATGCAGTGCCGTAGCTATGCTTAATCCATTTGATGGTCTCTTCAAGGGTGCTCGTCGTTGTTGCAAGTGGTAGCAGAGACCTGAATGCGTCAGAGTCCACGATCGAGTGCCGGACTGCTCCTTCATCGTCTGTGTGAAAACGGACTAGTTGCCCAGTTTGACGAGCCCATCCAGGAATACCATGTGGAAATTTGAGGACATCGGTCAATATTCGACCGTTTCCGAGGACTTGGGAGAGGTAGAAGGCGAGGCAATGGGCAATACTCAACCGAGTTCTAGGAGGGTTGATTTGAAGTGCTGTTATGAAGGTCGATGGTCGATTGTTGGGAATTCCTCGAAGAGCCTCATAAGGAAACGGAAAAAGTTGGCGAGCAGCAAGCACCAAAACTAACGGCTCGTCGAAGATAATTTCCGACAGATGCGCATCAACAAAGCAAGCATGTGCTCTGGAAACCAGTGAAGTATACTCCGAAGTGAATTTTTGACTTTGTTGGGTTGCCATAAAGCTGTAAAGCACAGCTCGCGTCAAATCTTGGTCGTCTAGCAACATGTCAACTAATGTCAATATAAGAGGGAACTTGGCATACCAGGGGAGAGCGCCTCGAAAGACGGCTTTCCAAAGCTGAAGTTCCAGGTTTTTGGATTGGGATAGGCCTCTTCATAACAAATTCCCACGGCATCCAGGGGTTCGAGATCTGTTCCTTCAAGAATATAAAGCGATAAGGTCGTATGCGGAAATTGAAGGCCCTCGTAGAGGAGGATATTCAGAAATTTATCTGTCATTCTGTGGCTATCCACTTCCCTTGAGTAAGTTGTACTCGGAGAGACATCAGCCACGTACCGTCCACGACACCATCGCCAAAGACGAGCGACAAGAAACTGGCCCGAGGGAGAGTCTCGAAGCGTTGGCGGTAGAAACTTCCTGATGTATTGCTCATGGGCGTCTGGGTCGTCGAAAGAACCGGTATCTGATGTCCACTCAAAGTCTGCGCCAACTTCACCGTCAAAGATTGAGCGGGGAATGTTGACACCAGCGCAAATAAAAGTGCAGGCACCATGGGTCAGCGTTTGCCACACTCGAATAAGCTCCCATAGAAGAGGTTTCCCGTCTCTGGAGACGAATAGATTTTCTTCAACGCCAATTTGGGCCTCATCGATAACAACGAAAATCGGATCGCTGCCGATGACATGTTGTATTTTGCGAAGGACGTCGTCGATGTTGACTTGGAGATTGGCAACGTCTGTTTCATCTTCCCCAAGTGCATTTCCCAATCTGGTGAATACGTCCTGACGCGCCACGCCGAAAATGGACGGGGTGAGCTGTATTTCAAGCCAGCGCATCTTGTGATCATTGGTGAGCGCCCCATTATCAACGTCAACAAGGAATTCAAGGAATAGTTGAAAAACAAGCAACCGAGAGAGGAGAATGGATCCAAATTCATGTTTGGCCAGACGGGAATTTTGCTCCAGAGCATCATGGTCAAGAACCCGATGGTATTGATGCTTCTCCATTAGATAGTTTAGCTTGTCTTCCATGTCGAGGCTTCCTAGATTACCCGAATCAACTTCAAGGGTGAAGTAAAGACCCCAGTGGGAAGTGAGACCCTCGTAGCACAGTCTTGTCTTGCCTGTTCCTGATGCATTCACAAAAAACCTGCGTAAACTTTAGCTTTGATCGTGGCACGAGAGTTATCGCACTTGTGCTTCGAGGAGAAGAGCCTCTCAACTCGACCGCCGAGCACTTCGTCGTGTTTGAACTCGCCGAGACCGTGGAGGATGATACAGAAGTCGGGACTCATGTCCGCCGATTTTCGCAGCTGAAGGGCCTTGCAATGATTTTGGACATCGACGTTTTTGTAGATTGGATGGGAATGCACGACAGGCGGTACCCAGACAGGAAACAGCGAATTACCTTCGGCCATTCCTCCCATCTTCATTCTTAGATCTTGCAATATTTTGCGGGACTTCTCGGACACCAATGCTGGAAATAATGCTGCACCTTGGTTAGTGTGTTCTCCTCAGACCAAAGAAACCAACGAGAGTGGGTTATCAGAGAATAGTCGGGGCAGTCCTGACGCTGAACTATGTTCAACAAAGAGTTCAGTGCAGGGTTTTCGTTCAACAATTGCGTGCACGAAACAACTGAAGTCATGTCAGTGTCTGGTGACCGATTTGCTTTCCATGACTGAAGACGGAATAAGAGAGAGAGGGCTATGGCCGCGTCGTCGATGGTGTTGACAGAGAGTTCTTTCAATGAAAGCTCAGCTTCATGAATTAGAGTGTTATAGCCGCTCGTCGTCGTGGAAGGCATGGTTGAAAGACCTGAAGGCACAGGGGTGTGTGTGGAAATGACAAGGGATTGGCTGCTCAAGCAAAGAAGAATGGATGTGTTCTCGCGTTAGGGCGTGTGGGTGAGGGACTTGTGGGTGAGGGACTGCCATATTTGCTCCAGTGCAACAGCGACTTTTGTGGACGACGATCCGAAGGACAACAACTGGTCACACATTGACAGTCACGGTCATAGGCAAGCAAGGATACTCGACGACCTAAATCTCTACATAATCAAGTTTTTTTACCTGCTCTACCTACTGTGCGGCGTTTATTCCGCACTACTACAGAGCTACCGTTCGTATTAGCATTGTTTGACCTTCCGCTCTTTCCCTTAGTAGTAACTCTGGCGTTCGAAGATTGCGATTTTCGTCTTTGAGGCTTTCGGCGAGTTGTTGGAGCTATAGGAATCTCAGGAGCCGAATCAAGTCCGGTGCCGTACATTTCTTGATATGGGATGTCGTAGGAATAGTGGGGGGTAGCAATATGAGCTGAGTAGTCCGAATATTCCTCCCATAGATCTCGCTGTAGAGATTCCAGTTCGTGCCTCAGTATCCTTGCTCGCTTGCGCTCCATATGCAGCGGCGCGTCATCCCATCTCGATTTGCGCTTCGTCCCAGCGATCAAGCCGCTGACGATGGCTGCAAAAAACTCTTCTTGCATGACCTGGTCGTCCTCACGTCTAAGCTTGATGAGACTGAGCTGCACGAGATCCCGAGAGCGTTTATCGACGCTTGTTCGAAGGTCGACCTCGACCGGGAAACTAGAGACAGCGCGCAAAACGCAAGGCCGCTGTCGGACGCCAGGCAACGATCGTAACCCGTTTGTAGCACGTTTTGACAGGGTCGAGTCGACTTCATCCTGGAAAAATTCAAATGGACACAAGACTTCAGTTTCGGAAGATAATTTACCTCGAGGAAAAGACTATCAATGTCCAGGAGCGAGATCGCAGGACGGAGGTGGTCATCCGTTACTGGTTCATCCGTTGGGAAAAGACGAACAGCGACCCAGATGAATGATTTGTCGGCAAGTTGAAGGGCATACAACAAGTCCAAATTGGGGGAGGAAGGTATGCAGAAAGCAGTGCCATAATTATGGGCAATCCAGCGAGTGGTTTCTTCTAGTGTGTCTGTTGCTGTTGCGAGGGGTCTCGAAGACTCAAAAAAGTCGGGCAGGACTGCTTCATGCTGGATGCCGCCCTTCTCATCCATGAATAATCGGACAAGCTGAGCTGTTTGACGAGCCCAGCCAGGGACAGCATGAGGAAAGTTCATGATATCAGGCAATAGCCGAGGCTTGCCGAAGACCTGAGCGACGTAAAAAGCAACACAATGGGCCAAGCTCTGTCTTGTGCGAGGAGGGTTTAGACGGAGACTACCAATGAAGGTCGCAGGGTGATGATGAGGACGACCACGTTGCGCCTGCGATGGAAAAGGAAAAAGCTGGCGAGCGGCGCAGACTAGGACAAACGGTTCATCGAAGATGATTTGCGACAACTTAGCATCTGCGAAACGAGCATAGCTGTGATTGACTAGGTCCAGGTGTTCACCGGCATCAAAATGACGTCCTTGATGGGTTGACATATAGCGGTAAAGGATTTCGACAACTAGGTCTTTGTGGTCTAATAATGTTTGAGTTCCCTACGACATACGTGAAGATGACACGAACCTGGAGAGAGTTCGGAAAAATCAAATTGCTTGATATTGAAGAATCCCCAAGCGGTATCACCTGGACATGCTTCTTCCACGCTCATTTCCACTGCGTCCAGCGGTTTCAGATCAGTGCTGCTCCTGATAAACTCGGAAAGACATGCTTGGGGGTAGTCCAAGCCCTCTTCTAAGAGAATCGACAGAAACTTGTCTGTCAATCGATATCTGAAAATGATTCAGCAGTGCGATGAGAAACGAGCAACAACAAACCGTCCTCGGCACCATCGCCAGAGCCGGGCAACGAGAAAGCGACCAGAAGGGGAATCCCGAAGGTTGGGAGGGAGAAATTGTTGCACGTAGGTCTCATGAACGTCCGGATCGTCAAAAGAGCCCGTTTCGGAGATTGATTGAAACCCCAAATCCTCCCCCAGCGTGAATTCTGAAAGCGGGCTGCTAGGACAAACAAATGTACAAGCTCCTCCTGTCAACGCCTTCCACGACCGAATGATTCGCTCAAGCAGCGAACTATCTTCGTCTTCGAACGTTAAGCAGGCCAGTTGTGCTTCATCCAAAACAATAAAAAGCGGAGCGTCGTGACCGATGGCAGCTCGTATTTTTCGAAGGGCATCGGTAATATGATCCGCCAGATGGGACGCATCGTTTTCGAGGAGAGCGGTACCAATGACAGAGTATAGGTCTTCTCCAGAGCCCGAGGCAAGTTGATTTTCAAGCCAGCGAACCTTGTGTTGGTCGGTAAGAGTATCGGATACTGAAGGTGTAACTATTCCGAGAAACTCTTGAAAGACCAGCAACCGGGCAAGTAACACAGCATCGAAATGGCGAAATCCAAGGTCTCTGTCATCTCTTCCCCGGACAATACGACAATAATCCTGGAACACGCGCGGTAGGTCATAGCTTCCCAGCAGATCCTCGCCGACGTCAAATGTGAAATAAAAGCCCCAGTTTGAACAAAGACCTTCGTAACACAACCGGGTCTTTCCCGTTCCTGCAGCGTTGACGAAAAGTCTGTCCGTCGAATTGTCATAAGTACAGGCGCTTAACGAACAGATGACTTAACTTGTCGTGTGGAGAAAAGAGACGCTCGACCCTTGCACTGAGGATGACATCTTGCTTGAACCTTCCTAGGTCGTGAAGGATTATGCGGAGAAATGTGTTATAAGTCCAAGTCTTGCGAAGATGAAGCGACGCTAGATGACGTTGGACATCAACATCACGATAAGCAGGATGAGCAAGGATGTTCGGTTTAGGCATCCATTGGGGAAGTAGGTCAGCATTTTGGGCCCTGCTTTCGATGGCAGGTCGCCACTCTGTAAGAGTTTCCCTTGCAACCGCAGATACCACTGATGGAAACAGTGCTAAACAGCGAACATTCAAGCACGGTTCAAGTATGGAAGTCTTGGACGCACGGGAGTTCACGACTGGGGAAAAATCACTATGCGCCGTCTTGAATAGCGCAAGGAGAGCTGGCCTGTCCATAAGCATAGTCCTACAGGCAGTTTCTGCTACCACATCATCGTCAACCGAAAGTCCATTGTTCACAAACGCAAGAGCGAGCAGGGTTGATAAGACTGGCACGGCAGCGTCAACGGAGTCGATTTTTGACCTCTTCAGCATGTCCAGCGTATTTTTGAGGCGAGACAATGATTCGTCGTTGTCTGTGAGTCTGCGGGATGGAGGTTGGTTCATCGAAGCTCATAGTCGTGACGTGAGAACATGAGGTTTGAGCATTCTGGTGGCGGTGCGTTTGTGGGTCCGACACATGCCCACTCCATCGTCTTTGCAGCAGACATGCACCTTCCGGGACACTACAAGCCTGCTAAAATGACCAAAAACTTCATTTTGCGCTACTCTAGAGTGGCTCTAGAGCCACTTACTATTAATATAATTGCTTTACGGGCGTCCTTGTTCCACTGACAGGGATACTTTACACCTGGCAGGTGTGTGATAAAAGGCCCACAAGGTCTTGTACTGCGTGTACTTGTATCTCCGAATATGGAAAGTGGGGTAACAACTTCTGGCTCGGGAACAAGGACCTTCGTGAAAACAATACTGCAACTTACAGCCCCGTCCCTTCTTCCAATCGGCTGCAGCGGCAGTACGTCTAATAATCGGGAAGTTCCATATATATAGCATGTCTCCACGAGCTCCTTCTACCATTGTACCTCTTCACACCAAACAGATTGGCTCAGTGAATGGCCCAAGAGTCTCAACCGCTCCACCCCAAGCTTGAATGTGAGTGAGCAGGTTTCAATGCGTTGGTTTACATAACGTTTCTGAACGACAATACCAGATGATACACGATCCTGGGGATACGAGTTACCCGTCGATGCAACGAATTTTCTAAACGACTTATTCCCGAAATTCGAGGTCCTGGTGACCTATCATCCTGCTTGGCCCGTTTGGAAAGTGCCTCAGAGCTGTCTCGATCCCTCATCGGTACAATGGTTGAACGATCTGTCGATTCCGGCCACCCCCAATGGCGATCCAAATCTTCTCCTGCATCAGCTCGGTACCCTTGATACCAGTGCGCTCCTCAACGAGCCGCTGCTAAGGTCAAACATGAACCAGTGTGTGCTTGGACGCTGACGTCTAGTGGTACTGATTCGTCCACAGCTTTTTGATGAATGCTTCTGGTTCCGGGAAAACACGACTTGCCCTTGATTCTCTTTGCTCTGCGTGGGGCTTTTATTACACCCTGAAAAGCTCATTAACACATGGGAATGAGCTTGGATCTAACGACCTCCGAGATTGCGTCAGGAGAATGCGAGCAGATGCAATGTTTGAGCCGGACCTTATAGACTCAATCAGTCTTGCTTTCCACAAACAACTGAAAAAAAACGAGGAAATCTCATTACGCTGTCTCAGTCATGTTTTGCTGGCGCGACATCTCATATTCCATGTGTTTCTGGATGCAATCGAAAAATCAAGGTGCACAGCGAAGCCTGAAGATCGAAAATGCTGGGTTATGTTGCAAGTTTACCCAACATTGGCTCCCGGCTTGGGGACCGATATCTTCTACGAACTCGCGCACATTTTGGGAGAACCACGAGACAACTCGCTGATCAGCTTTGATGATTCGCGGATCAAAGTCAGATTGTTTCGGAAGCTGAGGGAAAAGATTCAAGCACTCGAAAAGGCTGTTGTACAGATTCTGCCGTTGTTCTCTGTTGTCGACGACATTCAGCTCTTTGCAAGTGAACTCCCTCATGCGTTCCGTTTGGAAACCAGGTCAGAGACTGATCCACCTACACAATATACAAAATATGGCCCGGAATCACATCGATCCTTGCTTCGACAGCTATTCATAGCCTTAATCCCATTTATACAGAATGGATCGGGAAGTTTGGGCGTCGGAACACCTATAGAGCTTCGTGAGGTAGAAGAAGCAATGCACTCATCAGTACGTCAAGGCGAAAGGGTGACCACCAAGGTGCAGACCGGAGTGTTTGACCCTGGGAAGTCCACGGAGACCAACCTCGAGTATAAAGCCTACATCCGCCAGTATCTGCCGCCGAAGTTTCTTGAAAGCCCGTCTGGGCGGCTTCTCCTGTATCGAATTACAAGATGGTTGTTCGGCCGGTAAGTAATATAAAATGGGCAGTTATACTTAATGTTAATATGCAGTCAGATATCGCCTCACAGCAGATTTCATCACCTTCCTTCTACGGCTTGGCTTGCAGAACCCTCATACAGCACTTGATGACTGGATATCATATCATACCGGCGGGTTTAAACCAACGGATGGTTTGATGCTAAGACGGCTTGTCACTAACCCAAGTGCAGTGCAGATGATAGAGAATGGCCACCGTCTGCTAGCTGGTGCCGATTCAAATGTCGAGAACTCTCAAGCCTCCAACTCCTCCGATATAACCCCAGATATCAGACCACAAAATGCACTTCATGAAGAGCTGCCACTCCACAAACTACGTGTGGGTAAGTCAACATCTTGCCAGTAGTATGATCATCATCAATTAATCCCAACATCCCTAGGTGGTTTTATGCCAGCAGCAGCTCAAGCTGTGTTTGATTCTTTCTTGCGTCGAAATATCCGCGGAATCACTGCTGGTGCGCAACTGCATGCAGTCGAGGCTGGGTTTGCAAAATTGCACCAAACCATCAATGACACTCATATCAGCGAGCCTATTCTTGTCCTCGCTGGAATGCATCGGATGGAAACAGAACAAGATGGGTATGGCGCGAATGAGCATACTCTGACGAGACACATTGTCACAAATGTCGGCGATAATTCTACCCACCACAATGGATTTGAAGATTTATCGGCATTTATTATTGCTGAAATCTTTGCCAAGTCAACACCACTGGATTTGATATTCAAGCCGCGAGCAGGTGCTCCAGTCCCCAATTGGTTTCGACGAGAAGCCCGTCTTGTTGTGCTAGCACACGAGTTTGAGGACAAACCAACTATATACGATGTTAACCTACCCGCCAGAGAGGGTCCATCCGGCCAGTTTGGTCGCGCTTGCGAGGGACCCAGTGATGTGCTCAAGTTCCTTAAATTGCAGGATCGGTTAAGGCCTGCCATCTGCTTCCCCGATAAACGGATGGGACCCGACATTCTTTGCTTTCTCGAGCTCCAAGCGACCGAAGATGAAGAAGCATGCATAATTTTGCTGATGGTCCAATGCAAATTCCATAGCTCGGCCGAGACACGAGCACTCAATGATGCACCAAAAGGGGTGGGAGGAATGGTCAGAGCAGCAGCACGGTCTATACTACCTGATGAATGTTGGGTTACTGAGGTGAGTCTTCATTGTCCTAGCCTGACTGAAAAACAAAACTTGACCAGAAGGGCGTAAAGTATCAGTTCCAGGGCAAAGACCTCTGTGACTTGGCTAAGGAAGCGTTTCTCAAGATACCGAATGGATTGTCAGAGCAGAGCCGCTACCCCATCATGCGAGTCGTTGTCATGTGGCCTCCATCATGTACTCTGGAAGAAGCCGCCGCGGAAAATCCTTCACGGAAAAAGCCACTCGCACAATGGGAAGATGACCATCTATTGGTTACTTTCAATTGGGATGAAGTCGGCAAGGAAAGACCATATGTGCAGGAACACATTGAACATAGGGAGAGGCTCTACATTGCGCGACAAGAAGAAAGGAGGGAAAATAGAACTATCCCAAGACCACTGAGCACTGACACAAGACACTCATCGATGAGTGTGGATAGATGGTCTTATACACCTATGAGCATGACACCGCTCAAGAGGCGGCGCTCTGTGGAATCAGATAATGAAAGTACGAGCGACTCGGAAATGCGGGCACCGACCCGACCAAGGTTTTCCGAGACCAGCATGGAAGGAAACACAGGCAGGCAAAGAACGAGTCAGATGGATGTGTCTCCGAGTCCTAGGCACACCAGAGCCAAATCGAATAAAAAAAAATGATTTGTCGGTACTACATCAGCCGAGCTAGAACCTTACTAAAAATAGCTACGCAGGTTTTTCTTAGTCGGAGGCAACATCACGGTAATGGCTTGGTAGCTCCGCTACTTTCAGGCGAGGGGATTGGATTGGATTTTTACACGGCACGGTCCGACTTGCGAACGCCGGTTTCCAGGGATTATCCCGGTGTACAAAGGCTGCGTAGATAGAAATACACCATTGTCCCTGGGCCCTCTTTGGCTTCTGACAAATCGAAAGAGAAGCATTGGCAATTAACCGATGCCTAGACTGGAACATCCGCAACGATTTGAGCTTCATTATGTAACAGAACCACTTTTCATCAAGTCCGACTACATGTTCTCTGTGTTTCGCGCAACACATCGTCGATATTTGATTGGAGGTATGGGTACATCGTTGATGGAAAGCATGTCGAAAGTATCCATTCCCCCATGCGTAGATACGTGCGGGGTAAGTTTCATCTGGAGCCAACGAGCTCTGTGCTCAGGTACGAGTGGGTGGAGACTTTTGCCAGTAAAATCGGGAAAGCAAGTAGCGTTGCTAGCAAGATGGGGCCCAAGTATCGTTGCCAAGATCAAATTTTGCTCGCCGATGATGATTGTGGCGTCGTGGAGGCTTTTACCACAATGCCTCTGTATTGCTGGCTGCCAGTCATGATTACGGAGTCTCGTACGGCCAACCCCGAATGTGGAGTAAAATCCCCAGTTTGAACACAACCCTTCGAAGCACAGACGGGCTTTGCCGGTACCAGGAGAGTTGACGAAGGATCTGTGGGTGCAAGTCAGTGAGAATAACTTCGATCCGGCAATAAAGAAGCTTATGATCTGACTTGTCGCAAAGAGAGAATAAACACTGAGGTTGCCCACGTAGAACGGTATGTTGCTTGAGTCTTCCGTACAGAATGATGCCCCAGTCGTTTGTGTTTCAAAAATTGAGAGACTGAATATGGCGAATATCGTGTCGCTATATATCGGACTGGATAGCTTGCTCTGCCACATCCAGGGCTTGAAGAGGAAACGAAACTAGAATTGGTCAATGTTTGTGACAATGTTTGTGTTGACAATAACCTGTCTAGCGCACCAGAACCTATCACTTGAGAAGTTGTGTAAGAATCCCGCTTGAGAACGGGGAGAGGTGCGTGTGTGGTTGACACTTCACTGCAAACAAATTCTGACAACGACTGCTTGTACACAGGACGTTCAGCTTTGACGGGTCGAGAGGACTGGCAGTGCATCCTCGATGGAATTGATGGGGAAAGAGTTTGGAGTTCTCATTGCGTCTTCCGCTCTGGTCCACTTGGAGGGTAGAATAATGTTGTTTGCAACAAGCCGGCTTGGACCCGCTGGGCTGTTGATATTATAATGTGGCTCCACTCGGTCGCTTCGAGTGCTTACCGAGTAGAGAATTAGCCCTAGATCCTGCCGAGTATGCCCTCAAAACGTTGCAACGGTGTCGATGGGCATAGTATCATTGTGAAAGTTTAGTGAAACAGGTGGATGATGACATCAGCATGATCCACGGTCATCACGCAGTTTTCCACTTCCATATTTTTCGAAGGCAAGTACAATGAGCGGTTACATATAGTGTGAATAGACGATTTCAGCGCCTACGGACCGACCTCTGCTGGGTTTGACGCGACTTCGACAACTGTGACTGTTTTCGTGGCTTCCGAGAAGGTGCAGGTTGGCGATGAGCGGGGACAGCATTCAGTGGATCGTATTCCTCATAAACGTCCTCCGAGCCCAAATCCCACGAGTAATGTGGTTCGGCCACTCTCAACCAGACATAGTCTCCACCAGACGCGTGGATCAACATCAATCTGCGCTCCTTGGCGTGTTCGCGATTGTCATGCATCGCCCCCTCATCCCAACGCGACTTCCTCTTGGTGCCAGCAATTGCTCCGTTGACCATTGCTTCGAAAAAGTCCTCCTGCATGACTTGATCTTTCTTGCGACGAAGAGCGCGAAAACTGAGGTTGGCAGCGTCCCGACAGCGCTTATCGATGCAGTTACGCAGGTCAACCTCAACGGGGAACGCTGTCACCGCGCGAAGGAGGCACGGTCGTTGTTTGAGTCCGGGCAAAGAACGAAGAGAATCGATAGCACGTTTAATGGAGTCATTATCAACTCCTTCCTATAGCCACATGAGCCGGGGATTGAAGCTAGTAGAACGACACATACCTCACGAAACACACTGTCGATATCTAGATGCGAAACCAGTGGTCTCAGACCGTCGTCACTCATGGGCTCGTCCATTGCCAGCGCACGAACAGCGAGCCAGATAAACGAGCCATCCGCTAACCGGATTGCACACAGCAAGTCCAAGTTTGGCGACGAGGGTATGCAAAACGCAGTACCGTAGCTGTGCTTAATCCATTGAATGGTCTCCGCAAGGGTGTTCGTCGTTGTTGCAAGTGGCAGCAGAGACCTGAACGCACCAGGGTTAACGATTGAGTGCTGGATTGCTCCTTCATCGTTTGCATAGAAACGAACTAGTTGTCCTTTTTGACGGGCCCATCCCGGAGTGGAGTGCGGAAATTTGAAAACATCGGTCAACATTCGGGGGCATCCAAATACTTGAGAGAGATAGAAGGCGAGACAATGGGCAATACCCAGCCGGGTTCTCGGAGGGTTGTTTTGCAAGGCTATTATGAAAGTCGATGGTTGATCGTTGGGAGCTCCTCTATGTGGCTGGTGAGGAAATGGGAAAAGCACACGAGCGGCGAGTACTAATATCATTGGTTCGTCGAAGACAATTTCCGACAGATGCGCGTCAACGAAACGAGCGTGTGCTCTGGAAACTAGTGAAGTATACACTGAAGTGAATGTTTTAGCTTGTTGAGTTGCCATAAAGCTGTAGAGTATAGCCCGCGTCAAATCTTGGTCGTCTAACAACGAGGTGTCAACTAATGACGATATAGTGGGGAACTTGACATACCGGGGGAGAGCATCTCAAAGGAGGGCGTTCCAAAGCTGAAGTTCCGATTTTTAGGGTCACGGTGTCCCTCTTCATAACACACTTGCACTGCATCCAAGGGCTCAAGACCTGTCCCTGCTTGGACATACTGTGATAAAGTTGTATGCGGGAATTGAAGACCATGGTGGAGTAGAATGTTAAGGAATTTGGCAGTGATTCTATGGCTGCCAGGTTTTTAAGCATATGATATTGGGCCACATCCACTACATACCGTCCTCGACACCAGCGCCAGAGACGAGCGACAAGAAACTGGCCCGAGGAAGAGTCTCGAAGCGCTGGCGGTAGAAACTTCCTGATGTATTGCTCATGGGCGTCTGGGTCATCGAACGAGCCGGTATCTGATGTCCACTCAAAGTCTGCGCCAACTTCACCGTCAAAGATCGAGGGGGGAATTTTGACACCGGCGCAAATAAAAGTGCAGGCACCATGGGTCAACGTTTGCCAAGCTCGAATAAGCTCCCACAGCAAAGGTTTGCCGTCTCCAGAGACGAATCGTTTTTCGTCGACACCAATTTGGGCTTCATCAATGACAACGAAAATCGGACTGATGCCAATGACATGTTGAATCTTGAGAAGAACGCCGTTGATGTTCATTTGGAGATTGGCAACGTCCTTTTCATCTTCCCCCAGGGCATTTCCTAACTTGGTGAATTCATCATGGAGTGCCAGACCAAAGACGTTCGGTGCGAGCTGCATCTCAAGCCAACGCATCTTCACGTTGTGCTTACTGGTGAGCGAGGCGCCATCAATGCTGACGAGCGATTCGAGGAATAGCTGAAAGACAAGCAGTCGAGAGAGGAGAATGGATCCCAGTTCATTCTGAGCGGTAAGAGAGTTCTCCGCCAAAGCCGCATCATTAATGACTGGATGAAGTTGATGTTTCTCGGCCAAATATTTCAGTTTTTCTTGCATGTCGTAACTCCCGAGACCACCAGCGTCGACACCAAGGGTGAAGTAAAGACCCCAATGGGAAGTAAGACCCTCGTAGCACAGTCTCGTTTTGCCTGTGCCCGAAGCGTTCACGAGAAACCTGAAGGATATATCAGTTTAAGCGACTGCATGAGAGCTGTCGCACTTGTTTTTGGAGGAGAAGAGTCTCGAGACTCGACCACCAAGCAATTCATCACGTTGGAACTCGCCAAGGTCGTGTAAGATGATCTCGAAGTTAACGTCCATGTAAGACGATTTTCGTAGCTGAAGGGCCTTAAGATGGTTTTGAACATCAGAATCTTGGTAGATTGGATGGGAATACAGGAGACGCCTGGGTGTCGGCACCCAGGCGGATAACAGCGAATCACCATAATCCATTGCTCCTATCTTCGTTCGGAGATCTTGCAATAGTTCTTGAGCTTTGGGGGATACCATTGTTTGTAGAGGCGTTGGTGACGTCGTGGAGGCCCAGTGGAGCCCTTCGGTACGCCTGGAGTTGTTTAGTGGCAGAGAACAAGAAATGAAACAAGCACGAGTCACCCGTTGTGGACGTACATAGGGCTTGTGGGTGTGGTCGCATTGTGATGATCTAAATCATGAAGGTATCTTCATTGCTGCGCTGGAGGTGGAAGTACCACACTGGTGGGCGGATAAGCTCCAGTGGTAAAGTCGAGGCAGACGAAAAGAGCAGGATCGAGATGACCGTTATGAGCAAATTGGTCATGACCTGCACAACGATTTGATCGAAAAGCGACCGAAATTTCTGCAAGTACTAGAGACACAAATTCCTATTCGACAACCACTACATATACTGGAGATTTTGACCTGGCTCATATCAAGTCTGGCCTGCCCTCCTCCGCTTTGACATCGTTCGAGGCGCCCTTGCTGTTGCAACAGTGATAGATTTTGGACCATTTCCAACTGCGCTCTTTCCCTTGCCCCTGGACGCTGCAGTCTTCGTATTCGAAGCCTGCGACCGTGGTTTCCGTCTTCGAGGTTTGCTCTGAGTCGGTGGTGGTGTAGCAGGACGCGACGGTTCCTGTAGGTCATCCTCCCAGAGCTCTTCTGAGCGTACATCCCACGAGAAGTGGGGCTCATACCCAACAACACTATAGTCCGAATAATCATCATCATCTGAATCGTTTCGTGGACGCCTGATTTGATCCAGGACAACTTTGGCCCGTTTACGATGAATATGCATTGACCCCTCATCCCACCTCGACTTTAGCGATGACACCGTTGACAATGGCACCAAAGAACTCTTCTTGCATTACTTGATGCTCTTGCCGCCTCAACTTCGTAAGACTTAACTTGACAACGTCGCGAGAACGCTTATCCACACTGGTTCGAAGGTCTACTTCGACGGGAAAGCTGGATATTGCGCGAAGAACACATGGTCGTTGTCGAACACCAGGAAATGATCGCAACCCATCTGCAGCACGCCTTGACGCCAACGCATCCGCAGAAGTCTAAAGAGGTTAAATGTCGGAAAGTTCACCATTGATGTGTGGTGCACATACCTCCACGAAAAGGCTGTCGATATCCAACAGCGAGATAGCGGGCCTGAGGTCGCAATCCATGACTGGCTCATCCGTCGCGAAAACACGGACAGCGACCCAGATGAATGATTTGTCAGCAAGTCGAAGTGCGTAGAGTAAGTCGATGTTTGGTGACGAAGGTATACAAAATGTGGTACCGTATTCGTGGTTGATCCATCGGGTAGTTTCGTCTAGTGTTGTTGTTGTGGTAGCAAGTGGCGTCAATGACTCGTAGGCCTCGGGGAGAACCACCTCGTGATGCAGATTGCTCTTCTCGTCCAAAAATAATCGAACAAGTTGGCCTGTTTGACGGGCCCATGCAGGAACAACATGCGGGAAGCTGAAAGTATCAGGGAGCGACCGCGGCTCACTAAATATTTGCGTCAGGTAGAAAGCGAGGCAATAAGCTAGACTCTGTCTTGTTCGAGGAGGATTAAGGCGGAGACTGCCGATGAAAGTGGAGGGATAACGATGTGGTTGACCACGCTCCGAGCGCACAGGGAAAGGAAAAAGTTGGCGAGCAGCATCGACCAGAAAAAGGGGCTCGTTGAATATAATTTGCGAGAGGCTAGCGTCTTGAAAACGCACATAGCCTTCAGTGACGAGACCCAGGTGCTCGCCAGTGTTGAAATGATGGCATTGGCGAGTAGCCATATATTTATAGAGGATACCGACGATGAGATCTTTGTGGTCTATCGAGGAATAATTAGTAATCAAGTCGAAACGAAAGACCTTGGAACAGAACCTGGGGAGATCTCGGAAAAATCGAATGTTTTGTATTTCGGAAACACCCAGAGAAAGTCTTGGGCCAAGGCCTCTTCATAGACGACCTTGACTGCATCCAGCGGCTTAAGCCCGGTACTCTTCCTGATGAAGTGGGTAAGGCAGGCATGTGGGCAGCCTAGACCTTCGAAGAGCAGGATCGAAATAAACGTGTCGGTTATACGATATCTGTTGGCATTAAGACATGGGAAAAGTTTTGGGATTGTTCCACACCTGCCTCGACACCATCGCCACAGTCGGGCCACAAGAAATCGACCCGAAGGCGAGTCCCGGAGCATGGGCGGCAGGAACTGTCGGATGTAGGCCTCATGCGTGTCTGGATCATCGAAGCCACCTGTTTCCGTGGTTTGATGGAATCCTAGGTCCCGAGCGAGAGTAGATTGTGGTACTGGTGTGCCGGCGCAAAGAAATGTAAAAGAACCCTGGGTTAAAGCTTTCCAGGAGAGAACGATGTCTTGGAGCAGTGGCTTCTCCTCCCGTATGTCAAATACTGTCGCTAGCTGAGCATCATCTAGCACTATGAAAAGTGCAGCATCGATGCCAATGGCGTTCCGTACTTTGCGAAGCGCATCAGCAATGTGAACCTTGATATTGCTTCCGTCATTTTGAAGTAAGCTGCTTGCTAGTGAAGCATAAATATCTGCTTCAAAGTACGGGGCGAGTTGAATTTCAAGCCATCGGATTTTGTGTCTATCGGTCAGAGTTTCACTTGCGTCAATGGCTTCGAGAAATGATTGGAAGGCGAGTAACCGGGTCAGCAATACCACATGGAAAGGACGGAGTCTGATATTTTCGTCGATTTCCGGGTCAAAAGCATCATAATATGCTCGGAAAGCAAGCTGGAGGTCGGTGCTCCCGAGCCTGCTATCGTTGACTTCGAATGTGAAGTAGAACCCCCAATTGGAGCAGAGGCCTTCGTAACACAACCGTGTCTTTCCTGTACCTGGTGCATTGAGAAGCAACCTATCCAGTCAGCAACAGTGCGACAATCGAGCTATAGACCAACTTGTCTGTCGGAGAAAAGGTGCGCTCAAGCCTTACGCTGAGTACGGGATCTCGAATGAATCTTCCAAGATCATGTAGAATGATCCGAAAGTCGGAGCTTCCTTCAGAAAATTTGCGCAAATGGAGTGTGTCGAAATGGTGTTGGAACCTGGCGTCGTCTTGGAGAATAGGGCCAGAATACATGTCTGGGTTGGGTATCCACCGTGGAAAGAGATCGTCATTTTGAGCAGCTTCGTGAATATACGCTCGCATCCCATGCAACCTAGACTTGGCGGCTGCAGACACCAGCGATGGAAACAGTGCTAAGTGGTGGACATGAGCAACATTTAAGAGTGGGAGGGATCAACACACGAGAATCAGTAACCCTTGAATAATCTTGTTTAGTGTCGGTATGAACGGTCTTGAGCAACTCGAATAGGCCTGGTCGTTGGGTGAGCAGCTGTCTACATGCGCCGTCGGACACCAAATTTTCGTCGACTGGTAACATCGCGTGTAAAAATGCTAGAGAGAGCAAGGTGGATAGAATCGGCACGGCATCGTCAATGGAGACAACAGGGGACAGCCCGAGGATAGCCAGCCGTTGGTTCATGTCGGGAGGGTTGCACATTGTCTGGCTGTGACGCGTGGATGATAAGGCTGTTCGCCTGCTGTGGGTCCATACGTTATTACGAGTAGACCTTTCTTGTTCTCGAAAAACAACAATCGATGGGAAGCCCCAAAACCATTATGGCGCGTGTCCACGTTGTAGACATACTTTTGCCCAAACAATAGCAGCAGCGACTGCCAATGAAGCCTGTAGTGGAGGCATGAACGTTCCAAAGAAAATGAGTTGATTCGGGTTATGTAAGCCACCGTGCACCAAAAAGTAGTGTAGACTGTAATAACTGTCGCTCGGGATGAAATTGTACAGTCAGCTAGGAACGAAGGAATAGTAAATACGGCCGAAACTCGAGCTCAAATGGTTTCGTGGCTAATGATAATAACGCTTTCGCTTGCGGGTTGCGCTTGCAGATTCGGCTTCAGAGATTGCTGCTAGCTTTCTCTTCTGTTGCGACTTGGGGTTGGGTGGTGATGGTGGTGATTTACTAGCTCCGAGCCGAGGGGATGTCGAAGGCGAATCAGAATCGGTATCGGTGTCGGTGTCGGGATCGGAGTCAAAATCAAAACTGGATTCAGACTCTTCGGACAGCTCCTCCCCTGCCATGTCCCACCATACCTGCGGGTCAGGCTCGCGGCTAAGTACATAATCCCTCTTCGACGCATATATCAAGTCCATCTCTAGCATTTTTGACCGCTTCCGGTTCTCATGCAGCGACCCATTGTCCCATTGCGACTTGCGCTTGGTACCAGCAATCGCTCCGTTGATGATGGCGTCGAAAAAGTCCTCTTGCATAACCTGGTGCTTGCTGCGTCTGAGCGCGCGGAAACTGACGTTGGCACAATCGCGACGGCGCTTGTCGACGCAGTTACTCAAGTCGATTTCGTTGGGGAATGCTGTGAAAGCGCGAAGAAAAACAGGCCGTTGTTTCTTGACTCCAGGTAAAGAACGAAGAGCATTGATCGCTTGGCGGACGGATGTAGAGTCAACAACATCCTCCTGAAACGGCATTAACTTGAGGATATTTGGGGAAAAAATGTCCCATACCTCAAGGAATACATTGTCAATATCGAGAAGCGACACCATTGGTTTTAGGATTTCGTCAGTCACATGTTCATCGGCTGCAAGTGTCTTAATAGCAAGCCAAATGAATGACCCATCTTCCAACCGAACTGCACACAGCAAGTCCAAGTTAGGAGACGAAGAGATGCAAAATGTAGTGCCGTATTTATGTTCAATCCATTCGGTTGTTTCTTCTAACGAGCTTGTTTCTGTGGCAAGGGGTAGCAGAGATCTGAATATGTCAGAGTCAACCATCGAGTGCTCGGATTCTCCGGAGTCGTTCAAATGGAAGCGGACGAGCTGTGCGGTTTGGCGAGCCCACACAGGAGTAGAGTGCGGAAAGTCGAGAATCTCGGTGAGCAATTGCTGTCGTCCGAGTACTTGAGAGAGATAGAACGCAAGGCAATGTGCAATGTCCTGCCGGGTCTTGGGAGGATTTAACTGCAAGCTTGATATGAACGTTGATGGCCGATTGTTGGGTCTTCCTTCAATCGGTTGAACGGGCGCTGGGAAGAGCTGGCGAGCAGCGAGGACCAGGATTGAAGGCTCATCGAAAGCAATCTGCGACATATTTGCATCGATGAAACGCCCGTGGCCTTTGTAAACAAGGTCAATGCGTTGAACATCGAACTTATTGGTCTGGTGGGTCCCCATTAAGCGGTACAGAACGGAGAGCACATGATTCTTGTCGTCTGGAGGAAGCGTTTGGAATGTTGGTGTGCCAAAGCTGAACGACCAATGCCTTGGTTGCGGGTGGGCTTCTTCATGGCACACTTGTACTGCATCGAGCGGTCGGAGCCCCGTTCCCGCCTCGATGAACTGAGACAAAGTGGTATGCGGGAATTGAAGCCCATTGGTTAACAGGATAGACAAAAACTTGTCGGTGAACCGATGTCTATTCAAGCGTCAAATATGATGAATGGAATACGATCAGGAATATGCACCGTCCGCGACACCAACGCCACAGGCGAGAACCAAGCAAATGGCCCGACGACGAGTCTCGAAGAGCCGGAGGTAAAAATTTCTCGATATATCGCTCGTGAGCATCAGGGTCGTCAAACTCGCCCGTGTCTGACGTCCACTCAAAGCCGTCACCGATTCCTCCAGCGACGATGGAGGGAGGAATCTTGATGCCGGCGCAGATAAAGGTGCAGGCGCCGCGGGTCAGAAGTTGCCAGCTTCTAATGACTTCCATCAGGAGGGGCTTGTCGCTCCCAAAAGCAAATCCAAACTTGGGATCGAGACCAACTTGAGCTTCATCAATGACGATGAACATGGGGGAATCATGGCCAATGACATGCCGAATTTTGCGCAGTGCATCGTCGATGTCGGACTGGAGGTTGGCCATATCATTGCTATGCTCCTCCAGCGCATTTCCCACTCTGGTAAATACATCTTGGGCCCCAGCTTTGAACTGGGGTGGCGCAAGTTGCAACTCCAACCATCGCAATTTATGCTCCGTATGTATACCGCCGGCATCACTGGATACTATTTCGAGAAATTGTTGAAGGATGAGAAGTCGGCAAAGCAGAAGGACCCCAAACCATCGACTGGCGAGAAGCGTGGTCTGTTCAGGAGGTTGCGAGTCTTCAATGGAATGACGGTTTCTATGGTACTCCAGGAGGCCTTCGAGCTTTGACTGAATGTCATGGCTTCCCAGCCAACCAGAATCAACGTGGAGGGTAAAGTACAAACCCCAATTTGTACACAGTCCTTCGTAACAAAGCCTCGTTTTTCCGGTGCCAGAAGCATTCACAAGAAACCTGATGACTGCGTTAGTTTGTTGTTAAACTAGACAACAACCTTGCTCACTTGTTTCTTGGCGTGAAAAGTCTAGTTACGCGGGCTCGCAATGGTGGATCATGTTCAAACCCGCCCAAATCGTGCAGAATAATGGACATGTCTGTGGTGAATTCCGACGTTTTCCTCAGTCCAAGGGAGGCCAGATGCTTGCGGACGTCGGTATCACTGTAAATGGGACTAGACGCGGATATGCGTGGTTCCCAAGAAGGTAAATGCGACTCCCTGGCAAGGGCGTTCTCGAGTTTCTCACCGGTATCCCTTAAAGCAGCTTGAGCGGCAGCAGAGACGAATGCCGGAAATAAAGCTGAAATCTGGTCAGTATATGGCTGGTGTTTGGCAAGGAAACATACGCGAATCAGTTATCGAGGCGTAATTGGTTTCGTTTTGGCCATGAGCAAGCTTCAGTAGCGAATGGAGCGCAGGTTTTGCTTCAAGCAGCTGCGTACATGACGCGATTAAAGCCAGATCGTCTGGTTGCCGATTCGCTTGCCAGAACTGGATATGGAGCAGTTGGGAAAGAACGACCGCCGCATCTTCGAGAGTGACTACGGGCATTCCCTCGAGTGAGCTTTGGGCATCGGAGATCTGAGCACTGTAGTCACTCTTTCTCGAAGAAGGCATTGGTTGAGTTTGCCTTGTGTGGCCATGACAGACGAGGGAGAAAATAGGTGTGGCTGTGCTGCTTGTGGGTCCAATGCAAGTGCGTACTTAGCTTCAAACAAGTCAAGCCGATGAGTTTATTTCAATAATTCGCTCAACGCGCATGGTCTTATCTCCTTAGCTCCGCTACTACTGGCAAAAACCTCGTTGTCAAATTGCTATTTTTCCGGCATTGTTCTCTACAGGTCTGTCTTCGCACAATAATAAGTCGAGCAGTTGATGTACGGAAAAGCGGAGAAAAGCACAGCAACTTTCATTGAGAAGAGTTATGTACCAACAGAAGGAAAAACTACTCAGCTACAACAAGGGCACGAAACAAAATAAAACAGCGGGGGGCCTAAAGTACTGTCGCAGCTCTGGGGTGGGCATGAGAGACGTAGAAGGGTCGTCAAGGTCATGAGAGGTCGTCAATGTTGTCTGTGAAAGCATGGTGGAAAGCGGGGGAGGGTGGTGGCAGTTAATAAATAGTGCGGAAATCGATGAGGTGATGAATAAGATAGAAACGACGTCGACGATCTGAGAAGCGGGGCCCTCTATGTACCGAGAACGAGCTGCGACGGCAGAAGCGCTATGATTTGAAGGAGCCAGCGGCGCTGGGCGGTCTTGAATGCGACGAGGAAGTGTCGCTTTGCCCTCTTGGCCGGCCGTCTTTCACTGCCGATTTGGACGCTGAGGCAAGCATGGCAAGGTCATCCTGCGAGCCTTGCGCGAAGAAATCGTCTTCTCCTTCATATGGCGACGACCCGGCGTTTATCTGAGAAATTCGAAAAAAAAATATGAAATTCCGAAAATGTGTTAGGGGGTCAAAAAATACGCACCCAGTCGCGGAGAACGTCGCCTATCCTCGACGCTTCCTCTGGAGTAAACTTGCAGGCGGTCCCCTTCTCAGCATGCAACCGCATCAGCTCGCTGAGTGAGCGTTTGCCCGATTCTGTACCCGGTCTCCCCGGTGTAGCATCCGCATCCCCGCTCCCAGCCGGGAACACAACCGAGTTTCGAGGTGTGGTAGTCGCAAGAGGCCGCGATTGAGAGCCCGGAGAAGGCGGTGTTGAGCCATCCATCGAAAGCGAACGGTCCCAGTCCTCTGACTGTGAGCTGTTCGAGTTCAACGACAGTGTTGACAGCGAAAAGTCGGATGCGTCGTCGTTTGTCATTGTTTGCGTGGAGGTGGGAGTAAAAGGAGGAGTAGTGTAAGAGTGGAGTCGTAGGATAGTTGGGTGGGAAAGGACGAAAACGCGCCAGACGCGACTTTTTATGGTGTGGGCAGTGGGTTGTGGCAATGATGTGGCAGGGCCTTCAATGCAGGGATGAGAGAGGAACGGCCCAAGTGGCCACCGACCCAAGCGAATCAAACAATAAAAGGGAGAAAGGCGTTGCGGTCACGTGGTTTAGTCATCCCAATCGCAACCTTGTTTGGTATGACTACACGACAGATCTTACAACGAAAATGGATATTCGCTTAGACTCTTTGGTCCAGGCGACGGCGGAAGCGCAAATTGGATGGGTGCACGACCATGCAGGACCAAGCGCTCAGGCGGTTTGAACGTGGTCAAAGCCAATGCCTGCCCCGCCTCAGTCGCCTCCTCTATCGTACACGGGCGTAGTGACTGGTCGTAGGCGAAATCCGAGGTTATACTAAGGAGCTCTGGTCCGCTACCACCGCGCCCGACTGCGACTTGAACAATGAGTGGCTCGTGATGGTTGCTTCGGCCGGCCTTCCGTAGACTGAGTGTTATCCTCGACATCATTGCTACTGTGATTCTAAGCGGCTGATAAGATGGAGGTTGCACGCGTTCCGGAAAGTGATGACTTACAATTGTTCTGTCCTGTGAATTAGTCAGCTTTGGTCAAGGCACTAATTAGTCACTGACTGGGCGCATATATTCTTGATCCCAGGCGGGGCCCCGACAATCATGAATGTCAAGACAAAAGTTATCGCGAAGATTACACTAACGGGAGAGTTATCGCAATATATAGCCCAGAGGAAGGAAACCCACCTATAATAAAGCACACCATCCTCCAACAGTTTCTTCAGGATGAACCCCGCCTGCTTCTTTCGAATTGAGGGCAGCGTACGGTTGACAGTGAGGGCGAACACAATGCTGTCGTAGAGGAGCGGGTACCACGCCGAAGCACTAGCAGCAGCGCTTCTACGTCGAGTTAGGCAACGAAGGGAGATGGAGGAGGAATAGGTACATTGATGGGTCGAAAATCATGGAGCAGGCATGAACACCAGATGCGGAATTGTGCAGGACAGCTTCCATAAAGTTGAGTCATGAATTGTTCTTGTAGACGACCCACATACGTTCTCCCCGACTGATCAACCACGCGTTGATCCCAGTCTCGATTACGAGTAGCGCCGCTAGGAGACCTGTTATCCATTTTCGAGTTGGGTAGAGTGCGTGGATCCTTTTTGTCCTCAGTATGGTCCTAATCGCTATTCGAAAAGGCACAAAAACTCACCTCAATAACATCATTATTCCGACAACCTCGACAGCAATGGCAACAGTACATCCCTCGTAGCGGATGAAATGTCGACACCTAATGCCATCAATCACTTGAGCAATTCGATTCGAGTTCAAAAACCCACCGTTCGTAGGTCCAACTTGGAGATAAGTAAGCGTAGAGATTGATTACAAAGCCGAGAGGCGTAAAGTAGCGATTCTGTCACTTTCAATTTAGTTGAGTTGGCGTAGAGCGAGAGAAGGAGCGTGCCAGGAGAAATAGATAAATGACTAGAACATATCAGTCGTCAGGCAAGGGGACGAAGATCCAACCTACTTGGTCCTTTCTTTCCTTTCCAAATATAGTCCACCTCGTCCGCAAAAGTGATCATATGGTCCCAGACGAGAATGGTGAAGCTCGCAAATCCAACGAACTATCTGCAATCAGTTTTCTATGATGGTCTCAGCCATGAAACACACATTCGTGCGCATCCTGCATATTTTTAGTGGTATAAGGGCGCAGTCGAAATGCACGCACGTGGCGGAAACATCTTCCATCGGGGTCGGCAGTGACTGGCTCATCATCGACATTGCGCGCATTTCATCCGAGGTCCAGGAGAAGAAAGATACCTGGGAAAGAATAAGGGCAAAGGGAAGTCGGCGGCGCTCATCTTGGCTTGGAGCTCGCTCTTTATATGCATCAAGTGTGGAGCTCTGTGGCTTGCTGGTTGGTTGTTTATGTTTCCCCCCATATCTGTCGGAGGTTAACGAGCGAGTTGTTGGCCACTGTTGGCTTCCATTCGAACACGGGCATTCCGGGTCGGCGATCTTATTTCTTGGGGCGTGGTATCTGGTGACGAAAACTTTGAATTGCAAGACTGCGAAAGTTGGAGCTTGCGGTGTATTTTTGCTGTGCCGTCGACGAAAGAAGGTACACGAAAGCAATGTTTTGCCGCGGCGTGCTGAATGCGGACCAGGTCGACTGCTCTGAAGATGTCAAGAGAGTAATGTTCGAGGATAAATCTGAGTATTATTTTCGTTTTCGTATGGAGCATCTAGTATGGTAGGGTAAGCTGCCAAATGCCTCCGAAATTGGAGCATAGGGTGATTGGTGGGAGGAAGAGAGACATCGCTTGGCACGTGCCGGCCAACCTAATAAGATTCCTCTCAATATCTTTCATGTCAGATTCCTTTGCCGACCTCTGGAACTCGTCGGCACCCACCAAACCCGCCCCACCCCCTCAGAAACTCGGCGCTAGTCCACAAGTCAATTCGTATAACAACAATGCGAGCCGGCGACCTCAGAACGATCTATTCTCAATGCTCTCAGCAGCATCCTCCCCATCCAGCTCTCGTCCCATAACACCCAATACGCGGGCACAACAACAACAAACAGCCAAACCTGTCTCTCATGCTGGAAATGGAGATGCGTTCAGTAGTCTCCTCGGCGGATCATTGAACGGGGGGAACTCACAGGCAAATATGACGATGGCCCAACGAGCCCAGATGCAGCAAGTTAATGCGAAAACCAGCTCACCTGTGCCCTCAACAAGCTCCAACTCGGCATGGGCAGGATTGGATAGTTTGGGGTCATTCGCATCACCACCGCCAGCCGCTGCGAAGTCGGGCTCATCGTCGATGTTAGACGACGATGATTGGGGGTTTATGAACACTCCAGTAACCGCTCCTTCCCCAGCAGTGGCACCCTCCAAGACCAGTTCAAACGATCTACTTTCCGGTGGCGGTTGGAACTCGTCTTCACCCGTTCCGAAAAAGTCGCCTTCCCCGAAACCGACACACAAATCAATGGGCATGTGGGACCACATTGACGACTTCAGCTCCCCACCGACAAAAGCAGCATCAACTCCCCCTACTCGTTATGCATCGCCCTCGACCGACTTTGACTTTGGCGATCGAGAAGATCGCACAGATGACTTTGACCTATTAGGGGACTTGGGCAAGCCGGTTTCTGAGATTTCTTCACAACGGGTGTGTTTATTGTCGTCATCCCCAACTTATTTAACTGTTATTAGCAGTCTACTCCGCCTGCTCCCCGTACCGCGCAGCAACCTCGGCAACAACAACCCAAACAACAGCAACAACAACAGCGTTCACCTTCGCCTCCTCCTCATGTTCTCGGACAACTCATCGAAATGGGGTTCACTATTCCACAGTCGCGCGCTGCCTTGTCGCAAGTTTACAACGACGGACAGTGGGATGTCCAATCTGCGATTGACAGCTTACTCGCGTCAACTGGGGGCGCCGAGGGCAGTTCAAGGAGAGCATCACCCGCTCCGCCGAGTCATCCGTCAAAAAGAAGGCAAGATGACCGTGAACGGGCTGGATCTCCGCGCCAGCCACCCGAGCGGAACACAACACCGACAACAACCAACGACCTCTTGGCGCGTACAACCGAGCTCGGGTTCAGTCTGTTTCGAAATGCAGAGCGGGCCTGGCAACAAGGCAAAGAGCGCGTGCAAAAAGCCTATGAGGAGCGCGTTACTGCTGGGGAGGGCGAAGCAGCGTCTTCTTCTGCTTATAAACCACAAAATGGGCGGCCAAAGTGGATGCAGCAGCAAGAGGTCAGTGATGACGAGGACAAAGATATGAAAGGGAAAAGCAGGAGAAGAGAGGATTCGGATTCCTTATTCAAGGATGAAGATGACGAGGACAGGAAAGATGATGGCTGGGGTGATCAACCCAAACCGCGCAAAGAAACCGTGACAGCCCCACCACCAACTGCGGACTTATTTGGTACGGAAGAGGTCTCCAAACCGGTCCAGCAACAACGATCACGGCCACAAAAGCCTGCACCCAAGAGAACAGCATCATCACGGCCATCTGCTCCACCCGTTCCAACTATCCCTCCTCGAGTACAAGTTCCGCTATCCTCTTCAACTCTCCGAACATCTCGCACACATTCAGCTGGCGCAAATGAGAAGATTAACTTGGGTCAATATGCCGCAGCTTCTGCACTATACACACTCGCAATTGATGCCTTACCTGGTGGGCATGTCTTGTTGGTTCCATTATTAACCAAACGTGCGGAGGCAAGGCTGAAAGAAGGTGACTTCCGTGGCGTCGAGGAAGATTGTGTGAACGTTGAGGGAATTGCGAGCGAAGGCGGGAGGACATTGGGTGTTGAAGGGGTCATCAAGGTTGAGGCTGATGGGGAAATGGTTGACATTGATATTGGCGGGGCCGTATTAGAGGCTTGGAAGAGGCGAGCAGAGGCACTAGAAGGACGAGAACGATGGGCTGACGCTGGGAAAGACTGGGAGCGTGTTGCTGGAGCCTCTTGGGCCGGCACAAAAGACCGTGATGAAGGTGTGAGAGGAGCCGGTAGATGCCGCAAAATGCTGGAGCCAAAACCTGTCGTTGCCGCGCCAAAGCCGAAGCCAAAACCCGCCCCATCGATAACAAAGCCCACTGGGCCACCTCCAGAGGCGGTTGCGAAATATCGTGCTGCTATTCAAGCGCAAGAAGACGAGGATACTGCCAAGTATCAACTGAAAGACACCGTTGACGGGAAGCTGCTTGCATGGAAAGGCGGTAAAGAGACGAATATCAGGGCCCTTCTGGCAAGCCTTGACACTATTCTGTGGCCAGAGCTTGGGCTTCAAACGAGCGGCATGAAAGACCTCGTCACCCCCGGCCAAGTAAAGATACGCTATGTGAAAGCAATCGCCAAACTCCATCCCGACAAACTCAACGCAAGCAACTCTACTCTCGAACAGCGGATGCTGGCTAACGGCGTCTTCGGAGCACTGAACGAGGCATGGAATGCGTTCAAGTAGCTGTACTTGTACCTGCGCATAACAATCTACCTAGACTGTAACCTCGAGGACATAATTTATTCTACGGGCACGTGACTCGTTTTTTTTCTGGGTCAGAACTTTTCGTCACCTCTTTTCTTCACTTCTCCTCCTTCTTGTTCTACAGCATAATGGCCGCCCAAGCGACATTCAAGTCGATCAAGTCCGTCCTCCCACTGTTCGACCGTGTGCTGGTGCAGCGTTTCAAAGCCGAGACGGTAAATACCCACCTTCTCCGCTGAATAAACCTCACACAAACACACAGAAAACCGCTTCTGGCATCTTCCTGCCCGCGTCCGCGACTGCTTCGCCGCTCCCCGAGGCGACCGTCATCGCCGTTGGTCCCGGCGCGCCGAACAAGGAGGGCGTTGTGGTCCCTACAAGCGTTAAAGCCGGTGACCGTGTCCTGCTTCCCGGCTGGGGCGGGAACTCGTTCAAGGTCGGAGACGAGGTGCGTCTTCTTTTTCTTGATGTTTCAAATAGAGTACTGACACAACTGCAGGAATATTTCTTGTTCAAAGACTCTGAGATTCTGGCCAAGATCCAGGAGTAGACGGGGCAGGAGGGCTGTGAGACTTGTGGAGGAGATAGAGCAGGACGCAAAAGCCGCATGCCGTCGGCGCCAAACTAATTCACCATAGCACATTTTGCACGACACAACACAACTTAATGCATCCCCACTCTTATAAATATTCTGCAGCGAGATTGGAACATTGCTTTTACTCAGTCTACATGGTGTGTACAGGCTACGCGTGCCAGACTTTGGAGATGAGTTCCGTCAGGCCTGGAATAAACGTCACTATATGCGGAAGGAATGAGCGAGGGGATGCATACCGATATCATTCGTGTTGAACTGGTAAACACCAAAGAGGACACCAACAGTAGCAGAGCGCAGAGCCCACGTGCCAATACGGCCGAGGACGGGGAATTTGCGTGGGTGTAGGTAGTCCACAAGCATTGCGTCAAACTTGGGAGGATTAATCCAGGTAAGACAAGGAAGCGACGAAAACGCACCCCGATATGACTGTGGACTACAAGACTGACGCCCAGCAGGCCATCGAGAACAGGGTGGACTGACGGGGAAGTAGCGAATGCAGCACCGGTAAGGGGAATCAATGACGCCGAGAGCAACCGCTCGAATGACCAGTGGTGCGAGCCATGCACACGAGACGGAGTGGGGAAGGTGGTGGGGTCGTTTACAGTGCCTTTGTATATCGCTGGAAGAAAAAACAAAAACGGAGGGGGGTTTGATCACTACGAATTGCAAGCAAGATGATTGGACGCACGACCACCGGGGACATAGAGCGCATCAGACGACTGGGTGCTGGCAAAACGAGCGGCTGGAAGAGCGGCTGGCAGACGGCGGGTGAAGGCTCGTTTGGAGGCAGTGGCCAGCAGCGAGGTCGCCATTGCGAGAGCAAAGGAAAGAGCGGGGAATCATGTGATTCGGAAGAACTTGCTCTTTCCGTCCGCCAAAATGACCACGAATCGTTATTAGTCTGCTCATTATATGATTATTAGTCTCAACTGCTCTACAATATTAATCAAGGCCCAAGATCCATTTCAAGATCTTCGTCCTGGTCCATCCTAACATAAGCTCCCAAACCCATATTACTTCGACCAGTATTGAACTCGGTTGGCGTGGACGACGTGTCTTCATCGGAGCTGTCGTGGTCTTGGTTCTGCCTTACTGGTATTCCGCTCGTAACTCTTTGCGTGGTCCTTGCTGGCGTCACCGTCGCATCATTCCTTTCCCCTCCTCCCTGCTTTCGCGGCGACCGACGAGGGGGTTCGAAATCGGCTACAAGTGGCTGTTCTGGACGCGGAGTGGGGGCCTTTCCTTCCCGGCTCTCTACCCTCGCGGCATAGTCATTGAGCCAACCTTCTATAAAATTATCTGGATCATTCTTCGAGAAGAACTCCCAGTTCCATGTACATAACGGGTGGCTGCCAGGGTCGTTGACTTCGTCGGCGTATATTGATAGCCGGTCCAATCCAAGACTGGGCGGGAAAGTCGCCAGGACACGAAGGACAGGGTATTTCCCGCGTTTTAATTGCGTGAATGCGGTTGTTGGCGCTTGCAAAATCGTATCCACGTCGGTTGCTGGATTGGGCAATGATGCAAGTGCGTGTAACACGCGTTGTCGAAGGTCGGGGTACTTTTTCGATCCGAATGGGCCCTTGGACTGTCATAAATTTCAGCTCGAGCGCCTTGTCGGAGTGAATGAGCATACGTACCCCATTCGGCCAAAAGTTGGATGGAGTGACCGTGCGGAGAGCATCAGTCATCGTTTGATTTGCTCCTTCAGGTACACCATTGTTCGTCCCTCTCCTCTCATGATTCTTGCATTGAACAAGCAGCCAGATGAAGGAGTCATTCTCCAGTTTGAGCACACAGATAATATCTGGGCCCATTTGGTTGCTCGGGAAACAGATTGAGGTTTTCAATGGGTCTTGATGTGTCAGCCACTGTACGACATCGTCTGAATCCTTGCAGGTCTTACCCAGATGGCCAGATGGGACTCGTTGGCCAAGCCAATCGACATCGTAGACCGCAGGCAAGGGTGCGTTGTCTTCTTGATGCAAGGTCACCAGTCTTGCCTTGAACTTGGACCACTTTGGCCGGAATCGTGGATGGAATTCCAAAACCTCATCGAGCCGACAAGGCTGAGTAAAGGTGTGTGCCAGCAAGATTGCGATGAGGTTTTCGAATCCGTTGTTGACCGAACCGGTGTAGTTGCCAATAGTGGCATTCATATAGTTCCTGATGAGCTCTCCCGGTTTCGTCTTCGAGGATCGTCTGCCCTTGTTATTAGCGTTCTCCATGCAGGTGATCGCCGCGAGGATGATAAGTGGTTCAGATATTTTGACTTGGTCACCCGCTTCAGTCGTAAATCGGGCAAACCCACTCTGCACAAATTTGGCCACGTCTCCATGTATCGACGTAGTGACACTTGAGCGGGCGAACGACTCGTAAACAGCGGATGTAAACACCTGGCGGAGGTCGTGCTCTGGACAATGATATCAGGACAGGTCAATATGAAGAATTCGAAAACTTGCGCACGTTCATCGATCTTGTGGTAGTGTAGTTCGTCGAAAAGCTTGGGAATGCCTTGATTGAATATCAGGACTTCCACCATTACGTTATCAGACGGAGTGAACCCGGTGTTGTACTTAATCCAGGCATCGAGCTTGCTATGTGGATTTTTAAGGTCGGTCATCAAAAAGTAGGTCAAGAAAGATGCCGTTGTGCGGTAACTTCGCATGGTTTTAGTCAGTCCTACCATTTCCAGCATAAGTAATGCCAACTTACCGGCCGCGTAACCAGCGTGTCATTCGTCCCAAGAAAGTTGCTCCAAACGTATTCTTCTCTTCGAGGATATCGTCTGGGATGTATTTCTTGATATATGCTTCATGCTCCCTAACTGTGTCGGGATCATAAAAGCCACCAGTGTCAATGTTGAGAAAATTGTTCCCTGGCTTGAAGACGGACGACTGGATTTCATCGTCCACAAGCCTCATGTGTGAGCCGGAGCTAGCCAAAACTCCTCCAAACTGAAATTGAGTGTACTTTGCGCTAGCCCTCACGTATTCCCGAAGCACAGATCGAGCCACATATCTGCCAGTTCTGTCATCACGGTGTCGAGCAGAACGAAATGCATTGGGATATAGGTCCGTCGCGATCTGCGCTTCGTCAATCACAATGTACAGTTCGGGGCCCTTTAAGGCTGCGGGGGGGTCTGACTGCGTGTTCGTAGTGGGTTGCTCAGGCTCAGACACCTGCGATGGACAAGGAGAAGCCAGCAACTTGTCGTCGTTTAGCACATCCTTGTCCGACTTCTTTGAATCTAAAGAGGGCTGTCGCAGCACTGCTTTCCGAGGCGGCCCCGGGGATTTTGTCCCATCCAGGGTTGCGCTCATTTCGTAAACGAGGTCAGTGCTGAATTTGAGGCACTTTTCCACATTTAGTCGTGGTATATCATTCCGATTGTGTTCCGGGGAGTTACTGGCAAGTCTGGAGGCAAGGTCATCGAAAACATCGCGAAGTCCACCGCCGCTTAGTCCAAGAAGATGTGGTCGAATCTGCAGCAAAGTCCATAGCCTTTGATCCTTGAAGCTGACGGGCCGATTCAATGTCTGGATGGCAGTGAGGAAAAGCTTCAGAATCAACAGCCGACCCAGCACAAGTTGATGGAAGTATATCCTCGCGAGATATTGGTTGTCGTTGAGTTCTTTCTTGTATTTATCATGCTTGCTCGGAGGCGCGTCATCTTCTGCATCTTCCAGATTCCGGACGAATCTCGGATGGGCTCCAAGGCGGATATCGACGGAGTTGCTGAGATCGATGGAGCCAAGATCATCTGGTTTACTGCGGAAACAGAAGTACAATCCCCAATAGCGACAAAGACCCTCGAGGATGTCACGAGTCTTGCCGGTACCAGACGGTCCAACAAGAAAGCTAGTTGATATCAGTATAAAACAACAGCCAATGAGCGAGGTTAACACACATATGGTTCTTGGGCTCAAAAATCGAGTCAATTCTGTTGATCATTTGCGGATTGTGCAACAAGCTGCCGAAGTTGTGGAGAAGAAGGCTTGGTGCGTTATTCCAGCTAGGTATCTGGAGTGACTGCAGGTGATCAAAATGTGGACTATTCCGTGGCAGAACAGCTGGGTTTGGAGACCATAGTGGCATTGGGCGATTGTCAGACACGAAATCCAGCATATTCGGGAATATTTCGTTTAGCAACGTGATTGCGGCCGGCGGAATGTCATAACCCCAGTCCGCCGCATTGAATCCAGAATGGTCAACCGGCGTCTCTGCCTCCATTGGAATCGGTGACGACGACAACGTTCTGTCCATCATCGGGTATATAATATTTTTAACTGGATAGACTTGAGGTTAGATCTGCGCAAGGTGATTTGGTAAGAACGTGCCTGTCCCGCATAACTCTTCGTATGTGCCGTCCCTCCACGCAAAAGATATCAATCTACCAACCATTTGTGCGTTATGTGGGTCTATTCTCTGGAGAATAGCATTGCATGCATCTGTGGAGTAACACTCGGGGTCGACCTTAGAGACATCGTCATTGGGAAGAGTTGCAAGTTGCTCCAATATGACGGAAATGAATTCAGCTGGACTGCTGGGGTACAGTTCGCGAGCGTCCACAATCTTCTTGACATCATCTGCTACAGTGGCCATGGGATTATAATCGGGCACTTGAACGTCGTCGTTGAGGTCAAGGAATGGTGGAGTTAATGTTGCCATTCGAAAACGGAGGTGTGAGTATCGACGTCGTTTGTTTCCAGGCCTTAAAAGCATCTCGAGAACAAGGGCAAAGCAATTGCAAAGTTTCAAAACAATGATACTTGACGGTCCGTCTCCAAGGACTGTTGTTGTTCAGAGAAAGAAGCAAAGGTGGCGTGTGGCGGCTTTGTGTGGGGTCACCTGTGGTCACGGATTGACAGATTGGCGCCCAGAAGAGCCCAACAGCCCGACAACCTGGGTAGACTTGAAAGTATTTGGATGAAGGGACAAAAACGCGAGTGTAAGTGCATCATGCCACTGCAGTCTGTGCATGTATCTGCTAATGTGCGGGCTCAATATTCATTGTCTACTATCGATTTGACCTTCGTGGGCCGGATCTGAGTCACATTGGAATACAGCGAGGAATTAGCTGGCTAAGTCATCCAACTTTCGCAGGAGGTTCTTGCTGGTTGCACAATGCAGGCGTAGTCTGGAACCATCAACAGCCATCAACGCGTCGCGCACCTGTCATGTGATCATATGTAATCATTTTCAGTTTTTTCTCTCTCTCTCAGATCTAGACTCACAACTCTCTCAGCGCAATTTTCCTCTGACGGTGCTCCGATCATGCCTCCGGGATCGGCACTATGAGGGCCCGCCGCATATGAAAAGCTTACAGACGAGCTGACGATGGCGGCGCCGATTGCCTGATTAGCTAGTCCGCATGGCGAAACCTGGTCCCCTCTTAACTCTGTCCACCATGGCCAACTCAACTCCGCCGGAACTGTGGCTCAAAATCATCGGAGAACTCCCTCGGGATTCCTTGCCTGCTATAGCGGCAACCAATCAGACCTTTGCTGAACTAACACGACCGCTGCTGTTTGCCCACTTCGAATTTCACCCATATGGATTCAACGCGTCGCGACCTCGCGACGACACCGGTAGATTTGCATATTATCTACTTCACGAGCCACAGTCTGCCATTGAGAGGCTGGACGGGTGGACGTCGGCACGTGTTGCGCCTCTAGTCCGCTCCTGCACTGTTCAGCCATGGAATCCATCCAGGGAAACCGACTGTGTTCAAGCGGAGACAGACACTAGCGTGTTTTCGTTGCTGAAGATGTTCTTCGAGCGCATCGCGTGCTTTACCGGCCTCGTCTCCTTCTCCGCTTTGAACACGATACTCAGCAGCGAGGACTTGTCGCGGATATATCACTGCCTACCGCGCCTGACCCGGCTCCATATTTCAACTCGGTATTTGCCACTCCCAACGCCGTTCACGGTTGAATCTAGCTATACGCCGACACTCCACACAGTCAACCTCCAGTTAGCCAGCACCGACCCGGACAGTATACAGTCACTTTTGCCATTCCTCATTCCATCGAGGCTCCGCAATCTCACGATCCAATGCTCCGAGGCCCTCTACCCACTGGCACACAAGCTCCCCATATTCCCCATTGTTCGCCAGCTCACAGTGTTTATTTTGGAGGAAACTTCCCTCGATCTCCCAGTCCTTCTGCCCAAGTTTCCCAACACAATACATCTCGCACTCCTGGGCCGTGTGGATGATGAACATGAAGCACATATTTCAGCAGCATTTCTGACTCTCCTCCGGCTTGGCATGCTGCAGAAGCTTGACTTCGACCTGCCATTTATTTTGGACACAGCAGTCCGTCATACATCGACCACGCAACTGACGTATCTAAGGTGTCTTACCCAACTCAACGCAGCCGACTTCCTCGCACTCGTTAGCAACAACACCCTGCCCTCCCTGTTGTCTCTCTCGATCTGCATGGATGCCATCGAGCCCGCAGCTCTTGGACCAGTCTGGAGATGCTTCCCCGCATTGAGGCATCTCGAACTTGGCCAGCACCGCTATATCTTTGAATGGGAGGAGGATGAAGACGCGTTCCAATCCTCTGTTGTCAGTTCTATCACTACTATTTATCTACCAATCAACTAACTAACCACACTGTTACCTCTCGCAGGCAACTGACTTTCTTGCCGCACTAACCCTCAGTCCTCTACTGCCGCCCACCCTGCGCACACTCTCCTTGTTCTGGCCATTCTTCTCCACGGATGCGACGTTCTACAGGCGTCTCCAGCATCCGCCTGTCGATCTCCCAGCGCTCTGCCACGGTATGGTCACGCGCTATCCCGCCCTCCGCACCGTCGCGCTTGACGGTCGCTCATTCGTTGTCGGAATCAAATGTCGCAATGGCTATATATTCTCGCAGCGGTACAATGAGGATCGCCACGGAGGCAAGTCAAATTATATCATTTGCACATAAAGCTTAGACTTTCCAAAGATGCAGAAGCGTACAAGAAGTTGCGGGACGAAGTGAGTGGTTTGTGGGCGCAAGCGTGTAAGTTGGAGGACAGATAATGGTCCATCCGTCTGTTGTAAAAGATATCAGAATAAATTCCTGCTCTACTATGCTTTATGACTAGTAGTATTAGTACAATAGCAGCCACTTAGATAAGTTGTCTCCGCTTTTTACTGCTTGGTGTTACGCGCTTCCTCGCAGTTTCCTCGATCCACGTCCGATGCCCATTCCAACCCGCACAAGGGTCTCCAGCGATGCACGCCCGTTAACAAGCAGATCTTCATCCCACTCCAAGACCCCCTTCTCAAACAGAACAACGATCGTCGAGCCACCAAAGGCAAAGTACCCGAATTCCTGTCCCCGCTTGACAGCCTCGCCCTCCTTGACGGTAGTTTCGATCGACCCCACCATCATGGCGCCAACGCACACAGCCATAACACGACCAAACTGGGGACTGTCGATCGGCACAATCTTGCGTGCATTCTCGCCGTAAACATCAAGAGCTGTTCGGATGGCTTGAGGCTGGGTAAATCCGTCAGAATTGCGTCGGACATAAGGACAATAATAAGCAAGCCTCACGTTCACGGTATAATACTCTCCCGCAATATATGTCATGTTCCCAATCGTTCCATCGACAGGCGAGTGGAACCTGTGGTAGTCCTGGGGAGCAAGCCTAAAGATAGCCAGAGCCCCATTGTTGTAGCGTTCAGCTTCGTGCTTATATGCGTCGCCAAGTAGTCGAGCCACTGTAAATTCGCGTCCCTTGATCCAAAGTCGCGTGGCCTCCGTGACAGACTCGAAGGCCATGAACCGACAGTCTGCAGCACTGACTAGCCGATACGGATCGTCGGGTGTTTCAACAGGCCGCGCATCTGGTTTAAGTTTGCGATAGAAGAACTGGTTGAATGTTTCTACGATAAGTTTTGGTTAGAAACCAACGAGATCATAAATGGTGACAAACTGTAAGAGGACAAAGGATCGCGAATCTCGTTGATGTTCAGTTGGTGGAATTCAATGAAAGCAGGGATGTCGCGGGCAGACACAGGAGAGTCGTATTTGAGGCCTTGTTTGATAGACATGGATTTGAGAAGACGTCGTGCTGAGAGAAAACAATTAGACACATTCATGTGATCACCCTTTTACTAACCTCGACCGCCTTCCATGCGACTCTTCATTCCCTAACAAGAGCATCAGTGGCAGACAGAAGCGACTCAAATCTTGTGCACCTTGTAGAGAAGACGAATGCCTAATCTTACATAGACCTGCATCTTCTCCTCCTCGAGCTGACCAGTTCTAGGAAGTTGGGTAAGTCGGGTCCAGAGGATGGTCTACAACTTACAGACGGTTTTGAACGATGATATTAGCCGAATTCTATAAATTCCCCGTTAATGCCGGGCAACAGGAGAAAAATTAAGACGTACTGCACCAAGACGATAATCGCCGCTAGAAATCTTCCCGATGACCTTGGTATACCACTTTCGTTGTGCTTGACTTGCTGTCACGAAATTCCCCACAACGATACGATCCACGGTGCTCCAGTCCTGACTTGCGCATACAGCGATGTGAGTGATGATATCTAGCTCAGCCTTGGAGGTAAGTCGGGGGCGATGACACAATGGACAGTTCTTGATGTTGATAAGGCGCTCAAACGACTCTTCACTCCCGGTGCTGGTTGGCGACGAGACGGATGCTATCTGCGAAGCCGTGGTTACTGAAGACTGCGCTTTGCGATATCGTGGACGTCGGAATCGAGATTTCTTGTTAGTAGCGGGTGGCGCAACGGCCGGAACAGTCGGCGATGATGCGATCACCACGGGAGTGCTCGGCGCAGATTGTGATGCTGAAAGCGAAGAACTGGATGATTCCTCTTCCAGATCAGCGTCAGAAGATGATTCAGAGGTGGGTTGGCGCGAATGCGGTGGCTCAAGTCGCGGACTAGAGTCTGAAGAGATTGGGTGCAGCAAGGCCATTTCTGAGGGTTCCGTAACATATCCCTTTGCCTCGCCCGTGACGAAGTCGATGTCCAACGCCGGGCCTGCGAAGTCAAGCTCAGCCAGTTTGAGCTCGGCTCCACTTCCAGGTGCGGGGGTTGGATTGATGCTTGTACCTAATCCACTGCCAATGTTGAGCCCACCATTTCCATCATCAACTCGTTTTCGCTCGTTTTCTGGTCTGCACACCTCCAACTCGAGGCAGATGATCGCCTCCTCCATGGTGAGGTCTTCTTGTCTGGGGTCTTTTCCAAAACGGGTAAAGAAACCATCGATAGTGCTTGGGCTCAGAGTTGACCCAAGGGAGTCAAGCATACTGGTGATCTCGACATGAGACAAGGTCGCCGTGTCATCAGCATCATATTGTTGGAGATATTGGCGCCAAAAACGTTGGCGGAGCAAGGAGTAAGGCTGGTACTTGGCGCTGGGCAAAGTAATGAGCAATATATCACGGAAAAAAATTCGGAGGTTATACCGGAAAGTGATCACAGGGCTGTGCCTGGTCTCCCAAACCGCCCCACCACCATTACCGTTGCCGATCTCCAGTTTGAGCTTGAAATTTTTCATGGGATGGTTCCCACCTTCACTTTCCGGATACAACGGAATGTCGACCGGTGACGATGCCGGTAGTGGTTGTGGGGCATCCGCCACCAGCTCGCTGACATTGAACAAAGCTTCGCCAATATAATCATTGGAGCTGAGTTTGTCCCAGTCGAGAACACTGAGGCGGACCTGAAGATGCTTAGGCTTGAGCGTGAATTATAAGGATAATGACGATACCTTGTAGCCCAGCTCATATCTACGGACATGGAACAGAAGTTTTTCGTCCCACACAGGATTCAGTGAGTGTCGAATTACGCGGGTCCGGAAAACCTTCTTCCCAAAAAGAGATGACGACAAAAGGGTCCATGTCGAAAGAAGTTCGGGTCACTGTAACCGGAGCGATGAGCCAAGAAGTCGGTGACAAGAAAGACAACTAACTGTTTTTAAGTCGAGGAAGATCACTCGCACCAGCAATTTCGAGCATGACAATCCCGACAATGTCGTTCGGATGGCCGTTCGCGGCCTCTGGGCCAAGTGAGTATGCACGTTGAGGTTTGGGTCTTCGACGTGGCTTGCCCTTCTGATTCTCGGTATTTTTACTCTCTTTGCTCTCGTCGCCTGGAGTCCCTGTTCCACTCCAACTACGTCGAAACATTTTACGTTTCTCCTTCGAAGTCGGATCCTCCCCAGGAGTCGGAGGTCGCGAACGAGTCAAGAATTTACGCGGGTTGGGCAACGCGATGAAACTGGGTCTTGATTTCTTGTCTCCAGGAGTGGAGTCCGAGGGCGGTGACGGAGTTGAATCAGTGGTGTTGAGTGCCGATGAAGGGGTCGGTGTTGTCATTGGACTTGGACCGGTGGGAGTCTTGACATTGGCGACTGGATCAGGAGAGGGTGTTGGCGGAGACAAGGTTGTAGGCGGCTGATACAAGGCTTGCAAACGAGAAGTAGAGGGTGGGATGACTGGAGTTTCAGGCGAGGCTGCTTCGTCTTCAAAATCACACTCGGATAAAGCGTCCTCTTCGTCCGATGAAGACGATTCAGAAGCCGAGGAGAGACCGCCGTCGTCCTCGAATTCTGGGCCGGTGAGATGAGAACGAAGAGTGCCCACGCCTTCAGTCTACAGACGGCTCGGATGAGAAGCTCTTCTGACATGAACAGCCACATACCGGAGGTGCAGACACGAGCGATGAACGACCAGTCTTGACGAGGTTACGGTAGAGAGCATCAAAGTCAATAGCTGCCTGATTTGGAGCACGCGCTGTTGGTGGTGGAGGGGCCACAAACCCAACTCGAAGCCTGATGGTTCCCTGGGCCGGTGTTCCTAACCGTGTGGACACCAGAGGGACCGTGAATGGCTTGTAATATAAGCATCAGCTTGCGGAGATGCCTAGTCTGGATAGCTTCACGTACGACATTGCCAGGGTCGTCCCATGATTTTGGTCGCGTATCGAACCAGTTGTCCACTGGTAAACAAGCTTCACCAAGGTAGTCTTTGCGGATAACGTCTTTGTCCCAAAGCACTAATTCGAGAGCGCCGAGCGTGTCAGCAGTACTAAGATAGATAGGAAAGTCCCAAGTGGCGTCTTTGAAGACAGGATTGAGTGTCTTCTTAGCGACGGATGTGTGCTGTCGCGTCCGTTGGAGAGTGACGATGACATAGCTACACTGGGTAAGGAGGCGAAATTCGTGGTGCAAGGAAAGCTAACGGGTCACTCAGTCCGTTCTTGTCTTTTGCAATGAGGTCGTTGGCTGCGGCGACTTGTACACGGAGATAGACGATTGGTTGCTCTCCAGGTCGAGGAGAGAGTGAATTCGTTCCGTTGCGGCCACTGAAACCAAGGCGCAGCGCGCGTTTGAGTTTGGGGTGCTTGCGAGCGATGACCATGGTGGTCACGAAGCAAAAGGGGTGGAGTCGGAGGTGGAGAACTTGCGAGACAACGCCCGGACAGCCCTTTGCTGGTCGTATTCAAGTTGCGACAATCATACGTCACACCTCGTCACTTGGCGCTTCTTCCGCCCCGCAGTAAAATTTCAGGGACTCGGAGGTGGGGAAAAATAAGTACTCGGTCCTATTTTTGAAACAACTTCGATGCTTCGGCTTGTTTCCTTGATTGCTACAGACTATGGTCTAGGATGGCAGATGCTAACTAAGGATTCCTAGGACCTGCGAAGGTACCACAGCCTTCCACTAGTTAGCATCTGCCATCCTAGACCAGAGTAGCATACTAGATGCAGATACGCACGCATATTGCACAAAACAGCTACCAATAGGCGATTTCTACGTTGGGACGTTATCCAAATGGCTGTCGCAAGAACCAAATGATTCAAGAAGCTGATTAGATAAGATGAACAGCCTAAAAATTAGCTTCAACCGCGTTAGTTGACAATGTTTCTGAGAGTGAGTACCGCTACTGAAGTCGAGATTCCCATAGTCAATGGCGATAAAGTCCTCAGGGACTTTGAAAACAACAACAACACTAATTATTATCATGAAAGACATGACGAGTTATACTCTAAGTAGCAACAAGTGCCAATGGGTGGGTGGTCGTAAATGGGTCGTAAAGTATTTGCTTGGGGTCGTGAATGAGAGGCGAATGGAATGGATATGAGAGGATAAGCTATTTACAGCGAACTGTCCTTTCAGGGATGCACATATGGTATGGCAGTATGCAGAAAACACGATAATGATAACTCAGCTTTCACAAAGGCTAGTCGAAGTTTACCACAGTCGGGAGATGTACCACCGAACGGTCTGCCAGACCGTCAGCGCCGAGAACTCTCGCACATTACTCGAGGCAAAGTCAGACGCGTGACCACCGACAGCAACTTCATCGTCGCTTGGGGCGAAAAAGAAACCCGAGGTAAGAACAAGGTAACTAGATAACTATGAGTTCCAATTTGCAAATAGGAAAGGGTGTAAACCTTAGAATCAAGATGCTGCCTCGGTGGTAATTGCTCTTGGCCTCAATGTAGGTATAGGTCATGAGGAACATGGAGAGGATGATGGCGACAACATCCCAGCGAGGGAAAATTAGCCTGAGGAAGCATTCACGTCAACGAACCCCAAAAGGAAATACAGCAACGGACGTGAAAGTGGTGGCGACTTCGCCCATCTTTTCTGGAGCATACCATGCCGAAAATGCAACCATGGCAGGAATTTGGAGGAGACAGACTTGCAAGGCATATGCTGAGCCGATTTCCATGCTGTAGCAGCTTGGTAAGAATGCACGAAGCAAAATAACAACAACACGAACCTCAATGCGATGTTTCCGTTGAGCGCAAACGACATAGCGTTCATGAACTCCGTCGTATTTGGTACCAGGGCGAAGAGAGTGACACCCAGGAATTTTTCATCTAACCCAGAGCCCTCAAGGATGACATCAACGACATCAACAAGAATTTCTATACCCTTGTCAGAATCCTGCAGACCAAAAGAAAATAAGAGAAACTTACCAGCAATAGCAGCATACAATGCGGTACAGACTAACAACACGCTAGCACTGGTTGTCCGACTCCAACTGGGCGCTTCGTGGCCACCATGGCCACCTCCGTGGGCCGCTGCCCCATCGCCTCCTTCTCCTCCCGAGGCACGTGCCCGGGCCGGAGAAGCTCCGTGCATTTGCTGATGTCTCAAAGCGCTTACAGTCGCGACAGCGACAGCACGCGTAAAGTCATCAGTCGACATGGTGTCCGGTAACGGCTGTAGACCTTGTACACCCTTGACCGCATGATCTACGCTTTCGAGAACCGGAGAGAATCCAGGCGGAGCGTAGGAGACACGTCGTGGAATTGTTGGGCTGCTTGGAATGGTTGTCGTCGAAGACGACGGTTGATGGATAGCAAGGGTTGGATGTGGGACTGGGGTCTGTGAACGCTCGCTCCGTACACTGGTCTTGTGCTGTAACCTTCCAGTCCCTCCTGGCGTGGGCTGGACAAGCCGGTGATAAAGCGAGAAAGGACGTTGATTGTGAATCGGCAACTCTAACGGGTTAAGAAGCTGTTGCGGATTTTGCCAGATTTGTGAAGCGTGCGTGCGGAGAGAGAACCAGAGACCGATGAGATAAGACTAGACATCAACTAAGAAACCTGAACATGGATAATGCAATGACGCACGAAAAGCAGGATGGCGGCACAGAAATACATCAAACTCTTGACGGTTGATTGGTAGAAGGGGTCGTTTACGGGATCAGGGTGCTTGTAATAGCAAGAGTCGCAGATCCATGGCATATCGCCCGTTCTCGGGCTAGCTGGACAACCTTTGCAAATAAGTTGGAACTGCATTTTTTCGTCAATCAATGTCAAACAAAAGAGGAAAAAAAGGATGACTCACATTTCCGTATGTCTGATAAAACAGTGTCGGTGTGAGTGTGCCAATAATTGCCATGATCAACATCATGCTGGTGACACCAGCACTTTTGGCGTTAAACTTCTGTTCTTTCCTTCTCAAAGCACTACTGCACATACTCATTCCAGGCATAAGCAGCACACCCGCAAGCAAGCTTCCTACAATCGAACCCTCCACAAGATGGCCCTTGGCCTCCTTGAGCATGAGCCCGTAGAGGATGATCTCGATAATGCTACCAAATGTTGCATTGATGACTGCACCCATACCAATGCTACTCTGGGCAGAGATACTCGCGACAGCCATTCCAATGAAGTAACTGAGTGGGATAACGCTCAGCAGCGCAAGCACGAATATGAGTCCCCGTCCAGCCACAAGGGAAAGCAACCAAGGTATATGTTGTCCAGTGTGCTCGCGATGTTCGACGATGGATAGGAGGAAGAAGCCATCGAATATGACAAAGAAAACCACGGGGACGAGGTTGACGAAGAGAATGTTAACACCCCCAACGGTATATTTGTAATATTGTGAGCCTGTAGCGTCGTAAATGCAAAGCAAAATGGTCGCACTCTCGCCAGGAGACGCCTGCCCTTCGGCAAGACGATGATGCTTGACGGAGAATTGTGGCGGAAGGGGCTCGCTACTGGCTTCAGCTTCGGGATGAGGAGACGATATGACGACTGCAGGGGGAGCTGCGCAGAAACGTAAGGTGGTTGGTTGGCCGCAGATATATTTGATCAAAGCCCAGTTGAGTTTGGCCATTGGGATCGTGACCACAAAGGCCCAACAGAGCAGACAAACGAAAAGCATTAGGGGAGCGATGATACAAATAAACGCCAGCCAAAAGCATATACGACCGAGCACGTCGCTTGAAGGGGTAGGGATCTTGGCGGCGCCAATTGAACTCGCAGAGGATGAAGTCGAAATAGCGGTTGCACCATATGAGCGAGATGGAGGAGGGATTCGTTGCAAAAGGGAGCTGCGCTCTTCGACAACAGGATTCCATGATACGGTTTGAACATGTTGCGGCATGATTGTTGGGGCTTCCGAGAGTGGGACACCTCGAATGGTTCCTTCGTCCGTCGCTGAGCTCGCATCACGGGGAATGGCAGATTCTTCGTCCTCCGCTAGGATTTCATCGTCGTCCTCGTCAGCTTCACCCTCCACATATTTGCCAAATGGCCAGAACAAATACCAGCCCAGACCGTAAACCAGAGTTGAATATCGAGCACCGCCTTGTGGTATGAACCGCAGCAGGCCGGAGACGACCATGCATACGCCAGAAAGCCACCATCCAAACACCAGGACCCAACATATGTTGCCAAATTTAATGTGATGCTCGCCAGGGGCGGTTGGGACGGCATGAAGTGCCTGGTCGGCGTAACGAGTGACCGAACGACTCTTCTTGTATAACGCCGGCTTCCAGATGGGCAGTCCGAATGGGTGCTCAACATTAATGAGTGACTGACGATCCCGAAGAGTGATGGGGTCTTCATCGTCTACAGCGCTCTCTTCATCACCTTGAGTGGGGGGATCCGTGGCCGCTTGCTTTCCTGATCTATTTCCTCGACGTATAACATGTTCCTCGTCATCAGAAGGTGTCTCGTTGTCGTTGTCTTCGTCAGCCTCGCTCAAAGCATCGTCACGAAAACCACGGGTAGTCACATGAGAGCTACTAACGCTGGTGCTTCGCGGCCCTCGACGCATTGAGTGAGCAGATGAGCTGCGGACAAGAATCGGTGTGGGTCGAGGGGACGGTTGGGCATTAAAATAGGAAGTGCCTTGGTTGTGGTGACTTGGTGTTTCGGAGGCCGACCATTGGGAGCTATGGTTACGATGGATATGGCTGGATGGCGTCGGTGTCGACGACAGGTTGCCCCCGTCATCTTTTGGCGTGGACATCGTATCCAGCGATGGCAAATGAGAGAAGAAGGAAACTCCGGTCACAACTACGTCACTACACAGAAATCTATTCTAGCCTCGACACCCTAGGCTTTCCCAGCTTGACTCCCGCCAAGACACCTGCTTTCCGCGGCTTGGTTTTACTATTCATTGTTTTGACGAGAGAAGCCGTATCAGCAGCCGCATTAGATAGTGGTAAACTTGGTAACGCGGTGGACTGTCTTCGCGTTGGTTGAGGGTCACCCATCGGTATGTCTGAAGGAAGTGGTTTTGGTGGGAGGGACGCGTGTGGGAGCAGTCCTGTTGTTGATTCTTCTTTGGCCATTTGTCGCAGCTTGGCTTCCATCATCGCAATCTTGTCCTCCGTTCTGAACACACTCAACAGAGGTCCCTTTCTATAGAAATTATTAACTCACCTTCCTGTGCTTCTTTTAATCATGCTCAATGTTGTTGGACGACCCGATTCTGCCATGACCTTGCGTGGTTTCCCAGAATCGACAGGGGCATACTGGGCAAAAGTTACGACCAATTTCCGACCACGCAACAATTTATCGTGGAGCGCTATTCGCGCCTTGTCTGCTTCCTAGATAGCACTATAAGATGGCGGAGATAGATGAAGCAGAAGAAATCCAGAGAGGAAGCAAAAACATGATGAGCTCTGGAAAGAAGCAGCATAGTGGTGGGACTTACATCCTTATCTCCGTATTCAACGAATGCATACCCACGCGGCTTCCCTTTCAACGCTCCGCTTTTATGGAACAGGAAGTCGAACTTGCTAACTCGTCCATGTTTCGTGAATATTTGTAGCAAAGTATATCTGATGGCAATTGTAACACACTCGCCAACAGATTTGAGAAACAACTCACTCGTCAACGCTGGGATGCAGGTTCCCCACGTATAGTCGGGTTGTGGGCTCCGGGATCTTGCTGCTGCCAGCCTCGGGTGCATCGTCTCCAGAAACGAACGTTGGAAATGTGAGGTGGGATGAAGACATGTTGGGCAAAGGCAAGTTCCACCTTCCTTTTTCGGCACCGCTTGGCCAACTTTTTTCCTCAGACCATGGCGACTCTCCTCCCGCCTCCCAAACGCCAGAAACTCTACCATGGCATCACTCCTCCCACTCCATCAATCCCCACCGACGCCCCGAAGCCCAATGTAATCGTACAATTTGTCTCTGAAGATAATGGCGAAGTTTTGGCACCAGCAGTCAGTATTCCTGCTGATCTCTCGCGTGAAGCGATGGAAGGGCTGTTGAACAAGCTAAAACCAGAGGTCATTGCTGTCTATACTCTGCTACGAAAGACAAGTCTGATTTAGTTCTAGGACGACCCAGTTCCGTTTGCCTTCCACGTCCTGCTCCCCGAATCGACAGCAAGCAAAGATAAAACTCGGATACCAATCGGAGCATCCATTCACGCGGACATTCTTGCCCACCCACTCAACTCCCAGCACTTCACCGATGAAGATGTATTCGTCGTGCATTGCGCGCCACAAAGCGTCTTTCGAGTTCGACCACCAACGCGATGCTCATCGACATTATCTGGCCATGCATCACCAATTCTTTGTGCTTCATTCTCTCCGACTGGAACGCTCCTTGCAACTGGTGCAGGCGACACTACTGCTCGGCTATGGAACTTGGATACAGAACTTCCATCGCATACCCTTACTGGCCACAAAGGGTGGGTTTTATGTGTTGAGTGGGAAGCGATGGAGAGGAAACTGGCGACGGGAGGTCATGATGGACATGTCCGTTTTTCCTTCCCTACTCCAGAGCAGCCCTTATCTGTCTCAAGGTCATTATATGGGATCCCAAGACCGGAAAACAATCCGGAGACGCCTTGAAAGGTCATTCGAAGTGGATCATGTCACTCTGCTGGGAGCCAATACATCTGTACGTCCTTTGTTCTCCGTTCACATTAATTTGAGCGCAGACAGAAATCCAACTTCTCCGCGGCTTGCTTCCTCTTCAAAAGATGGCAGTGTGCGTGTCTGGTCTATTCAGACACGACGGGCCGAGTTCACATTGGGAGGACACACCGCGAGCGTCAATGTTGTCAAATGGGGTGGTGTGGGTCAAGGCGTTCTGTACACGGCCAGCAGCGACAGGACCGTCAGGATATGGGATGCCCAAACGGTACATAAAAACTTGTGTCACTTATTGCATCTCTCATTTTTTCCAAGGGCCGTCAACTTCACATTTTAAAGGATCATGCCCACTGGGTGACCACGCTTGCCCTAAATACCGACTTTGTTCTCCGAACTGGACCGTTCGACCACACTGGAAAGAAACCTGCTTCCGATGAAGAAGGTTAGTGGTATATTTGTTCTCCCGCCATTATTCACCTCTTTTTTTTTCAGCCCAAAAATTAGCATTAGCTCGATATACCGCCGTCCTCACCAACACCCCAGAGCTGCTCATATCTGGGTCAGATGACCACACACTTTTCCTCTGGTCACCCTTCCCCACCTCTGTCGTTCATCTACCGCCAGCCAACTCTGGCCCATCAACTAAAACAAAACCTACTGCACGCCTTGTTGGGCACTCCCTCCAGGTGTCCCACGTCTCGTTCTCTCCAGATGGTCGTCATGCAGCCTCAGCATCGTTCGATTCTTCGGTGCGTCTCTGGGAGGGCAGGACGGGAAAATACGTTGCTACATTGCGTGGTCATGTTGGCGCGGTTTATCGCGTAGCCTGGAGTGCAGACGGGCGAGCGGTCGTCAGTTGTGGGAAGGATAGTACTGTCAAGGTCCGTCTCCTCAGCTGTGGTCCCTAGTCTGATCATTCTTCCAAACAGACGTGGAACCTCAAGACGTACAAGCTCAACAACGATCTTCCGGGACACACAGATGAAGTATATTGTGTGGATTTTGTGGCGGACAAGATCGTCAGTGGTGGTCGAGATCGGACGGTGAAGATGTACGTGCCTTCCTGCCCGTTCACTTATTTGGAGTTGACACATGCATTCAGTTGGAGAAACTAGTTGTATTATCAAGTCTCCATCTTGCTCATACGCATGGGGTGCCGACTGCAGTGGGGAAAGGTTACTTTGAAGGATGTTTTTACCGTGACATTTTAGTCGTGAGGCTTGAGTACTCAGAGTATTGTAGTTGATCACTAAGAAAAAACGACTTATGTAATGTCGACGCTCTTCACATCTGATTCTTACTTCATCCGTGGTCGCGCATCCTCCCAACATTTCATCGTACATGCAACCTCTAAGAGGTTGCACATTGGCATGATGTCAACTTTGTGTCGACTACGAATAACCACTCCATTCGGCTTTCACAGTCGTTGACATCCTGCGCGTTAGCACCCTCTTGTCTCTCCAGCTTGGGAGTGATACCTCTCACCCTCTCGGCGGAGACATTGCGGTTTGGATTGGAAGAAGCTTCTCGTGTCCTATAGTCGTCTTGATGGACCTATGAAATCCTTGCCTTGGTTCGCATCCCCGTCAATGCCATGATTCAACACCAGAGAAGTATTACCTCTTTCAAGCTTTGGGGCTCGTTTAAAGACACGTCAAGATAACGGTGCGGTCGAGCATGTCAATGGACTTCCCATATATCGGCTCGCTGACCGTCTACCTGACCGCAGGCTTAATCCTCGTCTATTACGCAAATCAGGTTTCTCGAGCTTGGCGCAAGAATCCGACCACCTTGCCCTATCCACCAGGGCCTCGACCGCTGCCCATCATTGGCAATATTCGACAAATTCCTACAACTTTTCCGTGGCTCACTTACCGAGAATGGGGTCGTCAATACGGTACGCGAAATATACCCACAACACTCTTACCCTAAACCACTTGTAGGACCGATGATTCATTTTCGAGCGTACAATGACCACCTTATAATCGTCAACTCTGCAAAGATCGCTGACGACCTCTTCGAGAAGCGGTCCCGAATATATGTATATATGCCATTCCCCTTCCGTTTCAAAGCTCACGCAATGCTACTTAGAGCGATCGCCCTGACTATCCGATGCTTAATTTGTCAGTTTCCCAGTCTGTGCAGCTTTGCATTAGTGACTAAACACTTAGAATGGGTTGGGAATTCAATTTTGCATTCATGAGATATGGCGACAACTGGAGGCAACACCGACGACTAATGCACCAATTTCTGCGCCTCGCAGCCGTGCCCGCATACCACCCTGTTCAAGTGAAGAAATCACATGATTTGCTTCGTATTTTTCTCTCTCATCCGAAGGACTTCTATGTCCACCTTCAAACGTAGGCCCGATTTTTGACCCGTAACTCATGCTGAATATGTACAAGTTATGCTGCCGCAATCATCATGGCGACTGTGTATGGTTATGACATTGCGCCGGTCGGAGATCCTTTCGTGTCCTTGGCCCAAGATGCGATGCACCGGATGGGACAGGGCACTATCCCTGCTGCTATTCCAGTCAATATGTTCCCTTGGCTCCGCCACTTCCCTGGATGGCTTCCCGGCTTTGGATTTCAACAATTCTGTGCTGGTAGGCCTATTTTCTCGCAGAGTATACCGTTAAATCAGCATCCAGACACCCGGTTGATCACAGCAAAGATGCGAGACGAGCCGTACGAATTTGCCAAAAAACAGCTGGTTCGTGTTTGCGTGGATTTGTGCTGGCCAATTTGGCTGACTAATGCGATTTATCAGATTGAGGAGCATGACTCGACGTCTATGGTTGCGAAGATGATTGAATCCGGCAAGACGGAAGTCCAACTACAGAAAGATGTTGCTGGTCTTGCGTATGGTGGTGAGTACAACTGTGTTACACGATGCTCGACTTGAATACATTCGTTTTAGCGGGTGCGGATACGGTGCGTTGTTGCGCGAAATCAGAAAGCGCATTCCAATACCACACTTTGGCAGACCTTCGCAACAATGGCCTCTTTCGTCCTGCTGATGGCCACGCATCCCGAGGTCCAAAAGAAAGCACAAGCAGAGATCGACGCTGTTCTCGGTTCTCACAGATTACCGGAATTCTCGGATAAAGCACAACTCCCATATGTCGAGGCTCTTTGTCGGGAAGTGCTGCGCTGGATGCCGGTGATGTTTTTTTTTGCTACTCGGACATGTAGGCTTTCTGACACTTGTTCAGTTGGTGCCCTTGAGCCCCAGTCGTAAGACAACGGAGGACGATATCTACGAAGGTTATTTCATACCCAAAGGTCTGACCCCCTTCACCTTGTTTAACGTCTCTGCTGACATATTCCAGGAACTTCGATTGTTCCCAACCTCTGGTCTGCTTGTATTGACTTGTGAACCTCTTTGCGCTGATAACAATGCAACAGGGCCATGTGCCAAGACGAGGCTATCTACCCGGAACCTGAAAAGTTCAAGCCAGAAAGATTTCTCACAGAGGACGGAAGAGTCACTACCGACCCTCTACTGAACCCTCTCGCATTTGGGTATGCCTCTTCTTCAGCTGACCATTCTGTTACATCTTCCTATAGACATGGTCGTCGTTCCTGTGTTGGCCGCCACCTAGCAGAAGACTCCGTCTGGATTGCGATGGCATCTCTTCTCACCGTATACAACTTTGGCAAAGCCAAGGATGCCTCTGGCAATGAAATCGAAATCCCTTTTCAGTTCTCTGATGGCTTGATCATGTCTGTTTATCTAATCTTATCGCATCTTATCGCTGATTATTAATCCTAGTCACTCCGAGCCATTCGAGTGCTCCATTACTCCGCGCTCAGAAATAGCGATAGCATTGATTGAAGGCACAGCCGAAAAGAATGGTTGAACGAGGCTTGCATGCCGGAACTCGGACTGTAATCGTCAACATCTGTACAATGAACTTGAACTCCGTTTCGTTGATTGCGCATTTGTTTGCATCTAGATCTTGAGTTCTCCCCGTTCTGACTTTGAAACTCGGCACCATTGAAACTGAGAAGTGCCAACCAACACTTGGCAAGTCATTCTGCGCCATTGTAACAACCCACGGATAGCTAGAGCTGGTGCCACATACCGGGTAGTTCCTCCGCTAAGGCGAGGTGCACTATGTTTACTATCTGCTAGTGCATCCAGAGACCGCAGTCAGGGTTAGAGGGTTGCTGGGAAGGTGGCCCACTGACACGCAGAAACATGCCGGGGCCCATGCTCGACCATGTATAAAAAGAATACCAGCAGCCCATATACTGACGACCCAGCATTGACAGAGACGATGACCTTCGGCCTATTCGGAGCACTCGCTGAAGGGGTTGCTGACCTCACAGTCGGCACCCTCCAGACTGTCCATCACACCGCCAACCAGGCATTGGACGTGTCGGGATTCGGCGGGTTCGTCCCCCATCCCATTCGACAGGCCAGCGACGACTTGTGCGGCATGACCCAGCGTGGAATTCGTGACGTCGGCTACACCACTGGCGGCGTCCTTCGCAGCTTTGAGCAGGTCTCCTTCCAACTACTACCACATTAATCTGACTGCCGTCCAGCTATAACGGCGACGCTGGTGGAAGACGTCAGGGAGCATACCGCCAAAACTCGAACGCAATGGGCAACGGGAGATTTGGAGCCGGAATTTCTGGTTGTTTCGTTGTTTGCCCCTTGATTCAACTCATTGCTTTGGTAGGGGGTATCGGATTTGGCACGGGGGGTATAGCAGGTTTCAATAATGGATTTCATGGAGGTACAGATGCCTGGGTGCGCGGCCAGAACCAGATCAGTGCTTATGAAGAAGACAACTTGAGTCGGAGTTCTTCTCCTCCAAGCCGCCCTGGAATGCCAGGTTCCAAAATTTCAGGTGAGGCCGCAAAATCGGGGATGGATGAGGTTGACCGTTCTATAGGGGGAATCGGAGGCAACGGTGGAAACGGCGCACTCGGAGGTCGTGGCGGAACTGGGCAAGGTGTTCGTATTCGAGAGGAGAGTCGTTTCAGAGAAATCACTGGTGAGAGATTGACCCGAGCGTGATTACCAACATTGATATGGGAAAAGGTGGGACTGGAGGAAATGGTGGGACGGGAAGCGCAAATGGAGGCGATGGGGGTACCGGAGAAGGTGTTTGGATCGGAGACAGTGACCGCAGTCCTTCGGTCTCTGAGTATGGGACACCAGCGTCTGATTACTCCCCTCCCTCGACCATCGGAAGCCCTCGTTCAGGTGCTTCAGCTCGTCTCCCAGCCATGAGCCTTGAAGCATTTTGCGCACGCTACTCTCTTAGTGAGAGAATCGAACACCTCCTCCAGGAGCAAGGCTATGAAACGGCTGGAGGGTTGTTCGGAGTGTCAGAACAGGACTTGTCCGAGGCAGGTCTGAAGAAAGGGCAGATTGGTGAGGTCAAGCGTGCGGTCAGAGCTTGGTTGGCTGAGAACGACATATCCCCTCATTGATTCTTTGATGTAGTGTAGTCTGTTGAGGTATGATGTGCATTCGCTGTATTATGTCGGCCTGTCTGTAAGTAATTGGAGGAAGGCAAACAGTATGTAGGCAAACTCAGGCCGTGACTGACCGTGACTGACTGATCAATATGGGGTTAGGGTTAGCCACGACAAAGTACCTACCTTCTTCGTTGACCTTTTGCGCCAATCGAACAGCTTGGTCCTCCTTCAGTTAATTGTAGCTTTTTTTTAAGCATGCAAAAATACTAATCGAGCCTAAGGATTCAAACTTCAACCGTGACCCCTTGCTACTAGTACCCTCAATTTTTCTCCAAGTTCCGGCTTCCATCAAGTTCTGCTACAGTCAACTTCGCACAGTATCTGAGTAATCTCTGTTCGCCGTATCCTCAATCAACGTCTGCGTTTTCGAAGACCGCGGCGTGATTGCACAATCGAATGGTTCGGGGTGACTGGACAGCACAATGAAATGAGGGAAACAAAGTCAATCGCAGCATACCTGATCAACAAGTCACTATACCCGCCAGGAATATCGATCTCCTTCCCGGAAGAGTCACGTGCTTTGGCAATGTTGAATACAGAGAGGATAGAGACGATTGAAGCCCAAACAGAGTCGTCGGCGAGATGTTGGCCTACGCAGACACGACGACCGTGCCTACAAGCGCATTGGCAACGCAACAAAGAGCTCGGAGAATAAGTGTTGCATACCCAAACGCCATGATATTCATTCGAGGATCACTCGTCACTTTTCCGTTGTCGGAAAGGAATCTCTCCGGCTTGAATTTGTCGGGCTCGGGATATATCGATTCATCGTGACACATGGCCCTAAAAAGAGTATTATCTCCATCCACGACAACAACGAGTTCGAGCAAACCAAATATTCGGAATGACCGTGGCCCCTGCAGAAAAGTTATAACCTTGTAGTTGGGCATGGAGCTCTGACCCTTTGGAATGAGATAGCCGTTTTAAACGTCATTCTGTGTGGTCCCATGAAAAAGGCTCAACGGTAAGACCTGGAGACTAGTAAGCAGCAAGCAATCTCTTAGGAACCGAAAGGACGAAACAGGTCTCCATCGAAGGACTTCACGATAGACAGCCTCGATATATGGCAGCTCTTCTCTGTCGGAGAAATCGGGCAGTCGATGTGACCCAACAACATTATCGATTTCTACTTGAGCCTTTCTTTGAATATCGGGATTGGTGGCCATTGCGAGAATAAAGGTGGTAACAGCTGACACCGTCTGAACACAGAGAAATTTAGACACGGGGAGCATGGCAACCTAGGACGGGTACCGTATCGGCTCCAGCTGACGATGCTCAATGGGCGATGAACAGTTGGTAATCGGATCGTCATACATACCAGCAAAGGCAACACCCGCCACTTCTGCTATAATCTTTGAGTCGCCCTGTGCTTTTCCAGATGCAAGAATCTTTGCGACCATGGATGAAGTGTCTCGCCCTTCAAGCTGATAATAACAACTTAACTCTGATAAAAAAATTGAGTGCAACGCACCATGTTCTGTTGAGCATACACGTAGGGATCTCGAGTCATTCGTTGGGTCAAAACTCTCGTGTCTGAACTTGAGTGAGAAGAGTGAGATAATATGCTTATAAATCGCTATTCGCACCTGCACAAAAGGCTTGGAACCCAAACCCGGGAAGCCAACCCGGGAAGTGACGAAGCCAAGGGAGCAAATTAACGAACATAGCACCAGGAAATACCGATGCCCCAAGGCGTTGTAATGATGCCTCAGCCAAGTCTACGAATGGGTCGTTTGTTGGCTTGATGTCGTAGTTGTAAACAGTCGACATGATAATTGCGGCAGCAAGACTTGCATTGTACGATGAGAGCCTGTAGAAGCTGCTGCGACAAACGTACCTGCGAATGTGAGCGTAAAAATCGGTAGGGCTGACGAGAAAAAGGCGAAGCATGTCATGAATTTTCTTCAACTCGATAGCTCGATAATCCAAGGACGCCTCACGACGGAGGTATTGATGCAGAATTCGTCGGTATTGCCTCCATCTCGAACCATATGGTATGAATCCAAGCGCGAAATCCCATCCCATCCTACGGCCTTGTCAAAAATCTGAGCGGAATAATATGAACGATGCCTAACATTGTGGTCATAGGAATTTGAGGGCGGTCGCTCTGATGAGGATTAATTGAGTGTCAAAAGAATGCAATTCATGTAATCTGACATAGATTTGAGAACGTTTCTCCAACAAGTCGTTGGCCACTGTTGCTGAATTAATGATGATGGTGTGGTTATTGAACGCCTGGAAATGAACGATCGGGCCTTTGAAAGAGAATTCAAGGGAAGTGTGGCAACTGTAATGTTTAACTTGCCATATTGACGTGCCCATTCTTGATATGTGAGCCACGGGAAAGATGCTGGAGCCTGGCGAATATTGCCTAAGATAGGAAGTGGACGAGGTCCAGGTGGATAAGGAAGATTTGACGCCTTCTGCAATGCGCTCTTCGCACAGTGGACAAAGATGAGAGCAACCCCGAATCCGAGAAGTAAACCAGGTAGCGTTTCCATTACAGAAGCGAGCCGTTGGTGACCTTCCTTTAAAGAGGTATAGCGTGGACCATGGGACCCAAAAGAAAGCCGCGTTCTAACCACAAGACCGGCGAGGCCACGGGTAGGTTCTTAAAAGAAGCCTGTGGGGAGCAACAATGGTTCGGGAGAGATACAGGAGGTCATGCTGAGATGCAGTGGAGTCAGCTATCGGGCCGGATAACTGGTGGCCGTTGACGGTTGCACCAAAAAAAAGAGATGCAAAAGCCCAAGATGAGAAAACGGATCAAATGTGACGTGTGACCTCGATCAGTTGGTGACATGTCCAAGCGCAAACAACAACAAGATTCTTCCAATCCCAACGCTAGCGGTTCAGATTCGGACTCATCCGACGTCTCCTTTGTCGACGTCGACTTCGAGTTCTTTGATCCCAACCCTAAAATCGACTATCATGCATTCAAACGGCTCTTTACCCAACTCTTCCAGACAGACGCAGAGCAGTTTGACCTCTCTGCACTTGTAGAGCTCGTCCTTTCTCAATCGTCTATCGGAACGACGATAAAAACAGACGGGGAAGAAAGCGATCCATACGCCCTTTTGACTGTGCTGAATATGCACATCCACCAAAATCATTCGTCAATCGCAGCTCTTGCCTCGTATTTTCTCGACAAAACGGCGCCGGACCAGACCTTCAACGCAGAGTTAAGAAGGATTTTCGCGGGGTCAAATACCCACGTCGGGTTGATACTTTGCGAGCGACTTATCAATATGCCGGTGCAAACGATACCGCCCATGTACCGCATGTTGTCAGAGGAGCTCAAATCGGCATTGTCAGAGGTGTGTGTTGAATATTTGTTCCATTTAAATTAACTTGACAATATTGCCAGTCCCAACCATTCGCATTTACCCACCTTCTCTTCGTGTCTCGAGCATACCATCTTTCTGATGCGGAGGAAGAGGCGCTCGCCAATCGCGCACCATCACACAAGTCGAAAAAGCCTAAAAAGGCAAAGCCACAGCAACCTGCAATGCAGGCACGGCCTATGGACGGCGTATATTCGTTCCACCCAGAGGACACGACGATTCAAGAGGTAGCATCTTGCCCCGCGCCTTGAGCCACACCTGACCATTCAAAGTATGCATTGCATTCAATAACTTATCCGTTCTCGACATCTGCAGAGACTCGAGATGCGGAGTCGTTTGGATTGGATGTTCGTGGTCGATTGATGTTGGTAGAAGCCAGTCGATGGGAGGAGCTTGTCGCGAAGATGAGCGAGGTGTACGTATGAGTCTATTAACAACAATTGTATCCTGGCCTCGACGGTCCTCGATGAGAACCTCCCCAGCTCGGACACTTTGAAATGACTCGACTGATAACAACTGCGGCGCGACCACGTGCATCTTACCGTCAGCTTATAAAGCCAAAACGACGCGATACTCCTCTCATGTCGATCCCAGAATCCAAGCCAGTCATAACACTCACTACACTCGACCCTGCTCTTCCAGAGCACCTATCACTCATCCCGGCTATTGTTGATATCCACATCGCGTGCATTCAGACCTCCAACACCATCGCGACTTTCTCTCCTCCATTAGACCGACAAAGGATGGTGAAATGGTGGGCAGGGATGGTAGAGGACACAAGGACCGGCAGTCGTATCATATTTCTCGCATTCGTGACAACACCTGGCTCACAAAGCCCGTCTTTGGCTGGCTATGTCATTCTGTACCGCCCAAGATGGGAGACGGGCCCTTTCCGCGGTGTCGTGGAGAAACTCCTTGTCTCGCCATCGTTTCGGCGTCTGTGCGTGACTACACCCAGCCTGCTCAATGACTTGCTCACGTTGACGTTTTCCCTCCAGAGACATCGCGACAAGGTTGATGGCAAAACTCGAAGCGGATGCCAAAGTGCTTGGACAAACCCTCCTAGTACACATTTGAGCAGAGTTTTATTATTATCTAACCTCACCATCAGACGCTCGATACCGAGACCGGGAGCCCCGCTGAATTGATCTATCCTAAACTGGGATACAACCTCGTTCGTCTTTCTTTCAAGTCAGCCTGCTTTATTTGACTTCGCTTGCACAGCTTGGTGTCATCCCTGACTATGGCATCAGCCCGCTCGATAAAAGTCTCAAGGCAGGAACCTTTTTCTGGAAGCAGTTGTAGACCTGGAATTTGATGCAATGAAGTAAATCTTGATTTGGAGACTATGCAAGAGACTGAACAATGTGAACTAAATACCTATAGATTCTACAGCATCGCAAGCAGAGCATCGTCGACTTCCTTCTCTTGCTGACGCTCTAACTCTCGCTCCCTCTCGCGTTCGCGTTCCTTCTCCTTCTCGAGCTCCTTCTCTCGCGCCTGAACATACGACGGAACTTCATTCGGCCGGTAGTCCAGATGACGCTTCACGTAGAAACACATGTACGCCGATGAGTTGAGGACGTTGTTCAGCGGGGCCGAGACCACTCTAAAGCCAAATTTCAGTGGTGGATTCAACGAGGATCGCTTGCCCTGACTAACTTGTCGTCATCGAAACGATACCACTCATTCTCAAACCGCGCATAGTTGGTGTAATGTCCGTTGTTGAGCTGTCCCTCATGGTTGATGACCGCGAAGAGGTCATACTCATACATCGCCGTCGGGCCCGGGTATCTAGAGGCTACTAGTTAGAGCAGTCGACTAGGCAGCAGACATTATCGTGACGAACGTCAACACATGATGCAACGGTGGAGGAGATGACGTCTCCTTGGCGGGCCCTTTATTGGCGTGGGCGGACGCTTTCATTCCTAGCGAGGTATATGGCGCCATGTTGAGAGTCTCTGGAAATCTTATTCGCGTGTCGATTTTCCGAGGTGCACCTTTTTCTGTTTTGTGCTCGAATCGCTACAATTGGTTGGTACCAGATATGCCACATTACCACGACGGACCTTGAATTGGAAACTCAGAACAGGTGGTAGTTTCCGAATGCTTAAACGCTTAGATACCTCCTTGAGTGTATCTTCAGCAAGTCAATAGAGAGAAAAAGAGGACTGACGTGAGCAGCTTTGCATTTGGCGCAACTGTATTGCTTCGGTCCAAGTTTTTCTGGTTGCGTGAACCTGTCGAGCTTAGCTTTATCTCGACATGAGAACATTTGCATACCTCCTCAAACATGCTGCTAGTGTATTTTCTGTGGCCCCATGTGGTTCTCCCGTCTTCCCCTTCAACTCCAAACTGATATCCAGCATGGGGTCGACGGTGGTTGTCACGTTATGGCACCGCTCACAAACAACCTCACTTTGCAACAGCCCCTGGAACGTCGAATGAACGACACAGTTACATGTCACGTTCGTCGAGCCAACCGAGGTGCTGTGGATGTTATTAAGTGTTGAGATAAAGAACTCGTGAGCATCGTGTTGGGCGTATCCAGAAAGTTCCAGCGATTTCCGCCATGTTGTGGCCAGAAAGGTGACAGGTCCAAATGGGGCCGACTCGCCAGAAAAGACCTGCAACAAAAACGATAAGTTGGACAGCCAGAGGACGGACGAAGCTGACCTCTGAGAATAGTTTGTCCATTTCGCAACATGTGCAGTCCTCTTCTGTCTTACATTTGCGATTGTTGTGTTTGTCGCTGAGGAAGTAGTTTCGCAGCATAGGATTGTGGACGAAACACTGCAGAACGACATTCATGAAGCATGTTTGCCCAAGGTTGAGAAGACCGCGACGACCTAGCGGCGCGTTAGAGTGAGGTATTCACGGAGTCAGCGTCATACCTTGACACGAAATCGGCACCGCCTTTTGGAGTGCAATGGTGTCCTGCTCGCTTGGCTCCCAACGTTGAAACCGCTCTCGTGCCTTCTTAGAGGCTGTAGGTTCTCAAATGAGCCTTCCAACCATGGTGCCGCAACAGGGCGAACCTTGAAATCGCGTCTGCTCCTCCTCCACATGAACTGTTGCAGACAACCTTATGTCTTCAAAAATTGGGTCGAAGATGAAGTCATTACACTCTATGCAGAAGACCGCCCCTGACCGAGCATCCATGCCTGCAGCAGTCAGAGGCTGATATTCGCGAGAACTACAACTCACTGAACGAGTGTTGTGCTTGACGCAAGTGGGTCGTAATATGTTCGCTTCTCCAGCATCCCGCAAAAGAGCAGTGTAAACAGACAACCGGTCGATATAGCGCAGCATGACAAGCCCCACAGGTAGGAACGGCGACCTGAAATAGTGAAGCACGCGTTGGAGGGGACTTCAACTGCAAACCTTGCGCCTGACGGTTGGATTCTTTATATGTTGTCGCCGGCGGGTTTCCCACGAGACTACGTCGCGGTACTTGGGTAAGAATGTGGATGATGATTTGAGGACGGTGGCAAGGTGTCCACACGCATGAACGCGATTGTCGTTCATGGTCGTTGTGTTTAAGCAGTGATGCCATCACATTCTCACTCGGATCACTCGGAGATACACATCAATCATCAAAGATAAGATAACATCATAGATCCCGCAAATTCGTTAGTTAGACCACTTTTCTTTGATCAAAGCTGCTGCACGCTCCGCCAGGATGTAAATTTGTGCTTGTGGGAAGCCAGCCGACGCAAACGGCAACACCGACGCATCCACTACTCTGACTCCCGTAATCTTCTTGACGCAAAGATCGGGTCCAACCACTCCATCGATTGCGCCAGCTTTTGAAATACGAGCGGTGGCAACTGGATGCTTGACTGTGGTGCTGTACTTTCGCACATAAGCTTCGATGGCGGCATCTGTGGTAAGTCCCGTGATTTCTGGATCAGGTTCAGCGATGTATCCTGTCCAGATCGGAGCGGAAAAAAATTCAGCCGTGGTTTTGAAGGTTGTGATCATGGTGTTGAGGTCAAACGCAGTTGAGAGATACGCAGGATTGATAGCAGGATGATCAAATGCGGAGCTGCTCTGTATTTCGACCGAACCCTCTGCCATTGTGTCAGCAGCAGCTCCCAAACACGCAAAAAATGACTCGCCGGAGGTCGGAGACTGAAGCACAGCTGCGATTGAAATCCAGTCGCCTTCAGTTGGACCCGGTTCTTGGCCCGGGTTAGGTGCATAGGAATTCTTGAAAGTATGTTGAGTGGGCGATTCACAGGATGGGGAAGAATTTACTCACCAAGAAAGAGTAAAGGTAATGAGAAGAGTTTGGTCCCGCAGCGGGGTCTTTGTGCTCTGCCTTGATAATCGGAGAATGGTCAGGCAATCGCAAAAAGGCGATGGTGCTGAAGAAAGCAACTCCGGCAGCAAAACCCGTTTTGCTGGCGGCATATTCTGCCATGCTAGCACCAACATTGGCTGGGTCTCTGAAGAACGATGAAAGGGTCGTGCTGTTGACACGCCACTGATAGAATATAATAGGTTGGTCTTGCAAATGCCGACCGACATCTGGAGCATCGACGAGCTGTGCTATTCCAGCGCGATCGAGCACAGCTTTGGGGCCGATTCCCGAGAGTTGCAAGATCTGCGGCGTTCCAATAGCGCCGGCACATAAAATAACTGAGCTCATTAGTAGTATACTTGAAGAACAGGGAAATGGCACCACCTTCCTTCTTTGCGGTCAGGATAATTCGTTGGCTGCTGGCATCTTGTGCCAACTCGACGGTGCGGAAATCGAGAGAACCTCCTTCAGCAGGAAGCAAACGAGTCACATGGTAATGGACAAGAAGGTCGATATTTTCTCGGGACTCGATAGCTGGCTTTAAGAAGGCTGTAGATGAGCTGCTGCGGGCCCCTCCTCCCACAGTTGTGTGGATCCAACCTACAGACATTGAAAAATGTTCTGAATCCCTATAAGCCTTACCAACACCAAGACCGTCACCAGAATTAAGGTCCAGATTATAGCGGAATTGGCCTTGAAGTTCGTTTGCGGCTTTGATAACGCGTTGGTCTAAATCAGTTGGCTCGGCAACAAGAGTAGTTTGGAGAGGCCCGTCTCCATGGACTGCTGGGTTATAGTCGTTTTCGTCATTGCGATTGTTCCATGGACGAACATGACGTTCGTTCATTTTGATGTACTTTTGAAGGCTAGTCCAGGACCAGCCCTGGTCACCGGAGATGTTTGCAAGTCTATCGAAATCCTCTGACGGTCCGCGGAGGTAGACCAAACTATCTGTGCGATATATTCCATCAGGGTCACCACCGAAGGTTCATTGCATTTGGCCTACTGGTGTTGCTGCTTCCGCCTACCACATATCCTCGTGGGAATGGTATCTCTCGACCATTGAGTCCGGCTTGTGGGGTCGTTTTGTAGTCTGTAAAGTATGAATCGCTGTTGACACAGTGAATCGGACGGACCCCAATCGAATTTGGTGCCAACAGCCAAGCCGGCAAGGAATGGGGTTCGAAGAACATCGGACTCTGGCTCGGTATCCCTGAGGAACCAATCATCAGTATGTGAAGCCAAGAGTTGCTCGATAAATAGGCGCACGACAACCCTGCCTCGATAACGAGGACTTTGAAGTGAGGGTTCTCCGCCAATCGAGCAGCGATAACGCCCCCAGCCTAAAGACAGGTTGGGGATTTAATTCGACAAGAGGTGTCAGGCAAGATGAACAAACATTCCCGGCTGTGATTATTTTGAGATAGTGACCATGGTAGGGCAAACCGGGGCTGACCTCCAACAACGACAAAGTCGTAGTATTTATCGCCCAGATCGTTCGCGTTAAAGTAAATCTTACCCATGAGTTATGGGGGTTGTTGGGTCGCTGACGTGGCTTTATAGGCCAGAGATGGGGCTCGGCGGCGTCTGTCAACGGTGCAACACAACTTTGACCACACACACACAGCCTGAGCAATTCACTTCAGAAAGCAGGTCTGCCAACAACACGGGGGCTGGAACTTCCGGAGAGAAAGGCTGATGGCTAAGATAGGCAAGTTAACGGCAGAGGAAGAACAATTGCAACCATTCACCGGCACGCTGTGGTAGCATTTTGGTTTGACCGTGATGGTCAAACATAAAGAAAAAATTGGCATAGCATACGCACGTGACACGTAGATGTCACCGACATGAAATTGCGCCACCGCGCAAGTGCAACCCAAGTGTAAAAAATGAGATCGGAGTACCGAAAACTCATATAGCCCAGAGAAAAAAGAACTCAAAACACAAGTTTGCATGAGATGGGCGCCGAGTCACGTATGAAAGATGAATACGATTGATAACCAGACAAACTCAACAAAAGTCTACACTAGGCCGCTTCTGCTCTAGGTCGGTCTGTATCTCAATGTCATGAAATGCACGCTCTGAGTGTTTGGGCCTCTTACCTCGCTCCCAAGATGGACATCCAGAGTAGAGGCTATATAAGCCTCTACCGTTGTGCGGTCACCAGGCATACGCTTCAATCCAAAGCTTTGCCAGCGACGTTGACTCCCGTGCTTGGGCTGCTTTCGCTGAAGACATGATGTTTGCGCTCGGCACGCCAGTTGAGTGTCGCTAAAACGATGTTGGAATATCTAGAGCAAAAGCGAGCAGCAGCTAGTTTGCCAGATACGACTTGCAATTTGGTGAGGATCAAGAGCCTAGCAGACGCGATCAAACTACAGCAAGCGGGTAAGAAATGTAAAACATACGGCGCGTTATGCATGAAGCTTTCTGGGCTTTCGCTGATATCAGGTGGAGAAGATGGGTCGGCGGCGTCTGTCAACGATGCGACACAATTTTGACCCCACACACAGCAATTGACCTCAGAAAGCAGGTTTTCCAACACGGAAGCAAGGGCTTCCAGAGGGAAAGGGCGATGGCCAAGGTAACGGCAGAGGACGAGCAATTGCAACCATTCAGCACCGTGGCCAAACCGTGGCTTGACTGTGATGGTCGAACATGGAGGAATTGACTCCGGAAGCACGTGACCCTCCAGACCGTGCACCCCCTTTGACTTAGGAAATACCAGTCCGGATGCTGTCTTTAAATATCGTGAACAAATGCTCCACAGCTTGTCAACATATCAAGGCTACATAGATGGACTATCGACTTCCGAATCCTCTTTCTCACCCTCTTGATTTTCTCAAACCCTCTCGCAAGTTCTCTTGGTCATCAGTTACTAGAAGTGCCAGGAGACCGGCGATTGAATCCAGATTTCCTTCTCATCTCCTGACATTACAGGGCTTTGTAAGGAAAATTCATGGTGAATTCCATCCATCAGCTTTTTCAGGATATCCATTTCCCATTTCTTCTTCCCTTCGCTTGGGTTGAGACGCGCGCGGTCAAAATCAACGATGAAGGCTTCCCCATTGGAGTCAATCGTGAGGTTGTTGGCCCGGATATCATAGTGCCGAACTCCAGCGCGATGCACGTTTTCAAGGATTTCAATAAAGCGATTCCTGGTGAAGAGACATAAGACAAGAGTCTCAGAGTGCGTGTCATTCTACATACCGTTGGGTCGGAGCAACAGGCGTCAGTGGCTTGGTTTTGTCCTCGCGTGAATCCCACAAGTTTCGCCCACAATTGGTCATGATGAGTGCAATAGCTCCTCCTTCGAGGTCCTCGAATAGCCCATAGACATGGGGGACACCAGTGACACCCTGTTCCGCCAGATGTTTGTAGATTTCATACTCGTGACGCATTCGTCGCTGGGGCTGCTCCCGGAATGCCAATTTGACGATGAGATTCTTCTCGATCAGCGTTTGTCCGTCTTTGGTCGTCAGACGAGCTGTTGCTTCGTGAGCAGTACCAGTTGCGCCTTTGCCGATTTGGCTTGCAAGGACGACCTCGAGACACTCGTAAACCTCATACGAGCGTCTAATTGGCGCAGAATACCCTTCTTTTCGCTTTGTCTTCGTCTTGTGCACGAGACACGGCGTCGCTCGAATGAACGACGCTGGCGCTGGAGAATGGTAAATGCCATACTGCATGTGCAGCAGCATCAGGTCGCGCTGGCTGGCGAGCTCCATCGGGAGTTGCTATTGGCATCAGCTTGACATGCTAGCGGTTCAAGCCGCAACTCACCTGCAAAGAAGTCTTCTTCGGGCTTTGCTTGAAGCGTTTACTTGATGGTAACGGTCCGGCAGCATATTCGGTGTTTGGACGTTTACGACTGCTTCGGCGAGACTCTGTATGTTTGGTTGCAGCTTTGGCGCGGGCGACAGCGTCAAAAACTTGCGCGAGGTGTATGCCCACATGAAGCTTGATGTACTCCGGGTTCTCGCATTCAGTGGTGTCATAGACTTCTGACAGATAGAGTGTTTGGGTTGCTCGGTGGCGAATCCCGATCCGTTCATGTTTGCCGCAGTTGAAAACGATCATGGTGGAATCCGTCTCCGCCGCTTTGGCCCACGCCTGTTGTTGAATAAGCTGGACTCGAAGATTCTGCAGTTAATATACTGACCAGCTGAGCAAGTGACTCCGGTGTGAGGTATGTCCCGATATAGGCACTTGTTTTGGGCCGTCTGCGAGCCGATGGAACCACACGCCTTGCGACCTCTTGATTTGGTTTCGACGCAGTCGGCGTTCTCGTTCGAAGATTCCTGCGCGCAATCGTGTCCTGCTATGTCTTGAGTCCAACACAAAGCTTTAGTCATGCTTACCGCAGGCACAGACCCGGTAGGGGGGAGTTTCCAAACGGTTGATGGCGCGTCGCGAGGTATAACCCTTGATGATCCATTGGATTTGGGATGCACTGTTTTGCAGAGTCGATAGCGAAAAGTTGCTTGGGACCATGTCTGATCCATATTCGCCAGAAGTGCCTCCGATTCCTCCCCAAATGATAAAAATATCCAAGTGCCAATTTTCGGGGTGAAAGCGACGGCTCGCTCTAAATCTTCGCGCAAACTTGGCTCCATTATTTCGGAACGGTGCTCGTCAAGAATAATTTTTCCGGAGTCATCTGTACTAAAAAAAAGATGACCCTCGTCGTCCACCCCAGTAGGATATCGTTCTGTCTTTGCCCATCGACCCCAATAGAGATTACGATTCCACCCAGACATGTTTGGCATCAACACTTTAGTCGAAATGGAAGCAGCTATAGCGGCACAAGTTGAGCGGTAGTATTGCGCTAGTTCTGATGGCCAGCATGTGTGGAGCTCTATGCGCCGCTCGCGATATATTGACAATTCAGCATTCGGAACTATGTCTTCTTTGGTTGAAGCAAGCTGAGCTATTAGGGAGTCTAGTTGCTCTTGCGCGAACCCAGATATATCATGCACCAAGGAGTCTAGTGGCATGACATGTCGCAGGAGTAGCTTTTGGTCAATATGCTTGGTGTAAAGAGCATGAGGAGGGTTGCAAGGGTGTAACGCACGATTACCAGCGTGTCGCACAAAGAAAGATGGCTTCCAGGTTAGAATGTCGTCCAAGTCTTTCCTTAGCGGTGAGGCCATGTTTCCGTCCGAAGTGTTACTGGTTGTCATCAAGGTGTAATGGCTTGTTTACTACCTCACGTCCACACAACCACACCCACACAACCGTCATGGCCACACAACGGCCCCAACCGACAATGGCCGACTCGGAGAACACGGTATCACGGTGAGTCAGTGACAATCTGGTATAGGTTAAACTGGGTGCCTGTGAAACGTGCTAGACACACCTTTAAACCAGATGCACCCATAATAAAGAAACCTTGAGGTGATTGTGAATGCGCCATGACCGGTGACCCTCCAAGGGAAAGCAAAAATTGACGTGATTGTCACCCACCGTGCCGTGTCACATCCTACCGGATACATCACAACCAGAGGGAGAAATAGATAAGTGTCGACTGATCACAACGGTGGAGATTATTTACATACTACAGGACGCCTGTTGTAGAAGGAGTCCGGACCCCACTACGTGCAGTAAATCTATGTATCCGAATATGAATCCAAAAGGTGCCATTGAAAACTACGGAAACCGAGAGAACTCAAAAGTCGATACCAGGTCGCTTCTGCTCGAGGTCGGTCTGTATCGATCACATGAAATGCACGCTTCCGAGTGTTTGGACTTCCTACCTCGCTCCCATGATGAACCTCTACCGTGACAGTTTTTGAGCGGTCACCACTGGCAGGCATACGCTTCAATCCAAAGCTTTGTCCAGCGACGTTGACTCCCGTGCTTGGGTTGCTGCTTTCGCTGAAGACGTGATGTTTGCGCTCGGCACGCCAGTTGAGTGTCGCTAAAACGATGTTGGAATATCTAGAGTGAACTGAGTGACGAGCAGCAGCTAGCTTGCCAGATACGACTTACAATTTGGTGAGGATCAAGAGCCTAGCAGACGCGATCAAGCTACAGCAAGCGGGTAAGAGAATGTAAAACATACGGCGCGTTATGCATGAAGTTTTCAGGGTGCGAAAGGAAGAGTGCCAGCTGTAGGACGGCAGCGATAGTCGTGATTGAGCCAGTCTCGACTGCATGAATAATGAGTGTGGTGATCAACGAGTCTGTCTTGGCCCAAGGCACCGAACGCCGCTGTGCAGCCAACTAGAAAGCATCAAGTATCAGTTGATTCTCAATAGGTACTCGGCGCCTGAGGACGTACAATAATTGACATGGTGATGGCAATCAGCATGTCGGCTGCTACGGCTCCACCTAACCATATCTGATTGTTCAGTCAGAGAGAGACTGTAGAGAATGAAAAAAGCGAAGGCACTTTGGTGTTTAGTTGCCCAGCAGCGCCATCCAGATCGGAGGTACGAGCTAGTGCTTGGCCCAATCGAATGGAATTCACCATTGCGCAGAGACCTTGGGCCAGTGAGATCTGTTCAAGTTGCATTGAATTGAGGTGGGTAGGAAGATATGGCGTACGAGAGAAATCAGGAGACAGATGAGGCGCACGATGAGTACACTTCCTTTCAACTTGAGAATACGCCAGACGAAGAATAGTTGAACGATAGTGGAGGCTTAAATATCACATAATTAGCGAGGCATTTGTGTCAAACAAAGAGCTACATACTCAGGCCCGCGGTGAATGGCTGCACAAAAGCGGCCCATGTGACGTGGAAGAACACTTGAGAATTGCCCCAGTTCTTTACCAGCATTTCGTACGTGGCCCACGAGCCGATGCCAGTTTCAACCAAGTCGATTAGCAGAAGAGTGTACACTACGCGGCCTCTATAAGTTGAGAGTGGATGCGAGAAGGAGGTATAATACCTAGGGCCTTGATTCCCCACCTCTCGTTGGGGAAGGCGTGATAAAAGTAGTCTGGTTGTGGTCAGGCATCATTGTTGTTGAACCGAAGTAGAAACTTGGCCCTACAGACTTGAACGAGAAGCAGACCCAGCAATAACCAGTTGAACTGCATACCAACAAACTAATATGCCGCGACTGTCAACGTCGAGTAAAATAACAAGGGAGAACTGACGACGGGAGCGGTGCTAACACAATGATCTCAGTTGGCCAAAGGAAAGAAAGAATACTGCAACGCACTAGAAAGGCGAGGCGATCAGAAGCATGGTCGGCGACCAGAACTCGAATGCTTCAAGTCGCTTTTAAGTTACAGAGCGACCACAGGGGAATCCAAGGGGAAGCGCTATTAAATGAAGTTTAGACATCAGGGGTACAGGTGGGAAGAAAGGGATTTGCGATTTCCGGTGTGCCGGTCAGCATCATTACGAACATGTCGATCATCGACACGCCGCGCTAGTCCATAAGTGCAGTCCTTCAGACATTTGTTTGACGCATCCAAAAATCATATCCTTCAATGCGGTCGAATTCATTCTAAGCGATCCCGATTGTCGACTGTTGGAGTATGAGATAGGATAATGTTTTCCGTGTAGGACACGTTTAAAACAACTCGGGAGGCTAGGAGTACAGGGATTCTTCCAAGTGCTTCGCCTTTAGGTGCAGGGCCGGTCTGGGATTATAATGCATTAGGTTGTGCGTGTCGTGGGTCTACGCCGGATTACAAATGATATTACCATTAAATATTACTAAACATGCTCGAAATCGAATCGTTTTTGCTCGAAATCGGACTAGATCAAGGTCAGAAAACGGTTTAAATTTCGAGGCCACTCACCTGGCGGGGATCGAGAACAGTTTCCACCACAACAGCCTTCGTGCGATCGCCAGGTAAGTGTCGGAGTCCAAAGCTCTGCTGTTGCCTTGGGGTGCTGAGACTTGTACTTGGGTTGCTGCTATCGCTGAATATGTGACGTTTACGCTCGGCGCGCCAATTCAAGGTAGCTAGCACCACATTGGAATATCTAATACCTACGTCAGAGATAGTCGAGAAGGGACATTGGACTGACAGCTTCCCTAGGACGTAAAGTCTATAATAATGTGAGGTTCTGACGAAGTAGCGGTGGTTTGAACGCACGGAGCTTCATGCATGAAATTTTCTGGGCGTGAAAGAAAGAGTGCTAACTGTACAGTTGCAACGGCAGTTGTGATTGCACCGGACTCGACACAATGGATGATGAGTTTGGTGATCACAGAGTCTGCTTTTGCCCAGGGTAAGCTCTGTCGTGCTCTAGACAGCTACAGCAATTGTAAGTATTTCTCCAACGCCACAGCCGAAGAAACGCGCACAATGGAGATCATGGTGACGGCTATTAAAACATCACAGGCGACAGCTCCGCCAAGCCATATCTGCATACTTTCAGAACAAGTTGGAGGGTGAGAGCGAACTGACTTTGGTTCCGAGAAGCCCCGAGGCGCCTTGAAGTGCTGAAACTCCCGCGGCTTGTGTGGCGAATCGAATCGTGCTGACCATCGCAGTGAGGCCTTGGCCCAAGGATATCTACCGACGTTGAGTTGACAGCAAAAAAACGTGCATGTTTGGGACTCACAATGGCAATGAGAACGCAAATCAGTCGGACTATGACTTCTTCCCCTTTGAGTTTATGGATACGCCAAACGAAGAACATTTGGACGATAGTCGAGCCTCGAATATTCAAGTTAGAATTCAAGGGATCGAGCTGCGTGGGGAAAAAACATACTGAGACCGACGGTGAATGGCTGCACATAAGCGGCCCACATAACTTCGGTGAACGCTTTGGGATTACCCCAGTTTCTGACCAGCATATCGTACACTGCAATCGAGCCGAGGGCCGTTTGCACCAGTTCAATAACAAGAAGAGTGAACACTGTTGATGTTTGGAGTCAAAAAGCCTTCAGACGAGATGACGATGAGCTTGCCTAGAGCTTTGATTCCCCATCTCTCGTCGGGAAATGCGGAATAGAAATAATCTAATCGTTGTCAGTTATCGAGCTCGCAGGTGAGAGAATGTGGCACACAAACTTGAACCAGGAGCAAACCCAATAACAACCAGTTGAGTTCAAAACCAACAAACTGTGGTGAAAACGTCAGGCGTTGAGAAAGACTTGCAAGACACCAACAATAGGACCAGTGCTAGCAGAGCTATGAGTCGATTGAAAAACAAAGGAAATGCCAGACGAACAAGTATGACGGAGCAGTCTGGGGCATTATACGTTCGTAACTTGCGCCGAGAACTCTCTCTCGAGTATTTAGGCGAGCAGCACAGGAGAGTCCCCCCCCCTTTCCAGCCGCCACATGGCGACAGAGGAGGCCTGCTTATTCGCCTTGCATGACCGACAGACTGTGGACGGGAGAAAAACCGGTTGCGAAAATATATTGTCCCCTGTGTGACGGCAAAATGTTGTCCTTGGACGTCCGTGATGTTCATCGCTTTCCAAATTCCCTCTCCCCTCCCTACCGTGGCGGCAAGAAGCGACGTAATTAGACGGCCTAGCAATGTTAAGACGCGTCTGGCTTCGTAGCAGTCGAACTCAAATCGCTGGGCTGCGCAATTATCAAACGCAACAACCCAATGTTCTTGGAGGGATACCTCCTCCTCTGAAGGGAATTCGAATTTTGGACTTGACGCGGGTCTTAGCTGGCCCGACAGCGACAATGCTCCTTGCAGATCTGGGCGCCGACGTAATTAAAGTGAGCAGCTTTCCCCTGTTCCTCGTCGCAAAGCAAATATTCCAACAGATCGAGGAAATTACCCGTGGCGACGACACTCGCTCGTGGAGTCCTCCTTCAGCGCCCCTTCTCGAGTCAGCACCTCCGGACAGCACCCCCGAATCAGCCTACTTCCTCGCTGTCAATCGAAACAAACGTTCGATGACATGCAACTTCAAAGACCCTGCTGGGCTGGAAATAATACACAAACTAGTGGCGCGGTCAGATGTCCTAGTTGAGAATTTTGTCTCTGGGAAGCTGGCATCGATGGGCCTGGGTTTCGAGGACTGCAAGAAAATCAATCCCCGTCTCATCTACGCGTCAATAACCGGTATGCCTCCAAACAAGTATTACTCGTTGACTAACTTGTCGAGAGGATATGGTCAAACCGGCCCATACCGAACAGCCGCAGGATACGATGTTATTGTAGAGGCAGAGGCAGGTCTGATGCATATGTGCGTTCTTCACTTGAGTCGCTGGACCCCTCACTAATCATCATAGTACTGGCGAGTCCAATCGTCCACCTTCGAAGGTTGGAGTCGCTTCAACCGACATTGCAACTGGATTGTACGCCCATGGAGCCATTATGGCCGCGCTCATTTCTCGGCAGCAAACTGATGAAGGTGTTTGGATTGACTGTAACCTCTTCGAAACCCAAGTTTGTTGGTTGTTTCTGCGGTCGTGGAAGTTGCTGACTCGTCCGATAGATCGCTGGTCTAGCGAATATAGCGTCAAATTACCTCATCGCAGGCAAAGAGGCCTCTCGACATGGGACAGCGCACCCGTCTATCGTACCTTACCAAGTATTTCAATGCCGCGACAGTTTTCTTATGATCGGCGCTGGGAATAACAAGCAGTTTGCCATCCTCTGCGACAAGGTTCTCGACAACCCCGGGCTAGCGGCGGATGCGCGTTTCGCGACCAATGCAGCCCGTGTTGCGAATCGGGAAGAACTTTTGCGTATCATTGAAGAAGCATTAATGAAGCAAGATCGGGCACACTGGCTAGAACGGTTCACTGGCTTGGGGTGCGTTTTTCCAATTGTTGTCTCACTCTTGGCTCATTCCTGGCGCCTAGCGTCCCATTCGCCCCAATAAATAACATCGCTCAGACGTTTTCGCATCCTCAGGCCATTGCTCGTGGCATCACAGTTGAAGTCGAGGTACATTCTCGACTTGATCCCATTGCTCCTCACTGAACTATGCCTAGCATCCCACATCCGGGACACTCAAGTTGGTCGCACCAGCAGTATCCTACAACGGGGAACGGATGAAAGTCCATCGACATCCACCAATGTTGTCTGAGCACACGTCGGAGGTATGTCTCTACCTCCCCCTTCCCATTTTTATTGAACAACCCCAGGTAATGGCCGAGCTGGGTTACACACCAGAACAAATTGAGGACCTACGCGAGAGATCTGTCATATAAATTGGAACCTTGTTGGAAACCCACTAAACAATTTGTTGGCTCAAGTTGCTTGCTTCGTTGCCGTTTTCTCTCTTCGCCCCGGCAGGCCGGCGGCACGACAACGTGACTTGCGGCGATCAAGTCACGCGCTCACGCGCCATCTTCTCGACGCGTCTCTTCTCAGAAGAACGGACCTGTGCGCTTCCGCGGGCTCCTTCGATGCGCTGTAAGCCAACCCAAACCGAGAGAACGCATCTCCGCTCCTCCGACCACGCGATGCCTTATCGACTTCTGAATCAGCTTCAGGCCGTAGAATATTTCAGTGTTACTGAACGCCACACAATTTCCGTCACCATTTGGCGTTTTGACTCCCACTCCTACTTCGCCAGCGTTGACGATGCCCAGCTGACTCGCCGCTCCGCTCTCTGATCTCAGTGAATCTTTTTTAAACTTCTCAGTTCTGGCACCAGCGGCACGAAGGCGTCTTTCATCTGCTGACTGTTTCTCGTACGACTCTTCCTCTGGTATGCTTCCGGCACTATACATAAAACGCAGACCGTCCCTGTCTTGCATCGAGCGAGGCCCCCCAACACGATGAAGGGTTCCCAACTCGTTGTGTCTATCTTAAGCGCTCTGGTGCGCGTTCATGCCGCCTTCCCAGAGTGAGCATTCTCCAATTAAATAATTGAAAAAAAAGTAACCAGCATTTCGCAGCTGTACCAAGGCCCCACTTCTGGGCACGACGGTTTGCGACACAACCAAACCGCCAACCACTAGGGCGAAGTCGCTCATCGCGATGTTCACCACGGAAGAGATGATCGCAAACACGCCCTACAACTCCCCCGGTGTCTCTCGACTCGGTTTGCCAGCGTAACTGTCTACGTTCTGTCGGAGCAACCACTGATATTTTTGGAATAGTTACACATGGTGGTCTGAGGCACTGGTGAGCGATGACTTACTGCCCTTCCAAAAGAAATCTCACACAAAAGAACTGCAGCATGGTGTCGCGTTTAGCCCAGGCGTGAGTTTCGCCGATTCAGGCGAATTCAGCTTCGCGACTTCTTTCCCGGAAAATATCCTTCTCGGTGCGACATTTGATGACGCACTCGTTGAAGCGGTCGCAAACGTAATTTCCACGGAGGCCAGGGCGTTCAACAATGTGGGCAGGGCAGGGCTGGACTTCTTCACGCCTAACATCAACCGTAAGCGGGCGCGAAAAATATTGTCAACGCTGAATGTGTTACAGCGTTCCGCGACCCACGATGGGGTCGTGGTCTAGAGACGCCTGGCGAGGACAGTTTCCGTGACGCCCAATATGTCTTCAGTCTTGTCAAAGGCCTCCAGGGTGGCATCAATCCGTCGATCTTCAAGGTTGTCGCCGACTGCAAGCATTTTGCGGGGTATGATTTGGAAAATTGGGAGGGAAACAGTCGGTTCTCGTTCAACGCGGTTATTTCCCAGCAAGACATGGCCGAATATTACCTCCAGCCATTCCAAAGTTGCGTGAGAGACGCGAAAGTAGGCTCAGTGATGTGCAGCTACAACGCTGTGAACGGAATTCCGTCTTGCGCCAACACCTGGCTCCTCCAGACAGTTCTACGCGACTTTTGGGGTTTCGATGACGAGCGGTTCGTGGTATCGGACTGTGATGCCATCGGAAATTTCATTGACCACGATTTTTCGCCCGATTTGGCTCATGCTGCGGCATCGGGAATGAATGCGGGCACAGACATTGACTGTGGTTCGACCTACCCGGACAATCTTGGTGATGCGCTATCTGCGGGTTTGGTCAACACCTCAACCATCGCGCGAGCTTTGACACGCCAGTATACCACTCTTGTGCGGTAAGAATCTGGCCAACTCAGGAGCCGTGTTCTGACTTGCATTGTATTAGTCTTGGATATTTCGACCCCCCAGCCTCTCAGCCCTTCCGTCAATTGACTTTCGCGGCCGTCAACGCTCCCAGCTCCCAAGCACTCGCTTACCAAGCCGCAATAGAAGGTATCGCGCTTCTGAAGAACGATGGTACATTGCCTTTGTCCAAGGGCAAAAAAGTGGCTATCATTGGTCCGTGGGGAAATGCCACCACCCAAATGCAAGGGAATTATCAAGGAGAGGCACCATTCCTCATCAGTCCACTTGCTGCCGCACAAACAGCGGGTCTCAAGCCCACATTCGCCGCTGGGGCAGCAATCAACTCCTCCGACACCAGTGGTTTCGCAGCAGCGATAGCGGCCGCTCGATCATCCGACGTTATTCTGTATTTTGGCGGGATCGATACGTCTATTGAGGCAGAGGGTCACGATCGAGACGTCATTTCGTGGCCACAAACACAGCTGGACCTGATTTCTCAACTGGAAACTTTAGGCAAACCGCTTATAATAACGCAGTTCGGCGCAGGCCAGATTGATAGCGCAGCATTGAAGAGTAGTAAAAACGTGGGTACTTCAGCTCTTGATAAAACAGTATTGATGCAGAATTAGGTGAGCGCTATCATCTGGGGTGGATATCCAGGTCAGTCTAAGTGCTAAAACGGAGTAAATATGGTCACTCACAGTTACATGATAGGCCAGAGTGGAGGAACCGCTGTCATAGACATCATTACGGGCAAAGTCTCCCCGTCTGGTCGACTGCCCGTGACCCAGTACCCTGCCGACTTCATCCATCAAGTACCGATGACAGATATGTCTATGCGACCAAGCTCCACCAATCCTGGTCGGACATACAAATGGTTTACTGGAACTCCGACATTTGAGTTTGGAACGGGTTTGAGCTTCGGGTCATTCGCGTTGAGCTTTGCCGGGACACCTAAAGCGACATATGATATCCAAGATCTTGTCAGTGGCGCCAGAGGGGCCACCCATCTCGATTTGGGATCCTTCGACACATTCCACGTTGACCTGCACAACAAAGGCACCGTCGCATCAGACTTCATTGTGCTGATGTTCGTCAAAACGACAGCAGGGCCAGCGCCGTTCCCAAACAAATCCCTTGTTGGCTACACACGAGCGAAAGACGTCAAATCCGGCCAAATTTCGACCGCTAGTGTTACCGTAACATTGGGGAGCATTGCGCGAACGGATGAGAGCGGGACTGCATGGCTTTTCCCGGGAGATTACTCGTTGTTGGTCGACGTGCCCACGGCCATGACCCATAATTTCCGGTTGACAGGCAGGCAGGCAAAAATTTCTAGTCTTCCTCCTCCTCCATCGTAGTGTGATTATGGGTAATTATCTTGAAATTATTGAACTGGAGTGTAGCATAAGTTGGCAAAGCAATGGCAAAGAGCAAGATGTAATAATGTCACGGTCACATGGTCACAAGTGATGATGTCACGGTCACAAGTGACATTTGTGTATACGGACAGATAGGCACTGGTGCTGTACGAGTCACGGCCCATTGATGGGCCGGCCCCAAAACGGCCCAGTGACAAAAAAGTTGCCTTCGGGCAAAATCCAATGCGCCCTCAGGGACGAAATATCGTGCCCGAGGGCAATATTTTATGCTCCCTCAGGGACATGATTTTATGCCCTCGGGCAAGACTTTGTGTTCCCTCGGGCACTAGCACATTGCACCTGCAGTGCATCATGTCCCAGTCGCTTTTTGACGCCCACCTCATATGCTCCCTCGGGAACATAATTTCATGCCTTTGGGCACAAAGATGTCTCCCCTCAGGCACACATTTATAGAGCCTGCAGTATATTAATGTTTCTCCCCTTCAGTGACAATCCTGGTCACTGAAGGGACAGTCCACACATGTCCCTGCAGTGAATATCAGTTGTTCCCCTCAGTAACCCTATAAATGTACCACCAGGCTCTTCCACAAAAGTTGCCTGAAGTGCTCAAAGTTTCTCGATCAATGAATGATTATATCACTTAGCTCTCATCTACTTGCAACGATGAACCTAACTCAACTCGCAGCCTCGATTCAGACTACAGAACGGCAGAAAGGACTACATATCATCAATGTGTTCATCTCACTCCTCCGTCGTCTTTGGAGCCACATCTTGTATACCAACGGCGATAAAATCCCTGCTCTCTTGCCGACACCTATCATTTCGTTTCTCTTTTCTGCGCTTCAACCATTACAGCCTTCCTTGACTACGGACGAGCTCCAGGGCATTTGGCAGACACTGTCTGCTCAAATTCCGGCATGGTCAGCACCAATTCTTGACTCTCTTGTCGACGACATATTTCGTGAGCATGGGGAACGGAACAAATTGGGTAGGTTTCTCTGAGAAATAGATACCGCCCACCCTCAACTCATATATGATCTAAGGCGCAGAGATGCTCTACCCGCCTCAACTTCGTTGCTCTTGCAATGGGAATCGACTTACACATCCCGTTGTAAGGGCAACCCTGGAGACCCCGACGAAAGCCTAGCAGGGGAGGATCCAAAGCGTGAATAAGACTACAGGAAATACACGGAGGGACCGACCTAGCAGGGGGAGGATCCAAAGAGAAGAAACTCTAAGGGTCCGCCTGCTAGGGCGCCAACTATATACTGGTCGTCCGTAACTGCCGACGTAGAGCGCAGAAGGCCTGAGCGGCGTCGCAGGCTCTGTCCCAAGGTGATCGTTGGGAGGGTCTTGACGGATCGGTGATTGTGCGGGCGAAGGAGGCCGTGGACGATGGTTGGGGTGGGTCGGAGCGTCCGAGGGGGCGCCGGTCGGATGCGCCTCGGATGCGTTCGGAGGGTCCGAAGGAGGCCGAAGCGGGGGTTCCCCTGTGTGACGCTGTCGTTCGGGGAGCTTACGCGGGGTGGAAGCGAGGAGTTGTCGTGTCGATAAGGGGGTCGGACAGCCATTGGAATCCAATGGCTGCCCGACGGTTGACCCGTAACCTACGGCGGGAGGGAGCAGGGAAGCGTACTCAGGCAGTCGGGACGGGTCCACGAGAAGGAGGAAAAGACGAGGCACAAGAGAGAAGAGGAACTTGGTTAAGATTGCTGCTGGCGTGACTTTGGTCACGCTTACTGTTACAATACTCGTGACTACTGTATGATCATATGACTACCCGTATCTGATAAGACTGATCTTCTAGCGTTTGAACGGTACTGAGTCGTCCAGGTTGAGGTCGTACCCGTCCACAGAGCCCCCCCCCGACGAAGAGTCGTTCATATGTCCTGATTTTGCCGGAGAACGGAGGCAGCCCAGGGTGCCGAGGCCGCTATACCTTCCAACAGCGGTTGCGGATCTGGATCATCCACCTCCATGTCGGAGTCCTCTCTGAGCGTCCCACCCGATCCGAGGATTTCTGCCTCATTGCTCGTGTCAATCTCACGGGCGCCGAACGTTGCGTTAAACCAAGGGTGCGCCTCCAGCTGGGTCACTACTCCATTCACAATTATCTGGTTAGACGAAGCGGGTGCAGGGGCCATCAGAACGTCGGACGTCGCGGCTGTTGATTCAGGCTTGTCAATACCGTCTAGGAAGGCCTCGACGTCCGCCTCACTGGACCCTGTCGCCACCGAAGCCGAAGGAGACGCGAGGTTCATCGGAATCCATGAATTCTCTACATTCTCCCGACTCGGCGCGACCAAGGTGTGAGCCCAGTAAGAATGAGGTCTGGCCCTCCGGCGCCAGCGTATCGTCGTCCCTGTCGATTGGCGCGCCGCTCGCTGTCAGCACGTGCGACCCCAGCTGGAAAGTGGTCGAGTAGGTCGCAGGGGCTGTGCTGGTGTCCTGCACGGGCAGAGGAGTAGGCGGCGAGTCGTTCATGGAGATCTCGTATGAGCCCAACGCGAAGGGGGCCCAGATTTGCCGCGACCCAGCCTGATTTCCCTTCGATGCGGCGCCGTTCATCCCTTCTCAGCTTTCCCGGGTTGTGCTTGGATCGCTTACGGATTCGCTCCCCTAAGCTTACTCCTAGTCTGGAAGCTAGCGTGGCTTCAGGGTTGATGCTAGGTTCGGGTTCCGTCGGAGGATTAACGACTGCTTCTAGTGCTGGGGCCGGGCCCGTACTCAGTGCTGGCGGTATCCGACCCGCATCTGAGCTTCCGGGGCCCGCAGGAGCCACTGTACTCGCTAGATTCGGGTGGCTACATCCAAGAGGGGCGAGGAAGGCCGAGCTACGCTGACGGAGTGGTCGGATGGCGGAGGAGCTTCAGATGTGACCGCTAATGAAGGGATCCTGTAGGGAAGGCTAGAATCCGGGTTGTTCGAGGTCGAGGCCCGAGAGGAAAGGGTTCTCATCTCTGCTTCGCGACGCAGCCTTTTCTCTCTGACCCGGCTGGACTCCAGCCGGTTGAAAGTATCAGTCACGGAACCCATTATGAGCTCGTATCCATCGCGGTCGAGGTAGTTAATAGAGACCCATTGCATTTCCCTCTCCAAGAAACCCATCGCTCTCCTGGCGTCCGTCACCGATCCCATTTCAAGTACGACACTATTGCCGGCCAGCAATACTAGCACGATATCAGCCAAATGCCTGACCCTTTGGATGGCGGATAGATTGTAGAACTCCTCGGCCGACAACGCGTCGCTGCCTCTTATCTCGAGGCGGAAAGTAGCGGGCGCGGGATCAGGGATTTCCGAGTCTATCAAGTCGCCATAGTCAGACTCGTCGTCGCAGTCCATGCGGTCGGCTGCCACTGAGGCCTTCCTCTTTCCTTTGTCCTTTGGCGGTCCATCATCGTCCTCACCGTCGTCATCGTCTGATCCCGATCCTTGATCGCTTGGCGAGCGAGGGGCTGGTTTCTCCGGTTTCGGGGCCTCTTTCTCGGGGAGATGGATAGGGTGAGGAGAGGGGGCATCTAGCGGAACGCTGGACTGCACTTTCGTGAAGGTGGCTGTATAGTACATCCAATACGAGGGGCGAGCTGGCTTCCAGTTGCCGTATTGGTCTCGTACCACATAATCGCAACGTGGCGCGGGCATCCCGTAGATATCCGGGCGAACCACTCCTAGAGGGGGTTTGTACCCTAAGATGATGAGGGTTCGGCGAAGGTCACGGTCGTAGAAGGTGCTCCTTGGGCCACCGTCGGTTCGGGTGCCCCGTCCCACCAACTCCATCCTTTTTCGGTCACCTTCCCCTATACCCATGATGAATTTCTGCAGACTACCGGAACCTTTTCGTAAGTTGATCAGCTCAGGGGGGCGAATCCAGGGCATACGATCCGGATAGAGGTTCACGAAATCGAGGTCGGGAGCTTGTAGTCGTCCCTTTAGCGGGTTGCCCGTGATAGCCGGTCTCCGGCCATCACTAGGAGTATGCGCGTTTATAAGGCGGTAGCGGCCGACGACGTCTTTATCCTTCCGATTCGGGGGAGAGGGAGAACGCCGGAGAGAGCGAGCCGTTGTGTCGCTTGGCAATTTCCAGTCGTCGACAGTAGTTATCGGATCGTCCCAGTCGCTAGGGCTCGCTGGCCAAGATGATCCCCAGCCTCCGGTATCCGTTGGCGGGGAAGAACTTGCAGTGTTGCTGTAGGAAGACGTCCAATTCATCGTAGGGTTGCTTGGCCAATCGCTTTTGGGGCGGCGTTGACTCCAAAAGGAGTGTTGACCTTCTTCGCGGAATAACGGGTCAGCACGCTGTTCGCTAGCCGAGTCAGGAGGGGGAGCGGTGCCGGACTTGTACTTGGAGGGAATATTCAGAGTGGCTAAACTGACGCCTCCCCGAGGGATCTCGGAGTATGGATTCGCTTTTAACATTGATAGCGTCTCGGTGCCGTCCAGGAAACCTGAAGGACTGGTGGTGTGCAGGAGGCGAGATGCTCGATCTTCCGGAATCCGGCAGACAACAAAGCACGGAATGCCAGCGCGCACCAGACGATCAAGGGGCTCACGCATACACCCGTTGGCCCAAAATCCCATGAATTCCTCCCTAGGCTCCGCCATTTCACGATCTGGACCACGGGCTAGGTCTTCCATAAAGGTGTCCATCATGTCGGCCCACGCTAGCATCTCCCGAAGAGCGAAAGACATCTCGGAGTACTTGTCGAAAATATCGTCCCATATTTGCGGGGAGTTTAACGCTCTCTTCAAAGGCCAGAATTTGGTGACGTCCGGAGGGGCGAGGTGTAGTTCGACGGGCCAGTTCTTCGCAAAGGGAAGTCGCGATGAGCAGGAATTGATACGCCCCACTATGTAGTTGTAGCATTCGATTAGTCCATCGATGCCCTTGTCCGTTAGCGTGCCGGTGTCAGCGGACATGGGTCTCCATATTTCGGTCAGAGGACGGAAAGCCGGGGACCAGGCGTCGTCACGCTTGACTG